AACACCTGTTTTGACTACTGCCACTCATTGTTCATTTCTTATAAGGCAATCGTTCGACATTCGAATATGCAAATAATAATACAAAATCAAGAACCACGTACCTTATCACAACACCACGCGAATCCAGATTGTGAGCTACCGGAAAGGTACAAAAGGTGCTGGCGACCACAAGGTGACACTCTAAAAAAATTGGCCAAACATTTTAGCGCAGCGCTTTCTCCGAAGAAAGACTGCAAATTCTTCAGTACAACGCTTTCTCTCTGGAGAAATGTGCTTCCGGATAAACATTAGCGCTTTATTGGATATGGCGGGAAATCGGCATTTGACTGCGTGTTTAGCCAGCAGATTGATAAGCCACCACCAGGAGAGTAGCCAACACCGCGACATCTACGTTTTCACCGGCTTGCTTATCCGCATCGTCCTTAATTGGTAACGCCCAGAATACTGTCCAGATTTGCTGAAAACTCCCCGCAACCGTTCCACTGCTGCAGATGTGATATCTGACTCAAAATCGGCCTGAGAGTAGCGTTAACGGCTTCCGGCATCGCACAACGCTCATCCAGGAAATCCTCGTCATCCGATGGTTGTTCACTCTTCTTCGTCCACTTCCGCCTCATATTCCAAACAATATGCGTTTTCGGGGTCATCGTCGAATGACTCTCCATCGCTGGGCTCTACATCGCTAGCTGTCTGGGATGTACGCCATGTACGCCATTTTTCGTGCTTTTTACGACTCCCGGCGTGGACAACTGGACAGTGATCTCTCGTAACTGCATTTGTCTTCCTTCTCAGCTTTCTCGCTTTGCAATCGCCAAAAGCGAAACCGACTGGCACATCAAGCAGTACTGCAAGGAAATGTCTATACGAGTATTTTTTTTATGACCTTTGTACATAGGTATCTCTCGCCTTCGTCTCAGTGTTGCGGTTTTGTAAAGATCCACTGCCAACGGTCGAGTGTATTTCATGCTCTGTTGGAGCGGTTTCCAGGTGTTTAATTATTGCTCTGTGTGGCTAGTTTGACTACTATACGCTGTGGAATTTGCCAGAACTCCGACCGCTTGGTCTACAAAAGCGATCTTATTCTTGAGCTTGTCATTTTGTTGTAATATTACTTTTGCACTTTGTTCTCCCTCTCCCATTTCAAAGAATGCGTAAGCGATTTGCCGATCACCGCGGAAGACGGGTGGTAGAACATAGGCATACGGCACTGGCTGCACGTTCTTCACTCCTCCCCCCAAAACACTCGCTTATCCAACGGCAGGCTGCAACGCTCGTTGCAGATGGCGGCCGATTTTGTCTTCCAGTATTTCTCCATGCTGGCAATACTCTGATTTCCCGTTGTCGGCCAGTGCGATGCCGTTAACCAGTGAGCGACTGCAACTCTCGCCAATACCGAATGAGAAATTCCGGGAATTCGGCGTATTTTGCTTGACCAGATCTACGACTGGTCCTGTCTTCTCGACTTCACAATCGATTAGCACAAATAAATGCCCACGGTTTTAAAAATCTTGTTCAGCGGTTTCAAAATGTCGAAGGCCAGCTCACTTCGCACTTTTCTGGCCATCTTTCTCGATTTGTGGGACAAACGCATACATGCCGGCAAACTTATCACCGTCGACGCGCTCCACCAAGAAGTGATGCTGAGGATTATTCTGGATCTCGATATCGATCACAGATCGCGGTTAACTGTTCGCTGCAGGGCGCCGAAAGCGACCTGAAATCAAGAACTGATAATCAACCGTAATGGCTTGCTGACTGGTGAGTGTACTTAATCTTGTTAACATCTTGAACAGTAGTTGACGACGCAGACAACGTTTACAGTTAGCGTGGAAGTAGTAAGTAGGTGTGTTTCGTAACTTTAAGTTGATGTTTTCAGGCCCGATGGATTTAAGAAGGCCCATGTCCGCCTTTTTACCTTTCAGTATTTGTACAGACGTGAGCCACATGGCCTACCTCGCATGAACGCTTTATTACAGTACGAGTACAGTAATGTTGATTAACGTAAGTACAGTAGAGCGCAGGCCATGCTCCAGTGCAGTAAGTAAATGTAAGTAAATGTAAGTATTTACGATAATAATGTAAGTACAGTATTTATGAAAGTTAATTTTATATGTAAATAAATGTAAGTATTTTCGTTAGCATTAGCACACAAACTTGCATGGTAAGCACAGTAAGTAATACACAGGCACATTTAAGTACTTACAGTATTGCAAGTTGCCAGCTCGGTGCAAACAGAAACCACTCAGACCCGTGACGAAGCTTCTGGTTGCGGTCAACACGGCTCCAGATGCCACACAAACGAAACGCCAAGGGTGAATTCCGTACGGCTTTATCTTGCAATACCAACCCTTCACTCCCTTGGGAAGCCAGTGCAGATACAGACGCTTGCAATCCACCTTCCTTGCGAATGGATGCATCTGTACTTGCGAACGTGCCGGTGAACCTGGTCCAGAGAAAATAGCTGAAATAGCTGAAAATACATTTGCCGGAAACGAAAACAGTAAAACGGATACTAATCAATCACGCCATACAGCGTACAGTACTTACTTCTGTGCTATTGTTTGTCCAACTGGACTCGCTAAACTGATTAAGCCGGGACTTGTGTAACGCTTAAACACGACAGTAGCCGTTGAGAACAATTCAAGCATACCTGCACGGATTTCTCCCCAGTAATGCTAACAGCAACCGGATGCGCGACAGAAGACACCGATTTCGCTTTATCCAGATTCCAGCGCTGCAATGTTTGCAGCCAGCGTCGCTTTATACGGCACCGAAGTCGCCTATTTCCGGCGGTGCAGTTGCCCCAGTCGTGCTCTCCGGATTGGGCTGTATCTCGGGAAGAGTGCCATGGGAATGAGGATCCGCTGCTTCGTCTCTCTGACGCTGTTCAGTGTGCAGACGTAGTTGATGCTGACCACGCACTCCGTCCCGGTGTACGAAGGTGTCGTAGCTGCGATCCGCCTGGACCAGAAGATACGCTCGGTCTCCGCGTTGCAGCACGGCGGGGCATTCCTGGAAGGCTTTGTCCTTCTTCGTGAACCGACTGCTCAGTGCGCGGTCGTCCATCTTCACGGTGAAGCCAGTGACAGTGGTCGTCCATCGGGAATCCGTACACGCATTCGGCATTCCAGATCCGTGGATTCGACATTCTTGAATATCTGGTCAATAGTGATGGAACCGGCAGATTCTTTTACATCTGCATCGTAAATACAGTAATAGCGGTTAGCGGAATTGGTTTATTCGATTCAACAACAAATAATCCACAGCCTGATCCGTCCACGGCCATAGAGCGATTACGGAAGACGGTCATGAAATCAATGCAAGGCAGTACGGAAAGTGTGGCAACCGTTTGCATATAACCCGGCGAAACGTTTATCAAAATTTGTAAAAAAAGAAGCAAAGGGAAATTTATTTATCGCTCGTTTGCTTATCACTCGTTGCATGCTAAATCCTACCAGTCAGCGGTGGCACGAAAGAGAGCCGCTGGCGGCCAATTACAAGAATAAATCTAAAGGTGATGGCTACAGCCACCAACTGTGGTAAGGAGCGAAACAGCCAAAGGGGGTGTTAACTTTTTAAAAAAAGGGGGAGACAAAAGTCAAAAGGGGGTGAAGGGGGGAGACAAGAGTCAACACTCAACAGCCATTTCCTAATTAAAAACAATTTGTTTTATTTATTAATACTAACGAAAATAAATAAAATACCACTGATTTGATTAATCCAGTACAAGTTTCAATTAAAAACAGCTGCCACAATTCAATTCAATTAAAAACGTTTCGCCTGCAGGACAATTTCGCTTACCGGACAGGAAGGCGCTACGCGTCCTGGCCATTCACCGGACAGGTGAGCTGTGGGGGTCCCCGGGGGGTTGGTGGAGGGTTTGGAGGGGGCGCGGGCTCGCCGAGGGTCATGCGGGATTCCGAGTCGAAGGGCTGGTAGGAGCTGACGGCCACCGGGCTGATGAGGATGGGCTGCAGGCTGGAGAGGAAGCCGCCCTCGTTCTGGCCGTTCAGCGAGGCGAACATGTCGCTGGCCATGGCGGAGGGATCGCTGAGAAAGCCCAGGTACGAGTTCTCCGCCGTTCTCAACCACACCACCGCCTCACATCCACATCAATCCTGCAATCAGCACTTTCATCACTCAACCATCCACCAGCAATTCCCCGACGATGGCGATTTGTATCAGCAATGATAACAAGCCAATGCGAGGCAGAACCATAGGACCTTGAATGACGATTCGTTGCCACTCAATGTACAATCATTCGATTAACGCTTCATTCCGTTATTCCACGCTTATCATAAATTAAGCCATACTGTAATGTGTCAACGTGATACTCGTTGACAAATTAAAATAAATCAAAATATCTAGAATCAACGCTGAATGAGAGCCTAGAACCAACCAGCGCAACGTGAGGAAAAATCTCTAATTATCAATAATACCGCGCTTTGGCATTGTATTTAGTCTATTCAATACACTATTTACAAAAAAATGTTGCCGTAAAAACTTAGTACAAAACCAAAAGTTTTCAAATATGCAAAACGGCTTTTCAAATTGCGGAACCAGGGACAGAAGTTTTCTATCACAATCACAGATACAGTACAGTATTCGTACGCACGCTCACAGCACATTAAGAATCGAGGTGCTGGTGCACTACAGTATCCCATGTATCACTCTAATCACTGTGACTGTGTGCATGAGAACAGCCCAACTTCATTTCTTATCCAATAGGATTGCTCGCAGTTTACCTTTGGGGCGAACAACCGAACCGACCAAAGGGCCAAAGGAACCGAAGCCCGACCGGATGTTGCAACGTAGAAAACATACGGTTGGGACCCGACCGGAAAAGTGAGCAGGCAGTCGGTCGGCAATAAGGCGGTCTTGCCCACTTGAGGAGCCGCATAAGTTTCTACTGTACATAGCGCAAAAGTTCATTTTTTATGACTGCTTGAGTCTGCTTCTGTTTGTGCTTTGCTTAACAGACAGTCTGTCCATAACCAAATTTACGATATTTCCCATTTGGCTTCCACAGCACTGAATTTTAGCAGCCGATTCTAACAGTTCGCCTTAGGTCTATTGCCTTTAACGCGCCTTTAAAATGGATGTTGTTGGCAACGTTATGGAACCAGACGACCGGGTGCCTGTACTGGTAAACTTTGTTAGGTTTCTGGTTTCAACAGACCAAGAAAGTTGATGTACTAACACTGTAGACTACCAGTGCTTTTTTGATAATATTACAGGCTCATCCAGAGTACAACCTGGAAATGCCTAAAAATGCCACAGCGTTTATGAGAAAAATGTCCGATGACAAGAGCAGGCAGTGCACTTTCCAACTGCCAACTTCTCTGTACGCTAACAGCCTTTTACCTGTCCTGACCCGGGAACTGAAGAAGAGCGAGCCGCATCCCTGGATGGTGGTTGGTCCGGAGAGCCATTATGCTACAAATTCGGGTAAGCGGTAAACGAACCTTCTAAGAAAAATTGACTTGAAACGGGCGTCTTACTAGGCAGGATGGACCTTGCCGTCCATGTCTCGCCTAGTGGCAGGGCACAGTTCGGCGACTCGCTCGTGGCATGGATACATGAAAGTAAGCCTGGTTTCGTTTGGGTCGACCAGGCAAATGGAAAGAAAGAGAAGTTCCTTCACGCTGAAAGCCGACGTATTAACGCAGGCGAGCAACTACGGGAGCGATTTTGCGAAGAGAATTTGGTGGGCGCGCTCTGTGATTACGACTGGGACTGCCTTTGGGGCTCCTCTGGCGCCGGCATCGATTGGGCAATCTGGTATATGGATCCCAACAAACGGACCATTTACCGAGTGTTTTGCCCGACCGACGAGACCGCTGCCTTAGATCCAAATGAAGTGAATCGTCATTGCGTGTATCCGCTTGAATTCTGGAACTTCGATGTCCAGTCCTCGCACTTTCCTTTGGCACTTTGCTACGCTCATAATAGCATCATGGAACAACTGGCGACGCTGAAAGTCAAACCGCAAGAGGACCTGGACGCGCTTAACATGAGGGAATTAGAAAGTGTGGTTGGAGGGAGCGCAGTGCCTCAGTCAGACAAAGAACAGAGCGGCACCCACTCTGCGGACTTCATGGACGATGAAAATGTGAGTGACGAAGAGGACGAAAGTGAAACAGAAAGTATGGATGTGGGCGATACGGATTACGAGGACTTTGAGGATGATCACAGCCGATCATCGGAGGAGGATAAAATTGAAAAGGATCCCTGGGCCGAGAGTGCTGAAAGCCGAAGAGGAGTCGCAGGATCGAAATAAAAACGCAGGATCGAAATCTGGACGTGGGAAACGATCTGCGGGTTCGTAATTTTCTGTGGCAGGCTGTTAGGATTTTTGTTTTGCCAGCCGGTTTGCTTTTTTTGACACATGTTGTCATTGTCGCTTTCGTATGCATTTCAAGTTGTGCCGTTACGGCCCTTCCCTGATGACGAATATGGTCACTTGTGAGTCGTGGGTGATGTGATTGAGCAAGCGCTGTGCCGCCTCTGTGCGATCCCAGGCTCAGATCATACTGATGATAGTAATAGTCACACTTTTGGCACTCTAAGCGGTATGGAGCCAGTTAAACGGCACGAAAGATAACTTGTGGAAAGTACAACACGTCATTGTACAAAAAAGCACGAAATTAACTGAAATCTGCTGGTTAAACGCTAAACTGCAAGCAGACTTAAACGTCCCCCGAGGACACAACAAGAGTAAAAAGGGGTTAAAAACGAGTTAAAAACAACAAGAGTGACCAGCACGGCGGCGTTCGACGCTCGCATTGCGGTCAGGGATGGCCGTTGACGTTGCTGGGGACGAGGTGTTGGCCGGTGATGGCGTTGAGGCGCTGCAGCAGGTCGCGCTTGCCGGCCAGCTGCTCGCGGATCTCCGTCAACAAATTGTGGAACTGGAAGCTCCAGTTGACGTTGGCCAGCTGGCTGTACACCTTGCGCGCCTCCTCCACCGTGCTTAGAAAGTCCTCGTAGTCGGCCGGCGCGATGTAGAGGAGCTTCTGGCGCAGGCACAGGTTGAACCTGCAGCAGACAGACCGCTCAACACTGCTCTCAACCAACGCAATCAGCCATCGTTGCTCACATCTGCGTGCTCTTCTTGATGAGCGTCTGCACGGCCTGCACGCGCAGGTACTTGTCCAGCAGGAGCTGCTGGAAGGCGGCGCGCGTGCCCGGGTCGGCGTCCAGCATCTCGCGGTGCGGGAACTCGCTGTCGGCCAGGAAGAGCGCGGCGGCGCGCGCGATCTCCCACAGCATCGACGGACTGGACACCGTGTTCTCCACGGCGCGGCACATCTCCAGCAGCGACTGACTGCCCAGCCTGAACGACACCGCCACCAGCCACTTGATGGACTCGGCGTGCGGCGGCGCGCGGCTGTACTTGTTCACGTGGCCGTCGGGCAGGCGCCGCGCCAGCGTGTCCATGGCCTGTTAAAGCAACGTCCCATTAAAATCATTCTAAACATATCAAGCACACTGTTGCACTCACCAGCATGCCCACACGGTAGGCGGAGGTCAAATACTGCAGCACCGCCGGCGAAATACTGCCGCTGGCCGCCGCCGGCGTCGGCGGCATCACCAGCCCGTTGAGGCCCGGGATGCCAGATAAAGAGGGATGCGGATGCGCGAAGCGATGCATGGGCGGCCGGACGACGGCGGGCATCCCTCCTGCAAAACAAGCATGGCCACACCGACATTTACAGCAATAACAAGCACCAACCGGGTATGAGCATGCCCAGCTGCATCTGCTGGTAATACGGATTCATCGGGTGGCGCTGCGGCTGCTGCTGCAGCAGTCCGTGGTGCTGCACGTAGGGATGGTGGTGGCGCAGCACGGCCAGGACGGCGGCGGGGTTGGGCGCGTAGTGGTGGTGGTAAGAGTACTGCGGGTGGTGCTGCAGGTGCGGCTGGTAGGCCAGCGGCATCAGGTTCTGGTGCGGATGCAGCGCGGGATGGTCCAGGTGGTTGTTGCTGAAGACGGCGGGGTTGTGGCCGTCCTCGGCGGCGTTGGCCAGCAGCGGCAGCTCGCCGGTGGCCTCGGCGAAGAGGTCGTACCACTTGCGCGCCACGTCGAAGAGCGCCTCGGGACAGACGCCGCCGCCGCGCGCCGAGGCCTCGACGGCCAGCAGCGCCTGCTCCAGCATGGGCCCGTCCTGCTCCTTGCACTGCGCCAGGGCGCGCTGGATCTCCGCGGGGTTCAGCGCCGACGAGTGCGACAGCACCGACTGCGCCAACTCCGCCGCCTCGCGCACCATTTGAAGGTCGCTGCTGCGCGAGGCCTTGTCGGCCAGCACCGCCACCTCCGACGGGGTCAGGTGGCTCTCCCAGGTGTCGATCAGGAAGTTGACCGCCTCGAAGCCCAGCTCCATCGCCTGATCTACACGAAACCGGTTATCGATACACAGCCGCAGTCAACGCCAGCGAACACTTACTGGTGATCCACGACACGTGCGAGGAATAAGTCCGCGACTGCCAGTTCTGACTGACACAGTTCTGAATACCTGCAGGAAACAATCGCCAATCAGCGTGCTTAAGATTAAAAAGGCGGTAGAACAATTATTTGCGATGCACAGTTATTCAGGCATTTACAATTATTTTCACGAAATGTTTTACTGATGTATAAAGTCAATGATAACCAAGTCAACAACTGACAGGCAACCAAAACACCCATACTGCTAAGGTTCGCGTATATCCATAAAAACTATTAAAATCAGTAATCGAAAATTTGTTGCAGTACGTGCAACAATGCAGCATGTACGAACAGCAAAATTTTTTTGCCAAAGTGCTACAGAGTACAGATTACAGAATAGCAGTGTTTACAGATGGGCACAGCTGGTTGATGCGGTTAATTGCTACAATTTTATTAAAAATATTTAAAATTATTTATCCGCCATTTTCATTGAAGCTTTCTACTTCTGAAAAGCATTTGTGAATAGCAGAATTTCTTATTGATATTGTTGTTCCATTTTATTGAGTTAAATAAATTGAGTGAATTTTCTTTCGGACTTACCGAGTGCGTAGAGGCCGATCTGGTAGGCGCACATGTGCAGCTCGCGGTGCGGCAGGCCCAGTTGCTGCCCGGCCACCGGCTGGAACAGCGCGTTGCTGACATCGCCGCCGGCTTTGACCAAAATGCTCTTGGCCAGCTCGAACATGAAGTGCGCCATGGCCTCGCTGGGCTGGTTGGGCTCCGTCGGCGACTTCTTGGCGTTGCGCTTGCCGTTGCGCGCGCAGGGCGTCGAGCTGCGCGCCAGACTGTCCACCACGGGCACCGCCGCCGGCGCAGGGGCCGGGACGACCGCCCTGGGCGGCGCCGGCACGCACTGGCTTAGGTCGTCGTCGCGGCGGAAGGAGGAGTCGCGCGAGTCGGAGCTGGAGTCGCCGCTGCTGGCGCTGTCGGCCTCGTTGCCCTTGGCGCCCGCCCCGAGCCGCGGGAAGCGCCGGATCAGCGTCGGACTGTTGTCGCTGCTGGTCGTCTCCGGCGCGGAGCTGTCGATGCCGCCCGCGAGGTGGTTGGAGTGCCGCCGGCGCGGCTTGAACACCGTGCAGCGCAGCTTGCTCTCCCAGTCCTTGTTGTCCTCGTCCAGGGCGCTAGAGTCCTCCGACTCCGCCGGTCTCACTATATTCTCTTCGCCGACGGTCGCTCTGGCCACCGGGATGGCTTCTCTCTGGTCTGTAACATTGAAACACATCGTCAGCACGTTTCTCTCATCGGTAACATGTAACTGCAGCGGATAACTGTTTCCTCACCTTCCAGACTAATTTCCCCGACAAGCGCCGGCAATCCCGCCTGTTGAGCATTATTCGGCACGGTTAAATAACGAGGATTTGTTGCAGGGCGGCGAGTATTTCACGCCGTTGCGGTGGCTTTTGTAGAGATCTTTGTCCAGCAGCTGGTGCATGACCTGCATCAAGTACAAACAGCATAAAGCGCTGCCAAACAAACAAATAAACCGGCAAAGAAAGTATATCCAAAAGCAGCAAGAAATACAAACATGAATAAAAAACATCCACACAAAAACACTCATTCCGGCACTGGCTAGAAACACCCGGAAAATACAAATGACTTACAAGAGACGTCCGCCGATGAAGCCGGGCAAAGCGTGCCGAGAAGAAGCGTCTTTCCACTGGCTGATTGTTTATCCTAATGCCTGGCGTACATAAGGAAACCACGAAGCACTTTCACGGACTAATATGGCGAGAACTTAAGCACTTGCTGAAGTTCCCTCCATATAATCCTATATCCGGGCACCGTGCTTCACCGGATGCGCAGATTGTCGAGAAGATGGCGTCGCTTTGGCGGAAAGACTGTTGAGCCAGCAGGGACGTCACTGCGGAAGCACATGCCGTGGGTGGACAGTATAACGCTGCCAGACGAGAATGCCGCGGTCCCGTCGGCCGTCGATGCCGTCGTCCGGCAGCCGGTCGTTGGTGATGGCCAGGCCGATGCAGTCGGAGACAATCGTCTCCAGATTCTGCCAGAAACACCTGCCGATTGTCTTGGCAAATGAGAGGCAATAAAATAGTTAGATATCGCTGAAATGTCCGCGCTTGTTCGGCCGCTTGCGAACATTGTGGGACAATCCCAGCAGCTGCGGTGCAGGGCTTTCACGTGCGCCTCCGGCTCTTTATCGAGAGCATCGATCATCAGCTGGCCTCCTGCCAATCGCGTCGTAATTACCGTCGGCAAGAAACCTAGAATACCCGTGTGGCTGCACTTACCGGACACTGGTGGTTGAAGTCGGTGGCCCTGCTGAAGCACGGCTGCGTCGTCGGCCTGGAAGAGAAGTCTGGGAGCGAGCTGTGTCCGTGCTCGGTGCACATGTGAACGTGCAGAGGCTGCACGGTACGCCTAGGCCCAGCTGCGTCCGTTGGGGATCGTTGCCTGCGTCAGCCGGTTCCAAGGCCGCACACATTGTCACGAACTGCAGTATATGGCGTGATACTTGGAGACAGCCTGGCAAACCTCCTCCTACTCGGCGGGCGAATGGCACGCAAGCCGGATCCATCATGAACCGCGCAGACAACGAGTGCCGATGAGCTGACACACTGCACAGCCGGGTTGATGACAAATCGGCATGAGTGAACGTTCGCACAGCGACACCGCCCATCACCAGCACGCAGTGGCTGTCGGTGGTTGGCGAGTGGCGAAGGAGGATCTTGTCGGGGATGCTGCGCTCCAGCTGCGTCGTCTGGTAGTCGGGACGTCACGCTATGCGGTCGCGCAGAATTTCTCCAATGGAGACTGCACATTAGTGATATAGTTTGGCTTTGTACTGCGTGAGACAGCTAACATACGAGCATGCTTAATACTGGAAGAAATATTTACAAATCAAATTTATTTAGCATAAAAGCTAAAAAACACAGGGAAAGCAGCTGGAAACAATAATGAATAAACCAAAAGCGCTCTCACCTGTTGCGCATCTGCCGAGTGTTTGGCGATGATTCTGATCATGTCGCGGCCGTTGTTCCGTCAGTTGCGGTACTGGCTTCTCAAAATTCTCCTGTGTGTCTGCAGCAGTCTGTTGCAGCGGTTCTGTTATTGCTTCCAGCGACTGCTCTCTGGCCAGCATTTCTGCAGCCGACTGTTCTCGCGGTCCGCCGTTATGGAAGCCCGCACGACGATCTTGTCGGGGATGCTGATGTTCAGCTTTTTCGCCTTGTAGTCGGGTCTCTTCAAAACGTCACACAAGTTCTGCAATGACCACAACGTTTACACTGCATTACCATGTTTTTATTTACCATCAGGAAACAGAAGGCCAGTTCTTCCACCAACACAAACACATACAACTCATCAAACTACCAAACACTGAACAGGTACGAATTCACTGTTCACAGCTTTAGGATCGTGAAAACTGAAAAGCGGACGATAACTAAATGAATAACTAACGAAAGCCTGTCAGAAAAAGTGACAAACTGAAACACAAGTATTCCAAACCAGACTAACCTGCTCCATGTCTGCCGAGACCTTCTTCACGTGCTTCGCCAATACCGTTTTGTCCCAATACTTTCTCCTCCTCGATAACAGTCTGTTGGGGCTTTCTGTTCCCATGGCTGGTGTCGGGCGATGATTTGGCTGATGAGGAGCCATAATCGCTGTGAGCTGCTCGGTCGACGGCAGCGTCACTTGGCGAAACGCAGGTGCGCGCTTCTTCTCCGATTCCCGGATCATCAGCATCCTCCGCACACGGCAACACAGTCGCCGAATCGGACATGGCGTCCATAATTCTTGCAAGTAATTTTTAGTCAACAAAATAGCGATACTACCATTTTTGAACGAACAGAAACAAACAAGAATTCTCAATTCTGGATGAAATCATTAAATTTTCATCATTACATTGAGATGAGCAAGTTTCTGCAAGTACAGGCTGAGTACAGTACAGAAGCTGAGTACAGTAGATTGATCTGGTGTAGCCTACACTCATTTGATTCAAGTCAAGTTTCTGATTATCGATCGAATCATCGTTCGTACCAGTCGATGATTGATAATCGGGTAGCCTTCTGCAAGCACTTCTATTGCTAGAAATCGACAAATGCTTATTTATCGAGGAGAACGCGCGCTTTTGCTATTTGTTACCGTTGAGTCCATTACGATGGCTCTCGGTAAACAGGGTATGTCGTTGCCTGCTTATGCGTTCTCTCTCGGTTCTGTTGGTTCCCTGTCTGGCTTTCGCAGCTGTTTTTAGGGACCTACTCGCAGCATGGAGTTCAAATGCGACTTATGTGGAAAAGTTGTCAAACTGCCCATGGACTATCTATGCACCGCGATTCACTGGTATGCAAGAAGGCCCGTGTTAAAGCTCTCCGTCAGGGACCTTCAGCAGATCCTAACCCCGCTCAATCCGCAGCTAGCTCCAGCCTCCAAGACCGCATAATTGAGTCAAGAAAACTCCATGCCGTCCTCCGTCATGTGCCCACCGGAGCTAGACGCGCCTGCGCTGAAGCTTTACGCAAAATACTGGATGACTGTGTCGAGAAGAATGACGAAGACGCATGGAGTAAACTACTTTTATTCGCTCTTGACAATCTACACGCTCCTCCGTCAAAGTCTGGCCGTGGCTCCACGTTAGCTGCGTCCGTTAAAGCCAATTTACAAGGCACCAGCGTGACCACTAAGGCGAAGAAATCGAAAAAGAAAAGGTCCAGCGACGAAGCACTGAGGAAAGCCGTAAATGCAAAGTTACAAGATGGGGACATAAGTGGCGCTGTTAAAGTTTTAACATCAGACGATGCTGTTGCAGCGGTAACGAATGAAGTCCTGGCTGCTCTTAAAGAAAAACACCCTGATCCTCCTGCTGATTTGAACTTTCCCAGTGCTCCTACTGTGGGTGCGCCCCCAGAATTCTCATCGGAAGAAGTCCATGCCGCGCTTAAAGCTTTCCCTGCTGGCTCTTCAGCCGGGCCCGATGGCCTACGGGCGCAACACTTGAAGGAACTTATTAAAGTGCCTGGAGAATGTGGTGAGCTAATGCTGACAGCGCTTACCAAGCTAGTGAACCACATCGTCTTCAAACCCATCCCCGACAGCATTCGCACCGTTCTCTTCGGAGCCACGCTGATCCCATTAAACAAGAAAACGGGCGGGATACGGCCTATAGCGGTCGGGTGCACCATCAGACGTCTTTGCGGAAAGCTTATTAGCAGACGCGTACAGTCAGAAATGGGCAGTTTACTTCGCCCCGTTCAGCTGGGCTATGGAACGCCGGGCGGAGCAGAAGCAGTGGTGCATGCCACCCGGAAGTTCTTGCGAGCTCACCCAGCCAGCCCCACTGTTTTGTTGAAGCTTGATTTTCGAAACGCGTTCAACACTATTCGTCGTGATATCGTTTTGGAAGAGGCGGCTGAAAAATTACCGCAGTACTTTCACTTTATTTCTCAGTGTTACAGGAATTCCTCTACATTATTTTGTGGCGATACAACGATGCCATCTGCTCACGGAGTACAGCAGGGTGATCCTCTTGGACCGCTGTTGTTTTGTCTCGCCTCCATAAAGCTGTCGAAGAGGCTGCAGTCCGATCTCAACGCCTGGTATCTAGACGACGGGACGGCGGGTGGAGATCCTGAAGTGGTTCTGGAGGATTTTATAAGAGTTTGTAATGATGCGCCAAAACTTGGATTGGAGCTTAACTTCGCTAAGTGTGAGCTGTATGTTTATGGTGGATCTGAAGCGGAACAACAGGCCATCTACGACCGTTTTGCCGCAGTCGCACCTGGAATTCAAAGGGTAACCCCTGAGACGCTAGAACTGCTTGGAGCTCCTCTTACGGACTGGTCAATCGGCCGCTGCTTGGACGGCAAAATTGATCAAATCAGAAAGCTGACCGACTCACTAAGCGTCTTGCCGGCACAGCAGGCGCTATTTCTCCTAAGAAACAGTCTGTCGCTGCCACGACTTATGTATACGCTAAGAGCGGCCCCTTGCAACAAATATCCGGAGAAGCTCAAGGATTTCGATCACGCCATTAGGTCAAAAGCTGAGGAGATTACGAATGTCAAGATGGATGATTGTGCTTACGTGCAAGCTTCTCTGCCGGTCAAATCAGGAGGCTTAGGATTGCCTAGAGCCGAAGAAATCGCAACGCCGGCCTATCTCTCCTCCCTCTATTCTACGGATGAATTGGTACGCACTATAGTGCCCGAAGATTGCCCCGACGATCGGTCTGAGGTAGAGTTATATTGGGAAGAACGTACAGGAAAGTGTGCACCTGCGATGGAAGACCGGAGCAACCAACGCTTGTGGTCGGATATGCTGACTGCTGGGAAGCTGGAAGCCTTAAGAGAGACTGCCGACGTTATTGCCTCTGCTCGTCTGTTGGCTATCTCTACTAGGGAATCTAGTGCCTGGTTGTTTGCGTTGCCGGTTGCTAGTCTTGGAACATTGTTGGACGATGCTGGTCTGCGGATCGCTGTAGCTTTGCGGATGGGGGCACCAGTATGCAAGGAGCACAAATGCCGTTGTGGGGAAATGGTTGATGCGTTTGGCTTACATGGCCTGTCGTGCATAAGAAGTCAGGGAAGGTTCAAGCGGCACGCCAGTCTTAACAGTGTAATCCAACGCAGTCTGGGTTCGGCAAAGGTGCCGACAATCTTGGAACCGCCCGGTCTGAGCAGATTAGATGGGAAACGGCCGGACGGCTTATCACTCTTTCCTTGGAAAAATGGCCTTCCTCTGATTTGGGATGTCACGGTTGTTGACACGTTCGCTACGTCGTATGTAGCCGGTACATCAGAAGCCGCGGGATCTGCAGCTGATGACGCGGAAACACGAAAACGAAACCTTTACTCGGAACTGACTGATCGACACTTTTTCGAACCAATCGCCCTCGAAACTATGGGAAGTTGCGGCGGTAGTACCCGTCATTTCATCAGTGAAGTTGGTCGACGCATTACAGAGCAAACAGGAGAAGCGCGCGCCACCGAATTTTTGTGGCAGCGTCTAAGTGTGGAAATTCAGCGTGGGAACGCTGCTTCTGTTCTGGGAACGGTTGGGTGTTCTAAACAGCTTGAAGAATTGTTCTTTTTGTTCTAAATTGGTTTATCAAGTTCAAGTGTAAATGGCTTTTAGCTTGTACAATTTGTCAATAAAGTACAGAAGTAAAGTTTCTGCAACTGCACAGTGCACACGCTGACACGCATGGATTACCCGCACCCCCCGGTGCGGCATGTTCCTTTAATTACCGGCACAGATAAATATTTTACTACTGTACTCGTAGATTGATTAGTTTGAGTCAACTTTGAGAATACAACTTTAGACAAGTAAGTGTAACAAGTAGTTTTGTTTGTTTTATACGAGGGAGCAAACTGCAAAATCATCAAAAATGTGTGCGTACGCTTTGGTAACACTTCTGTTCGTTTGTTGTTTTAAACTTCAAAACTTCTTTAGTCATCCTTATTATAACCAATGTGAATAAATGGCAGACTGAGAGCCTGAGCGTATACAGTAGTCTGCAACTCTGCATGATATCGTGCGTTTGCCCCACGGCGACCCAATTTATACTGCAGTGTTGAGATTCCTTGACTAATGGATGCTGCTAAAATCGGACGGATGGTAAGTTTCTGAAGATCAGGGAACGAAGTTTCATATGTGCTGTGATCGGGCTCGATTCCGTGGCAAACCGTGATTATGGAGCTGATGATTGCGGATCGCCCTCAGGCATCAGGTATGGGGCTTGGTACAGTACTTCGCAGTGCAACTGCACACTGATGGTGCCAGCAAAATCCTTTCACCTGTACAGTGCTCGAAATATTCAAGAGTATTGTAATTACTAATAAAATGAAATGTCATGTACGAGACTGATTGAGTGCAAACGATAATGCGAGTATCAGAAAAAGCTTTATGCGTATTCGCGTAACCAGTTAACGATAAACCCTATAAGGGCTAAGCAGCTGATCTGATAAACAGTAATCATTAATTAACATCCATAAAATCCTACCTTAAGGGAACTACTTTAACATTGAATTAGGTAATCTAGAAATAACTGGTTATTTAATGATGGTTTTATGGGATATTTGTCATGGTATTTCAGATTGTGGTGGTGGATATTGCAGTATAATTCGTTGTTCTGCGATGTTGAACTGCAGTCGCTGGACTGCTGTTCTTCGTTACTGGCTCTTGAAATGATGATATGCGTGCGTGTGTGTAGTGGCGCCTGCCCTGTCCACGCCCAGCACCCCGACGGCCCCGGAGGAGTCCACGGAGCACATTCCCCTCTTCGGGCTGGTGCGTCCTTGTGTCAGTGGCCAGGAGGAGCTGGTGGGGCATTTCCTGCAGGATCTCGACGTCGTCACGGCCATAGGCCATGCACACGCGACGGCACCATCCGAGTGATCCGGGAGACGGCCGCCGCCGTGGATGAGGGGGCCCGCGTGGAGAAGAGCACGGCCGTCGCCGGGGGAATCGTCTTCATCATTGGTGAGCCAGTAGTCTTCAGTCGACAGAATCATATACTGCGAAGAGTGCATAGATCGTCATGTCTCGCTTCATTGCTAATTTGCCAGGCATACGAGTAGTAATTATAACATCTTGTTGGAGCATAATTTATGAATGGTTTTAATTTACTAACTCCTATGCTTTTCCAGACAAACGTCAAACCGTAAGAAAACTACAAAATCGTCCTAAAATGTCGTTAAGATTGTGGTTGACATCCAGAATTCTTCGCACGTTTTTCACTGTCTCTGCTCTCGGTTGTTTTTTTATATTATTCTCATAATTTCATATGTTTTATAAGTAATAGTGAGTATTTTGTTATTCTTTCTAATTCTGGAATATTAATCTTCCGTTCTTTTACAGTAATTTAATTGTATTTTGCAGTAATATGTCGCCTGCAAGGCCCTGCACTTGATATCATGGAATGTAGTGCAATGGCTTATGGTGACTGAACATATCGTGAAAATTAGCACCGCCATTATGGAAACTGAAAAATTAGTAGCAACTAGTAACGTGAAGTAGTTCTGTCATTTTTTTGCCATTGCGGGTGCGTAAATATTTTTGGCACACGAGAAATGGGAATAAAATATTTTAAAAGCCAAATATTCTTACTTTGTCCATGAGTTCTGATGTTGCATTACAAAAATTTCTGTGGCCTGTGGTACAGAGGAACAGCGTTAAAGAGGAAACCACCGTGTTGTTGTGTATTACAGGCGGTGCCTTAGGCCTCAGCCATCGCCGGCGGCGTGGTCACGTTTCGCCATGGCCGCCGCCGTCCCCACCGCACCCGCGGCACTCTTATGGGGCGGGGCCGGCGTCAGCGCCGCGGGCGGCGTGACCAAGACCGTGGGGACGTACGTGGGCTCCATGGACCACAGCACCCTGGTGGAGCGCCTCCAGTGCGCCATCGAAGAAGACCAGATCGCCCACGACATCCTCGACTACTGCCGGCAACAGCTGCAGAGTGCCGCTACACCGTGCGACAAAGTCGGTAGCCGTTTAGCCGTTCTCAAGATGAATGCAGCATAATGCATTGTCTCGTACTCTCGTTGGATTTTGCTGTTGATAGATGTTTTAAATGTTTTAAGGCAAGCGCCTGCTGATATTTGGTAATTGATTTTGATGCTAAGAATGGTAAAAAATAACACTGAACGGCAAAAAAATTCTGTTGAAAACTAAGGTACGTATGTGCACAGTGTATTAATAACGATAAGTATCTGAGTACGAACTGAGTACTAAAACAGACGAGATTATAACAAAAACACTTCTTCAATGCTATCCTGCTCGGGGATTGTAACCATAACATGATAACACATATCGCGTTTTCCCCGTTGCATTTGGATAGATGTAGCAGTAGTCAGTCGAACTTCCGGTACGATTTCCGGTGAATGAAACTATGCTGCCCCCCGGTGCGGCAGCTTGGTACAGCTTTTGTTTCGTTAGTTCTTGACGAGAGTTGCCGTGCATTTACAGTACTTTCTATTTTCTTCCGCAATTTCTGGTTTGTTTCTGCTCGTTCAAAACTCAAAAGTGGTAGTATCACTGTTTTGTTGACTTTAAAATCAGCTCCAAGAGTTATGACGCCATGTCCGATTCGACGAGCGTGTTGGCAGCTGCGGAGGATGCTGTTGATCAGGGAATCGGAGAAGGATCACAAACGCGCACCTGCGTTTCGCCAAGCGACGCTGCCGTCGACCGAGCATCTCACAGCGATTGCGGCTCCTCGTCAGCCAAATCATCGTCGGACCCCAGCCACTTGAACAAAGAGCCCCTACAGACTGTTATCGAAGAGGAGAAAGTATTGGAACAAAAATGGGGATTGGCGAAGCACGTGAAGAATGTCTCAGCAGACATGGAGGTGAGGAATGCACGAGGTGAGGATTCTAGGAATACTGAATACACGAGCTCCTGTTTGTGATAATTTATCTTGCACTTTCTATAGAAGTGACTTTATTCAGCTTTAGAGAGATGGACATCGTCGCAGAGTTTCGCTAGGAATAACTTTCCACTTTTTAGCCTTTAGAGTTAAGATGTGAAGTTGTGAGCAGCGAATGCGAAGCTGTTTAGGGTTTTCGTGTGTGTTTCTGTTGTCGGAAAAGCTGGGTTTCCGTCATCTTAGTACAAAGTTACAAACATCCAAGTATTTCAAAATACTGCAGAATATTTGCAGCTGATTGCTATGTTACTGCAGAGATTCTGTGAGGCGTTGAAGAGACCGGACTACAAGGCCAAAAAGCTGAACATCAGCATCCGCGACAAGATCGTCGTGCGGGCTTCCAGAATTGCGGACCACGTGCTGGTCATGGGCACTGTCAGTGTAAGCGTGGAAGTTGAATGCTATCCAGCTGTGGTCGCGCATTATACTGCAACCCACCATAACAGATCTTCGATTCGCCAGCTGTAAGCCGTATGGTGACTCGAAGTTATGTTATTGTGGGCGGCAGTACACTGCTCGACGCCTCGACCACAAAGTAGGTAGATATCTCGATTAATTGCATAGAGCGTAAACAAGTGCTTCCCAATTCGAACTGTGCTAAGTTGCTGTTGTAGTCTCAGACCTGTACGTAATATACAATTTCCAAATTTTTGAGGATCCAGCCGTAATATTTTTGAGGTTGTGGATTTTTGAGGAGAGGATTTTTGAGGTCGCAGCCAGGATGTCTAATTCCCACTGTTTGTCATCGCTATCTCTTGCCGCAGTTCGTGCTGGATCCGCTGCCGTGTCCCTACGCCGAGCAGGAGGCGGCCTGCCAAGACTTCCGCGCGACGGCCCCGTACATTCTGAAGGCGCATCTGCAGTCAAAACACGACCTGCGCAATATGATCGTTTATGTAATATAGTAATTAGTAGTATATGATCGTTAGTAATATATGATCGTTTCTCCTACACTATACGTAACGGAGAATACCGCCAAATCCCCTCAATGATCTTTACTGTAGCCGCACACGATAGATAATGATTCGCTCAATCACAACTTCATCATGGCGCTGAGAAATCAGCATAGAAAACAGACGTCTTTAGACACAGATAGCTACGTGAAGATAGTTCACAACAATTGCATAAACGCCGGATTACGCCGGTGAGCAACACTGTATACATGACTATGCGTCACACAGCACTCCCGTTCCTAAGTTTGAAGCACGGCGAAAACCAATCACTTTGAGAAACGGAACATAACTTGAACGATTGGATGACCGTAATGAAGGAAAACGCTATATAAAAAATTACATGAAAGAAGAGGTGCAAGCGTTAAGGCAAGGCATTACGGCGAGGGTTCCCGTAGGGTCCGGTTACGAAGTGTCCGGATAACGGGGCGATCGGTTTCGTCGACGGGCTCGTCCGGTTTCCTGGCAGGACGACGAGGTTTGGTGACGCAGTCCCGCTCAATTTCCACGCGCAGCTCGGGATCCACGTCCTCGACGGGAATGTCCCACTGTGAATCAGTGTCACCCATTAAATCCAAATCAGACAGAGGCTCCGTGAACAGTTTTAGTCTCTTTACGTGGACAACAAGAGTGTTTTACCACGTTTTTTAGTACGCACAGACTGGATCTCGTAGTTAAGCTTTGATTTACGGCTAACCACTTTGTACGGTCCAAAGTAATGTGCGATTAATTTTGGAGACAAACCAACAGGAGTTACCGGCGTATACAATAACACCAAATCACCGATTTGGAATTCACGCGGTTCTCTTTTGATATTGCCGGTCAACATATAACCAGCTTGGACATTCTCAATATTAGCTTTTGCAACATCACTAGCCAGTTTAAGACGCTCAACGAGAGCCTGACTGTATTCGTGCATGTTATTCAAATTGTTATTCGGAAGTGCACCAAGCTGTGCGTCCATGACTGAACGGCACTCACGCCCGTACAACAAATAAAATGGTGTTTTATTTGTCGAGGCTTGCTTACTGGTGTTGTAAGCTGTAGTGACATATGGGAGATGTAGGTCCCAATCTTTTTGATTATCACTGACATACAGGCTAAGCATAACGGCTAAAGTTTTATTGAACCGCTCAGTCAATCCATTACACTGTGGATTGTACGCTGTTGTGTTCAGATGCCGCGTTTGACATAGCACTAGAACTTCCTGAACTACATCTGACAGAAATGGACCACCTTGGTCACTCAAAATTCTTGACGGCGCACCGTGACGCAGTATTACTTGATGCACCAAGAAATTAGCAACTGCAATAGCGGTCTGCGCCGGAATAGCTTTTGTTTCCACATATTTTGTCAAATAGTCAGTACAGACTATGACATACCGGTTGCCTTTAGCGGTACGGGGAACAGGACCAAAACATCCACTCCCACCATCTCGAATGCAGTGCCCACTGGAATTGGTTCAATAAGACCACCGGGTTTATCAGTTGGGACTTTACGAAGTTGACATTGTCGACAGCCGCGTATGTACTTACGCACATGATCACGCATGCGCGGCCAAAGTAGCGCTGACGCACACGAGTATACGTGCGCCAAAATCCCAAATGACCGGATGTACGCTCGTCGCGACAAGCGAACAATATGTCACGTCGCAAATGTTTTGGTACTACGAGGAGCAGTACGTCTTCCCCGTCAACTAACGCTTTGCGATACAACAAGTTGTTTTTCATGGTATAACACACAGTGTCGCGAGACACCAAACCGATTGCCAACTTGTCAATCACATCACACAGTCGTGGGTCTTGCACCTGTTCATAGTGGAAATCTGGAGTGTCGGTCATGGCTACTAACATGTCCATTTCGACATCAGCACTGTCAGCTGGTTCGACGGGATGTCGCGATAGCGCATCCGCATTCTGGTGACGTTTGCCGCTACGGTATACAATTTCAAAATTGTATTCTTGTAACAAGACCGCCCACCTGCTCAGACGACCGGCTAATTCACGCCGGCTCATAAGCCAACACAGTGCACAGTGGTCTGTCACAATGCGAAACATCTTACCATACAAATAAGGTCGTAACTTTTTAACCGACCAAACAATTGCCAGACACTCTTGTTCAGTGACCGCATAATTACGTTCTGCGGGACTGAAACTTTGCTAACGTACGCCAACACCCGTTCGCAGTCACCCAGTTTAGATACTAAACATGCGCCTATTCCAAGGCCGCTAGCATCGCAGTGTAGCTCGATCTCAGCATTTGGATCATAATGAGCTAAAATCGGCGAACTAATTAGTGCGTGTTTGAGTTTTTCGAAAGCAACCATCTGTTCGGAAGACCACACAAACGGTTCGGTTTTTCTCGTTAACCGTACCAGCGGTTCCGATAGACCGGCAAAATCCGTACAAACCGACGAAAATACGAACAAAGTCCTAAGAACGACTTTATGTCCGTGACATTTTCTGGTACTGGATAATCTGCGATTGCCAACAGTTTATCGGGATCGGGACTAATACCATTACGGTCAACGACATGACCAAGGTATTTGGTGCAATCGGACGCGAAAACACATTTTGATGGTTTAAGCACAATACCTGCGTGGCGAAGCTTGCGCAGTACGGCATCAAGGTGCTCCATGTGCTCTTCAAACGTCTTCGAATAGATGAGTACATCATCTATGTACACTATAACAAACTGCCATCTGAATTCATTCAGTATTTTGTCCATTGACCTTTGAAAGGTCGCCCCGGCGTTACACAAGCCGAAGGGCATACGGCTGAATTCATATAAGCCGTCAGGCGTCACAAAAGCGGTACGGTCCTTGCTGGACTCCGCTACGGGGATCTGCCAGTATCCCCACGCCATATCTAAGGAAGTAAAATAAGCGCACCCACCTAACTGATCAAGCGCGTCGTCCAAGCGGGGCATTGGGTACACGTCCTTCTTGGTAACAGCATTGACCCGGCGATAATCAACACAAAACCTCGTTGTGCCGTCTCGCTTGTGTACGAGTACAATGGGAGACGACCACGGGCTACAGGATGGGGTCACAATGCCTTGGCGGAGCATTTTATCAACTTCTGTACGAATGACAATACGCTCGGCCCACGATCGCCGGTAAGGAGGTTGGGACACTGGCAATGCACTGCCTGTGTCTATAACATGCGAAACTCCTTTTACTTCGCCAATAGGGCGTTCAGCAGTGGGAAACACGCTTACGTGTTTGCGCAACACAGCGTGCAACTGTTCAGTTTGATCGGCAGTTAAATTTGCACCACACTGAAGTTCTGGGAGTTCACACGTTTCAACCACCGAGCACTCTGGAACGCGGTCAACATACATTGGTGTCGCAGACGCAATATTCTGACCCTTACCGATTGTTTGGGTCATGCGAGAGAAATTTGCACACGCCAAATAACACACATTGTTGACAATTTTGACTAGCGCGTTTGATGTACGTAACCCTTTTGAGCGAACGTGTTAGCGTTTGGGAAACTATAAACTCCATATTTTCTGGTTTCACACGGCCAGGAAATAGATTACGGTTTAGTTGACATTTCACCCAAGCTACGTGACCAGCGGGAATGTGCACTTTGCGACTTGCAACAAGATTCCGCGCTTTCCATGGCCTGAACTGTTCGCCATCACGTTCATCAAAGCGCCGTATAGTACGACCGGCATAATCAATTACTAGATCCGTTCGCATCAGAAAATCATTACCGACCAATAATTCACGATCGTACGTGTCTAGCACAAGTACGTTAATTTGGTGCGAACAGTTTGCCAATAACACATCAACACAAATAGTGCCGACAGGCGATATCAATTGCCACTAACACCTTTAACGGGCCGCCCGGTATATGACTGAATACACAGATCTAACATCTGTGCACAGTGCACACTCATAATCGTTACAGCGGAGCCGGTGTCAATCACAGCAGGCACGGCCATACCATTAACATATGCCGTAGTGCAAACTGGAGCCGGAACAGTTGAATCGTCATTTGGTTCTTCTATCGGAAATGCATCGAAAGGAAAACCAGCAAAATCAGGGGATCAGACGTATGAGCAGCTAAACCCCTGTACTTAGCTACTCTCTGGAGTTTAAATTTCCCTCACCTTCCGACGGCAGAGCATTTCCATGCTTCGCGTGTGCCGCTTTACGTTCCCGCATGCGATCCCAACACCGGCTTTCTTGGTGACCTTGCCGACCGCAGAAATCACACCGCGACTTGTCGTCTTGGTTCCGTTCAACCGTCACAGCCGGTTTGCGGGATTCGCCATTGCCGCCGTTGCGTGTACCACCACGGCCACGTCCACGAGCACGACCTCGGCCACCGCGACCACGGCCTCCACGGGCACCAGCAGCGCCTCCCCGTACAAACGTTTGCGTCAACACAGGCGCGGCTGACTGAGTCTCGGGAGGTGTCGATGAGCCGGCAGCCATCTGGAACTCTTGCTGCAAACGGGCAGAGATAGCTCTGTCCACAGCCTGTTGAAATTCACTGGACTGCAGCACGTTTGACACGTTTGCTGAACTGACATCACCGGCAGCAGTTTCGTCGTCTTCACTTTGCTTCTGCTTTGCCGAGACTTCAGCTGTCAAAATGACATTTGTGTTAGAACTTGTACGTTCCGAATCAACTTTTAACACCTTGAAACGTGTCAATAACTCTTCCGGTGTTGTCGGATTAAGCACCGCCATATGATTACGTAGGCTTGTACTAAGACCGTTCAACAGGTAGCGCACTTTCATTTCGTTTGACATCGCAGTATCGACTTTATGACAAAGGTCAATGATAGAGTAGTAATATTCAACCAGTCTCTCTTTATCCTGATTGAATTTGCGATTTTGCAACTTGTTCTGATAGTCCCACTTCTCATCCTCACTGACAAATTCTGTGAGAAATGCAGTACGCAAAGCGTCCCAAGTCGCAAACGGCTTTCTGAGGTTATACCACTGCTTAGCGGCACCAGCCGTCAAGTAGAACGCAAACCGTTCATTTTGGTTTTGTCCAGCCAATTCGACATGGTCGCTGCTTCTTCAAACTCCTTCATCCATTCACGAGCGTTATGCTCTGAAGGCTTGAATTTATCGCACTGCAGCGGACCACTTACTGGAGCGTCTGTTGCGACCTTTACAAGACTCTGTAGGCCATCAGTAAGTGCTTTAACTTGTGCATCCATATTGACACTTTCAGTATTATTAATGTCAACGAGAACCGTTGCAGTACGTTCTGGTATATCGGTCAAGAAAGGTGACTGTGTACCTGTCTCAACGAGTGGCGAAGCGTCACTTTCAAGTATAACAGCCGACTGTGTTGAGCTTAATGCGGTAACAGGCTCATCGTCATCTGATATTAATTCTTCATCAGATTTGATTTCGCCCTGGGCACGCCTGACCTTTTCGGTTTTGGCAATTCGCCTTCTGCAAACTCTGCTTGACCGTCTGAACGCAACGTCCGTCCTCCGGCTTTTTTTTAATATGTCTGCTTCTGTATACGGAAAAGTCTGTGTAGCAGCTTTCGAACTTGAAGCTACAGTTATTGAACTTGCGACAGGCTTATCTGCTGCTGCAGTTGCAACTGACTTATCTGCTTTCTTAGTTAGCGGTTGCGTTGATTTACCGCTCTTGTCGGACATTAACGTCGACAATTATTTAACCAAGAATAGCATTACAAATAATGTTGGATTGCGCCTGGTGCAGCATGTATCCCAACACGACATTAGCAGTCAAACTACCAGCAGATAAGAGAATTAACAGTTGAGTTGACCACGAGCAACAGCTCATCAACTTTCTGATCGGTGCTACTATACAGTTCAAAACTTTACACATTTTGAACAAAAGCAACAACCAAATATTGTACGATATGCGATTCTTGTACGAATATTACATTCAAAAGAACTATCCGCTGAATAACGGAATCACATACCCAAAGCCGCTTCCACCGCCTTTAAACGTTCATTACAGGTGTCGTAAAGATGGGTATAAAATGGATCAATAACGGGAGCCGTCATATCGACTGAGAACAGAAAGGTCACCGGGCTATTACGGTTGCTAAACGCATCCACCCAGGAGCGCCATAATATATGATCGTTTCTCCTACACTATGCGTAACGGAGAATACCGCCAAATCCCCTCAATGATCTTTACTGTAGCCGCACACGATAGATAATGATTCGCTCAATCACAACTTCATCATGGCGCTGAGAAATCAGCATAGAAAACAGACGTCTTTAGACACAGATAGCTACGTGAAGATAGTTCACAACAATTGCATAAACGCCGGATTACGCCGGTGAGCAACACTGTATACATGACTATGCGTCACACAGCACAACGTCATATTGAATTTTGTGTGCCCCTGTCCGGGTCGGTTCAACGGCAGGCAGGGCTGTCCGGTGGTGCGCTTCGATCCTGGTCAAGGGCATATGCGGGAACATCTGGCTAAGTACCACCGGAAGTACTACGCCGCGGTGACCGATGCCCTGGTGGCGGCTGACAGTGAGGAAGACGATCCGCAGCTCGTGCAGGTAGTGCGCGTCGGGTTGGAATATGTTGTTACGGTTTAACCGGTGAATTTGGCTTATCACTGGCAGAAACACGAGACGTTCATGCGGCGCACCCGCCGCCTGTTCTTCCCGGGCTGGACGCGCCGCAAGGAGGAGCTCTTCCCCAGCCAGATCATCCCGGACAAGGTCGTCATTCCCACGAAAATCAGCAAGGTGGGTGGTACAGCGTGTTGGCTGTGCTGTTAGTGGCCTTCGTAAGCTGTTGAAGTAATCAATCCGTTGTTTCGTGCAGGAGGGCGAAATCCAGTACATCTGCAACATTGACCCCTGCAGCAAACGCACGTTTCGCCCTCCGCACGCCGCTTCCGGCGTGCACACGCACGTGTGGACGGAGCATCGATCCCGACTGGATATGCGCACCAGTTTGTACCATAAATGCCCTGCGCCGGTAAGAGACACAGAGCCCAGTGCCGGAAAGAACAGCATAGTGTTATAGGACGGAGTGCACACAGTGCTACACGGTCGGATTTTGCAGAAATGCCGGGAAATTGTGCTGGGCTGTGAGCACCAGATGGAACCCCACGTCAAGGCCGTGCACCCCGAGCTGCTGCCCCCCTTTGCACGCCAGGAATATTCGGAGGCCGCGAAGAAGGTTGTGCGGAACTGTTCCCTTAGCGCGCAGTCAGTGCCGTTGTAATTGTTTAATTGGGTTTGTGTAGAAGCGGAAGGATCTGGAGGACAGCATCCCGACCGCCTGCATTGGAGCGGCCCTCGCCAACGATCAGCAGGATGACGATGACAGTCAACTGTTTTTGCAGTGTTACTCGTGTCCTGTCGCGGTAAGTATTTTTACCTTGCTCTCTTCATGATTTCACAGTTGAGTTGGTACTATTTTACAAACTAGATACTCTTGCTAAGAGGCGCTTTCCCGACTGTTTTCCTTTCTGATCAGTTTGCGCTTGCCTGCTTAGTATCATTAGACTCCCTCAGAAATTTCTGTAATTTTCTTTTAAAATCGAAATCGCGCCTGTGTCAGAATTTGGAGTTAAGATATTCTTAAGAAATCAACGGCAAAAAGTAGCGCGATAGGGCAGAAAAAGTGAGACAGTTATGGAGAAAACACAATGCAGGTTGCAGCGAGACTAGTTGCAATATGTTTCCAAATGTGATGCTTATAACTCTGCCGACTAACTAAACCAATAAAAGCTTTCACAGCTGCAGTACTGTGATCTCGGCGCTACACAGCCATGTCAGTTCTAATCAGGCAATTCTATTAGCCTGATAAAATAGGTGGGTAACCTTTACACTTGTAGTTGTAAGAAACTTGAACTTGTATTCACAAGGCCGTATTTACGTTTTCCTTCTGATGACATTCTCCTTAGTCGTTGTGTAGCACCGAGATCACAGTACTGTGTTTTGGGCCTTTGGCAGTATTTTGAAATGTAGACTTGTATCCTTTTTTGGGTTAGTGGTACGATGTAAAGTTTGCGGTGTTGTGCGCTGTGCAGTTGAATTCAGCGCCCAGTACGCTTCTTGCTCGTTACGGGGATAATCGTACTGACGTGGGCTTTACAGGCGTGCGAGAAAATGTTCATGGGTGATTCTGCGCGGAAATACATGGTCTGGCACTTGGGCGCTGACCACGAGGCTGACTGGAATGTCCAGGAGACCCCGGTCGCTTGATGGCGGCGGTTGGATTGCCTCCACAGCACTGCGCTGTCGCAGTGACGGTGTTCTGGCTCATCCGTGCTTCCGGATAAACGACGTCTTTCTGCTGGCGAGTAGCGAATCTGTCTCCCGGCCTAGAAACTGGTGTGCCGAATAGAATGCTGTTCCTGGAGTTTGTGAATGTCACTTTTTTGTTTTCGTTGCTCTGCAGAAGAGTCATACAACTGCGTGCTACAATGTACCTCTGTACAAATACTGTTAAACAGCAGCTTGTTACGGGGAGTTTTTCTTTGCAGATTATGGTATATGTCAAGTGTACTGAGTAGTTAGGTACCTAAACTACATATTTTCGATTAGAATTGTTTTGCGATTTTCGAACAGTGCGAACTACATGCAATGATACAAGTAAAACAATAGTACATGACTAAAACTTGAGAATTTCGTGCAGTGCAGTGCTGAATGGACGCCGGACGTGTGTGTCTGGCTGCAACTGCAGACAGCTTGAGCTAGCACACTATAGTACGTACATATCATGGTATCAGCAACAGTTTATACGTTGAGAGCACTAAGTATGCCAAATGGAAACAAATCTTTCCAGGACTTTAAGAAGCAGGAAATCACGTTACTTGGTTCACGCACTTTACAGCGCAATTGCAAACAGTGCAATGTGCTGCCAGGTCCCCTGTTTCCAGACCGCCCAATTAAAACCGTGCGACCTTTGTCAAAGCACTGTGCCAGCCTTATTCTCAGTAAATTGTCGCGTTGCTTCTTCGCATTTACTGGATGATGCCAAAAAAACTGGCCGTTGACACTCTAGTGACTACAAATATGTACAAGTGCTGTCGGTCGCATTTCTCAACATCAACACAAAAACAGCATTTCGGTATTGGCAAGAAACAACCGGAAATGCACAAGAACACGAAGGAGCCGTCCGCCAATACACTAAACTAGACACAGCGTGACGAGAAGGCCCGTCTATCAACTAACGGTTTGTTCAATGAAATTTCTGCCGTAAGTAAGGAAACCAGAACGCACGTTCACAAATCATGGGAGCGGAAACTTTGGCGCAGCACGTGCTTCGTCGGATGCGCGAATTCGCGAGAAGATGGTGTCGCCTGGCCGGAAGCACTACCGAGCCGCACGGAGCATCACTGCGAAAGAATTAGGGCATTGGTGTGACAGGAATACCGCGAACTGTGTTGCCCCTTGAGCGACTACGGCTTGTTTCGCGGGCACATTCCAGACGTCGCGGTGGTCGGCCTGGATGTGCCAGAGCATGTATTCCCGCTGACATCCCTCTCCTAGACACAGAAAGTCGGTGCGGCAGCCCTGCGAAGGGGACGAGTTTAGGCGGCCATCTGCACGGTCAACGGGCCAGCAACGTCTCAGGCAGGTGACCTTTGCAACCTACCAGGAAAGCCACTACCACCCAGTGGTAGGTAGCCCTTTGCTACCTACCACTGGTACCAACCCACGCTCCGCTCGTCGGCGGGAATGGGAACGCGGTCCTCCAGCGCTTTCAGCTTCTGCAACACACACCGACTTTCACTCTTACTGGGCGACGCAGGACTGACTGGTTAGCACCAACCAAGTGAACCAACCTGTGCGCTTCCGGCGAGTAGTCGACGGACAATCCCAGCAGCTCGGGATGCACAGCCTTGACGTGCAGTTCCATCTGCTCCTCGGCAGCGTTCATCACCCGCTGACCCGGTCGCATCCCTGCCAGCCAAAGCATGCACTGATCACACCATTCAGCAAGCACAAACACCAGCAGGAGTGCACCTTACCGGCGCAGGACAGGACAGGCGTGGTAGCATGCGGTGTCCACCAGGTCGTAGCGTTTTCCCTGCTCCTGCAGCATGTGTAGGTGGATGCCGAACGCCGAGGCGATGGCGTGGTCGCTGCAGGGATCGATGCTGCACATCAGCACATGTACTTGATTACACCGTCCTGAGGGAAAACAACGGAGCACCGCTTCACTTCTGCACGTCTGTGACTGACTACGACCAACTATCCTCAACACCTGCACTTTCGTGGGAATGATGATTCTGTCCGGAATGATCTGGCTGGGGAACATGATGATCTGGCTCCTTCTCGCGCGTCCACGCCGGGAATGTGGAGTGACGGGCGCGCTGTCGGTAGTAGAGGCGCGTCTGCTTAAAGGAGGCAATCACGAACGAGTAATCACTGACAATTAATTTACCCACATTTTTCGCCTTACCAGTACCTTGAGTGTAGGCAAGTTTGCTACAGTACTTCTAGTCGTACCGGTAACTGCAACAGCCAGGACGAAAACGAAGAACTAACGAAACGAACGAAATAAAAGCCGTAGCAAGCTGCCACACCGGGGGGTCAGCATGGTTTCTTTAATGAGTTTAATCTTCACCGGAAATACCGCAAGTTATATGGAATTGTTATAACTGCACTCCGTACTCCGTAGTTGCAATTGGTTGTCAATTTTCAACGCTCGTAATATCATTATACTGCTTTTCGCTTCAGTTACAGCTTTTATGTAAACACTAAACAGTTAGTATGAGCTCACGATGACAGCAGAAAGAATCTACAAGGACAACAAAAGAAATGCAGACGCCGTCCGTGGATTCAGTGGACCGTGAGAAATTGAAAGGGTTGCGAACAGGGAAAGGGCGGACAGTCTGTCGCAGCTCGTAAATGAAGAAACAGAAAAATACCATTGACAAACTATAGGAAAAGAAATTCGGCACATCCATTTCCAGGCCGGGAGACAGATTCGCTAGTAGGACTAGGAACGTTGTTCATGTGGAAGCACAGATGAGCCAAAACAGCGTCAATGCGCGTGGCTGAGACTGGTCACTCCGCCGCGCCGCCGCCATCAAGTGACTGGGGACTCCTGGACGTTCCAGTCGGCCTCGTGGTCAGCGCCCACGTGCCAGACCATGTACTTCCGCGCCGACTCAGCCAGACCCAGGAAGACTTTGTCGCACTTCTGAAAAGCGCAAGTAAGTACAAATTTACAATTATCCCCACAGGCCACAACGCGCAAGCAGCGTACTGGGCGTTTAGTACCCGAAATAGGAAATACATTTCAAAATTCAGCTGAAACACAGTATTGTGATCTCGGTGCTACACAACGACATGGCTTCTATTCAGCCTGATAAAAATCTAAAATAGGTACTTGTAGTTGTAAATTTAACTTTATTCACAAGGCCGTTTTTACCGCTTTCCTGCTGCTGTGTTTCTCCTTTAGTAATTAGTACCATTAAATCCTCAGAATTCTTCAAATTTAAAAAGAATCAAATCGCCCCAAAGTGAGAAACTCGAATTTAAAGATCTCAGAAAATCCAGCGCAGATATGGTGGCTGACTTGGATCAAAACGTCAGCATGCGCCATACGCAGTATCTGCGAGACTGCGACTAGTCTCGCTGATTCTGCATTATGTCTTCTCGATAAATGTCTCACTTTTTTTGCCCTATCGCGCGCTAGTGTCCCAGATTGCATTGATTCCGATGCGCGACAGCTGTCGAAAAAAACCCTGTTTTGAATTGTTGATAAAAGACGGAATCACAGACACGCATCTCCACAACGGCACCATACAGCGTACCGTGATCTAAACTCTAAATAACGCTGGCTAACATGTTGTTCAAAGTCAGCCATTCGCGTTGATTTACGTGAAACCTCTTAACTCCAGTTTCTAACTTCGCGGAGTTTAATTATCAACCCTACCAAGCACAAACTGATCAGAAATGAAAACGTTCGGGAAAGCGCCTTGTTAGTGAGTGTCCGGTGGGCAAAACAGTATCACGTTGAATCATGAAGAGAAGAATGGTACAAATACCTTGACAGGACATGTGTAACGCTGCAGAAACAGCTGGCCGCCCTCGTCAGCTTGCGGATCGTTGGCAAGGGCCTCTCCGATGCAGGCGGCAGGGATGCTGTCCTCCAGATCCTTCCGCTTCTACACAAACCCAATCATCCAGTTACAACGGCGCTCACCGAACAGCACCACCCTACCTTCTTGGCCGCCTCCGAGTAATCCGTCCGCGGTCCCAGCAGCTCGGGGTGCACGGCCTTGACGTGGGATTCCAGCTGTCGCGCACAGCCACGCACCGTTTCCCGGCATTTCTGCAAACACCGGCCTTGTAGTACAGGCACTTTGCGCACTCCCGTTCTGTAATGATATAGTGTTCCACCCGGCGCTGTGCTGTGCCCACTGCCCACTTACCGCCGCCGGGCATTGGTGGTACAGACTGGTGCGCAGATCCAACCGGGACTGATGCTCCGTCCACACGTGGGCGTGCACGCCGGCAGCCGCGTGCGGAGGGCGGAACTTGCGTCGGCGGCAGGGGTCAATGTTGCAGATGTACATGATTTCGCCCTCCTGCACGCAACAACGGAATGATTACTTCGAAGACACTAACAGCCAACACGCTGCGCCACCCACCTCGCTGATTTTCGTGGGAATGACGACCTTGTCCGGGATGATCTGGCTGGGGAAGAGCTCCTCCTTGCGGCGCGTCCAGCCCGGGAAGAACAGGCGGCGGGTGCGCCGCATAAACCTCTCGTGTTTCTGCCAAAGACGCAGCCACATTAACCGGTTAAACCGTGATAACATATGCCAACACGACGCGCACTACCTGCATGAGCTGCGCATCGTCTTCGTCAGCCGCCACCAGGGCATTCGTCACCGCGTCGTAGTACTTCCGGTGGTACTTCTCCAGATGCTCGTGCATGTGTCCTTCGCCAGGATCGAAGCGCACCACCGGGCAGCTCTTCTTCCCGTTGAACTTGGCCGGACAGGGACACACAAAGTTCAGGATGACGTTGCGCAGGTCGTGCTTGGCCTGCAGGTGCGCCTTCAGAAAGGACGGGGCCGACGCGCGGAAGGCTTTGCAGGCCTCCGTCTGCTCCGCGTAGGGACACGGCAGCGGATCCAGCATGAACTGCGGCAAGAGATGAGCGATGACAAAAGATTACAGTCATTACTACATGTAGAATATCAGACATCCTGTCTGCGACTCAAAAACTTGGAAATTGTAATTTATACGTACAGGTTCGAGCACCGTACAAGTTACAACAGCGACCCAGCAGGGCGCAGCGCATCGCAAGCAAATAGCTCGAAAATGGAAGCGCTTGTTTACGCTCTATGCATTTAATCGAAATATCCTCTACTTTTTCGTCGAGCATTATACTGCAACCCACAATAACGGATCCTCGATTCACCATACAGCTGGATAACATTCAACTTAATAACTTCACCCTTACGTCGACAGTGCCCATGACCAGCACGTGGTCCGCAATTCTGGAAGCCCGCACGACGATCTTGTCGCGGATGCTGATGTTCAGCTTCTTCGCCCTGAAGTCGGGTCTCTTCAACGCGCCACAGAATTTCTGCAATAACATCATAACAATACTGTAGTGCTTTAGAATGCTTGTACTAGGATGACAGAAACGGCTGAGAAACCCAGTTTTTCAACAACAGAAGCACACACAAGGTATTCTTACGAATCTTCGCGACACTGTCCATCTCACTTAAGCTGAATAAAGTGGCTTCAACACTCGTATTTAAAAAGTGCAGGATAAATTAAACACGAGCAGTGACGAGCTCGTGCATTCCTCACCTCCATATCTGCGGATACATTCTGCACGTGCTTCGCCAATCCCCAGTTGTGTCCCAGTACTTTCTCCTCCTCGACAACAGTCTGTTGGGGCTTGTTCTTCAAATGGCTGGTGTCAGGGGACGATTTGGCGGACGAGGAGCCGCAATCGCTGTGAGCTGCTCCGCCTGCTCGGTCGACGGCAGCGTCGCTTGGCGAAACGCAGGTACGCGCTTGTGCTTCTTCTCCGCTTCCCTGATCAACCTGATCATTAGTATCCTCCGCCGACGGCAACACAGTCGCCGAATCGGACATGGCGTTCACAACTCCTGGAGTTGATTGTAAAGTCAACAAAACAGTGATACTACCACTTTCGAAGGAGCAGAAACAAACTATAAATTGTGGATGAAAATAGAAATTAGAAAGTAACAGCTCTCGTCAAGATTCAAGAACTAACGAAACAAAAGCTGTCCCAAGCTGCCGCACCGGGGGGCAGCATGGTTTCGTTCACCGGAAAATATTAATAGTACCGGAAGTTATGTGACATGTCATTTAAAATTGAACTGGAGCCCGGATACTTCGACTGACTACTACTACACTCGAAGCATTGCCGCTGGCCGGCGTTGTCGGCGGCTTACCATCCCGTTAAAGCCCGAGATGCCGGCGAGGGAGGGAGGGATGTGGATGCGCGCATTCGCAACGGTGCATAAGCGGGCGGACGGCCACCGCCGACATCCCCCGGCAGTCAACCATAGCCACCTAAATTATTGTAATTGCATGCATCATCTATATTACTACCTTAATTAATATAATAAGTTTAAATAATAATTTTTTTTTACTTACTTGCTTAAATTAGAAGTTGGTCGGCCTGCATTTTGTACCCCATAGGTGACAATTCACGTCAGTAATATCTTTCCGGCTTATTCAAAACAATTTCGCATCACATAACCGGCACCAAAGAACGTATCACCGTGTACGAGTACTAACACTCTGAGTTTTACACATTTTGTGGAGATGACCTATTGGATCCGCTGCGTCGGTTGCATAATTATGTCATCGATACTATGCAGTCCCCCGAACTACCAATAAAGTCATTGCTGAGGTGTTCGTGGAGGCTGTCTTAAATATCAAGTTTAAACTACTATGTACTATGTACTTACTCGGAAGTCGTAGGTCGCTAGCTTGCTAGTTATTGTAAATTGGTGAAACGGCACATTGACTATTTGACATACAGCGGTGCGTGAAGATTATTCAAAGGTCATTTAATTGTGCAGTTTTCTCACAAGCCAGCGGAAAGTGTACATACATTACACTGCCAGTAATTTGTTTATGATAAGACGGTTTTGGCGATATCCTGGCGGCTGATCGAAACGCGAACTGCAGACGCGCAGCTTCACGGGCGCATTAGAAAAACAAAGAGAAGATAGCGAGTAATTACAGAAAGAACGCCTGCATCGGCGCTGTGTGACTATGCATTCTCTCAAGCACGGTTCAGTTCTCAGGGGTCAGCAAACTGAGGACTGAGGCAGTAGAAAAAGGCACAGACAAGGCATTTATGGCGTCTCTAGGATTTTTGTCTAGCAAAGGCTGGCTAGCACTACCAGATCTGGCATTTGCGGGGCGGATTCATCGGGCTGGTGTTGGGACAGTGGAAGGCGTCGGCGAATTCCTGCGAGAGAGTGCAGTGACAACAGTGCAATGCCGGTTGAGTGCTGCGGGTGTAGCAGTTGACGGTTACAGCTTAAGCAGCGCTTACGTGCACGTTCTCAACGCTCTCCCTGCACCAAGTCTCCATACATTCTTGCGTGACGATGAAGTAAGAATTGGCGTCGCATTACGGTTCGGACTTCCTGTGGTTGAAGAGCACGACTGTGTCAATTGTGCTAGCCACGTGGAAACTAACGGCCACCACGGGCTGTCATGTTCCAGTAGCAAGGACGATGGTCCCGGCATCTCGAACTGAACAACATTGCTAAACGCAGCTGGGAAACGGCGGGCTTTCCTGTCAGAATGAGCCATCGGGATTGTCAGACAAGGATAACAAGCGACCGGACGGCATGACACTGATACCCGTGCGTGACGGAAAGGCGGTAGTGTGGGACGCCACCTGCTGGGACACCGTGGCTACCTCGCACGTAAAAAGCCAGCTCAAAGAAGTCAGGTAACGTGGCACGGCTGGCGGAAGACTTTAAGCGCGGGAAGTACGGATTTTGGAGGATATGGGGTATCTGTTCTACACCCTCGCAGTCGAAACCCTTGGAACTTTTGGTTCGGAATTTGCTGAGATGATACGTTTTGTCGGGAGGAAGATTCGCGATGTGACCGGGGAATCTCGATCTACGGCTTTCCTTAGACAACGTTTTAGTCTCGCTGTTGTTAAAGGAAATGCGGCTGCTGTCTTGGGTACATTAAACGCGCGACCGAAAGTTGGATGTGACAGTAATGACTTTGGTTGTTTTTTCAATGTGTAAATTCAAACTTTTTAATTAGTGTCTTTCGGCGCAGGCTTTTTGTTACGTTTAATTGGCTATTGCCTGAATAAAGAATTAATCAAAGCGTACAACAAAAATTGTTACTGCTTTAAAATACAAAAAACTGATGGTACACAAGTTATCCGGTTATATTGCTCAGAACGGGCTGCGGCTTCGGGCTACCGTACTTGCTGACCAACCATACAGTCGGTACTCGTACAGTGGAAATAGAAGGACCAGTGATAGTAACAAATTCCGCAGATTTCGAATTTAATTGCGCATTACGAGCTGATTTAACAGATGGACAAATGGCCGCATTTCATAATTCATACCGTGTTATTACGGTATGCTTCTCCTTTCAGAGTGGCGTCACTCGCCGTCATATATAACAAACAGAACCAATAATAATGATACAAAATACCACGGCGTACTAGAAGTTGTTTTTCGAATAATTATTATTTCTTGGGTAAAGTGCAGTAATGCTACTGTAGAGCAAAAAAATTGTTGCCTTTATACAAAGGTTCATACAAAAAAAAATAATCATCAGAAAATAAGCTCAAAAACTGCCGGAAATACTTACACGAGCCGTCCGCGAATTAATGAAACAGCGAGAAACTGAAACTGGAAAACTTAAAGAGTTGCGAACAGGGAACGGGCGGACAGTCTGTCGTAACTCGTAAATGAAGAACAGAAAACTACCATTCACAAACTATAGGAACAGAATTCTATGCGGCACATCAGTTTCTAGGCCGGGAGACAGATTCGCTAGGAGATGACGTTGCTTATCCGGAAGCACAGACGAGCAAAAACAGCGCCACTGCGAAAGCACAGTGCGCCCTATGCAATATCACTGCGCATTCCAACAGCCGCGGCGCCGGCTTCAGTTGACTGTGGCCTCTTGGACATTCCACTCGTCCTCGTGGTCAGCGCCCACGTGCCAAACCATGTATTTCCGCGCCGACTCCGCCTGACCCATGAACATCTCCTCGCAGTTCTGAAAAGCCCACGTAAGTAAGATTATCCTCACGGCCAAAACAAGCGTGCTGGGTGCTGAATTTAATCGCACAGCGCATTATACCGCCAACTTTACACCAAGCAACTAACCCGAAAAAAGGATAATACACAATTCTAAATACAATTAAAACATCGTACTGTGATCTCGCTGCTACAGAACGACGTTGGTTGAACTCGGCTCTATTCAGGCCCGGGGCAATTCCATTAGCCTGATAAAACAGGTACTGATAAAATAGTCTGATAAATCAGCTAGTACAGTACTTGTACTAGCTGTATTTAGCTTTATTTCCAAGGCCGTATTAACTGTTTCCGTCTGATGAGGTTCTCCCTAGTAATCAGCATCTTTCCAATCCTCAGAAGGCTCTAAATTTTTACAACACATCGAATCGCCCCAGAGTAAGAAATTCGAATTCAAAATCGCAGAAAGCCAACGCAGACATGATGGCGGACTTGGATCAAAAGGTCAGCATGCGCCGTACAGATACGCAGTACCTGCGCCTAGTCTCGAATCGATTCGGCATTGTTTTCTCAATAACTGTCGACGTTGTTTTGTTATATCGCGCGCGCGCGCGCCAGCGTCGCAGATTGCATTGATTCGGATGCAATCAATGGATGTCAGTGCGCGCAACGGGGTAGGAGATAGCTATCGAGAAAACACTGCTTTGAATTTTGAGTCAATTTTCGATAAAAGATGGTTGCGGAATCATACAGACACGCATGGACCTAACCGCACCGTGTTCTAAATAACGCTTAAAAGGAGACATTTTGATCAAATTGATTTCTCAGGAAATCTCTTAACCGCAATCCTTACTTCGGGACAATTTGGATTTTTAAAAGAAAACAATGGAAATTTCTGAAAGAGTCTAACGATACCAAGCACAAAGTGATCAGAAAGGAAAAGGGTCGGGAAAGCGCCTTGTTAGGAAAAGTATTGTATCTGTGAGTAAACTAGTACTGTACCAAGCTGAATCTTTAAGGGTGCGTCTCCAATTCAAAGCGAATCTAGCTTTGGTACGGCTGCTCAACCGCACGACGTGGCTGTATGCAGTGGCCACGCCTACAGATACGGTACGCGAAGCCACCTCGCGAGGTGGAGTTGCTGTATCGCAACAAGATTCGCTTCGAATTCGGGACGAGGCCTTATAAGAGAAATAGAAAAACTAAAACCACACTCACCGCGACAGGACACGTGTAACAATGCAGAAACAGTTGACTGTCATCGTCATCCTGCTGATCGTTGGCGAGGGCCGCTCCAATGCAGGCGGTCGGGATGCTGTCCTCCAGATCCTTCCGCTTCTACACAAACCCAATTAAACAATTACAACGGCACTGACTGGGCGCTAAGGGAACAGTTCCGCACAACCTTCTTCGCGGCCTCCGAATAATCTCTCCTGGGTCCCAGCAACTCGGGGTGCACGGCCTTGACGTGGGATTCCATCTGGTGCTCACAGCCCAGCACAATTTCCCGGCATTTCTGCAAATCCGACCGTGTAGTACTGTGTGCACTCCGTCCTATAACACTGCTGTGCTCTTACCGGCGCAGGGCATTTATGGTACAAACTGGTGCGCATGTCCAGTCGGGATCGATGCTCCGTCCACACGTGGGTATGCACGCCGGAAGCGGCGTGTGGAGGGCGGAACTTGCGTCGGCTGCAGGGGTCAATGTTGCAGATGTACATGATTTCGCCCTCCTGCACGCAACAACGGAATGATTACTTCGAAGACACTAACAGCCAACACGCTGCGCCACCCACCTCGCTGATTTTCGTGGGAATGACGACCTTGTCCGGGATGATCTGGCTGGGGAAGAGCTCCTCCTTGCGGCGCGTCCAGCCCGGGAAGAACAGGCGGCGGGTGCGCCGCATGAACGTCTCGTGTTTCTGCCAGTGATAAGCCAAATTCACCGGTTAAACCGTAACAACATATTCCAACCCGACGCGCACTACCTGCACGAGCTGCGGATCGTCTTCCTCACTGTCAGCCGCCACCAGAGCATCCGTCACCGCGGCGTAGTACTTCCGGTGGTACTTCCCCAGATGCTCCCGCATATGTACTTGGCCAGGATCGAAGCGCACCACCGGGCAGCTCTGCTGGCCGTTGAACTTGGCCGGACACGGACACACAAAATTCAAGATGACGTTGCGCAGATCGTGTTTGGCCTGCAGATGCGCCTTCAGGATGTACGGGGCCGTCGCGCGGAAGTCTTTGCAAGCCTCCGTCTGCTCGGCGTACGGACACGGCAGCGGATCCAGCATGAACTGCGGTGAAAGATTAGCGATGACAAAAATGTGGAAATTAGACATCCTGTCTGCGGATCAAACATTTGTGAAAATTGTATACTACGTACAGGTCGGAGACTGTACAACAGCAACCCAGCACAGCGCATCGGATGCAATCATGCAAATTGCTCGAACAGGGAAGCGCCTGTTTACGCTCATGCAATTCATCGAGATGTCTATTGTAGATAATCTACAGTACCTACTTTTTGGGCGAGCATTATACTGCAGCCCACAATACAAATCTTCGAGTCACCGTACAGCTAGCGCATCGAAGATCTGTTATCGTAGGTTGCAGTATAAAGCTCGACCACAGGTCCACAGTTACAGTTGGATACCATTCAACTTCCACGCTTACACTGACAGTGCCCATGACGAGCACGTGGTCCGCAATTTTGGAAGCCCGCACGACGATTTTGTCGCGGATGCTCATGTTCAGCTTCTTCGCCTTGTAGTCGGGTCTCTTCAAGGCGTCACAGAATTTCTGCAATAACAGTTATATCAATAACGCTTTACAATGTTTGTACTAAGTCCTAAGATGACAGAAACCCAGTTTTCAAGAATCGCACATGGAAACCCTAAACAGCCACGAAATCGCTGCTTAAGGATGAAAAGTGGAATGTTACAGTATTCTTGCCGAATCTTTGCGACGCTGTCCATCTCACTTAAGCTGAACGAAGTTACAGGGTTACTCCAATATTTAAAAAGTCACAAAGACAAAGGGGATAACAAATCATAATTAATTAATCATCGGTGTATTCTTAACCTCCATGTCTGCCGAGACATTCTTTACGTGCTTCGCACATCCCCAGTTTTGTTCCAATACTTTCTCCTCTTCGATAACAGTCTGTTGGAGATTTTTCTTCCCCTGGCTGGTGTCCGGCGATGACTTGGCTGATGAGGAACCGTAATCGCTGTGAGCTGCTCGGTCGACGGCAGCGTCGCTTGGCGAAACGCAGGTGCGCGCTTCTTCTCCGATTCCCTGATCAGTGTGATCATCAGCGTCCTCCGCAGACGGCAACACAGTCGCCGAATCGGATATGGCGTCCATAACTCTTTAGGCTGATTTTTACACCAACAAAACAGTGATAGTACCACTCTGGAACGAGCAGAAACAAACAAGAAATTGTGAATGCAATTTATCGAAATTTCAGCTCTGCACAGTGCACACTGCTCTGCAACTGCAACACGCATGGATCATGGCCCATCAGCCCAGCCCATGGCGGATGAATTTGAGATGATTCATGCTAACGGAATGACTACACGCCCCCCGGTGCGGCAGGTTCCTTTAGTTACCGCCCACCGGCGTAGATAGAATCTGATATTTTACTACTGTACGGTACTTTAGAGTTATTGAACAGTGACGGGAATGCGAAAACAAGCTGCCGTTTGAGTGCAAATTTCAAGTTGCAGCGTTGATTCAATATACGCCCAGCTTTTTCAAAGCAGCTTCAATTTTGTAGAAGCAGGCAATTCTACTTAAAAAAACCCTGTGCGTATGAGAAAATCCAAAGGAACCTGCACGGTAAAGTTGTAAATTCAAACGGCGATATTCGTAATTGCAAGACGGTAGTAGGTGAGCAATGACACAAACACAATCTGAATTTCGGACATGTTCGGCAACAACCCCCAGCGTCCCCCCACACCCCAAAACGATGTTGCCAAAATTTTAAGTTTTTGGCAACATCACAAGCTGCTTGCCAGAGCCATGCTGCCGAGCAAGACATGATTCCAAACGGGACGAAAAAGGCTAGCCAATCACAATCGTTCAGTGACGTCATGAATCTTTAATTTCCGCCGGCAGCATCAAAAACATTTTTCGCTAGCAGCACGCCCTGAGTTTTCGCATTCGCATCAGTTTATTCAGACTTTAAGAATACTTCTGATTGTTTTATTAGGCCTGCGCTGAAAGTCTGAGTCTGAATCTGATTCTGTATGCTAAAAGTCTGAGTCTGAATATTAAAAGTCTGATTCTGATTCCTGGAACTCTGAATCTGAATACCAAACCGAATCTGAATAATAAGACACCTAGGTCTGGCAGGTGAGTCATAAGAATTATAATGCAGTTGCAGACAATAATTAAAAGCTCTGGTGATAACAGCTATCTATACGAGCAATTATACATTGTAAATTGGTATTAGGCGGTACACGGGGCGCCTGACAGAGACGTTATGAATACGTTTGTGCGGTAAAAAAATATTGTTTTGCGTCCAGTGTAGGATAAGATAGCCCGTAATTCTTCTGAATTTACCGAACGAGCCTGTGCCAGCATAATATACGCCCATGTAAATGCGCTGTTATGTTGCATATATGCAACATAACAGCGCAATTACTATATAGTGTGCATAGAGTAAGGGGAATACACATACGCAACACTTACAAGTTCCATTTATTCGTATAAAGTGTTAACAGCAATACAGAGTACATACGAAATTTTAAAGGTCACATAGTTGTTGGCCGTTTGCGCAAAGTACCACAAAAAAAAGAATGACGAGGCGCGTTAAAAAACAATCACAGTACTGTAAGTACTTCCAGATCTAATGTAGAAGGCAAACCGATGGAATATGCCTTGCGGTTCAGCGTGAAACTGCGCGATACTTTAATCGGTTAATCAGGTGCCGTTGATGGACTGAATCACTGAATGAATGAATTTTCAGTCTTTTCCGCATACTGATTTGGTGGTTCAACTTGTGATGGCTACCGTACGTTGACATCTGCGATAAAGTGCAGCAATTCCAAAATTCTGTCAAAACCAGTATATCTATTTGGTATACTGTAAATTGATCAGTTCAGACCAGCTTTACTGGATTACTAATTTTGTTTTATCAATTATTTTATGGATAGCCGGCAAAGCTATGTATTTAAACAGCAAAATTGGAAACATCGATCAACATGTAAGAAAAATGCAGTTAACAAATAACTGATACAGGTTCTTTCAAAAGGAAAGCCTAATATGTAAGCTCAGGAAGTACTGTAGCACCGTACAACTACGTTTGCACTTTGCAGCAGATTAAGTCGGAAATGGAACGTATAATTACCGCATATACGGGTATTCCCATAATTCTATGCACAGTATGCAACATAAAAGCACATTTACATGGCCATATATTATGCTGGCACAGGCTCGTTCGATAAATTCAGAGGAATTACCGGCTATCTGATCATACACTGGACGCAAAACAATACTTTTTTACCGCACAAACGTCTTCGTAATGTCTCTGTCCTGCGCCCCATGCTGTTGTTCACGAGCAGTTCCCACCGCCTACAGTAATAATACTAATCTATAATTACTTGCATAAATAAGCGTTGTTTATACAAGCCATTAATTATTGTCTTGACACAACTGCATTATAATTTTAATTAGAGACTCGCGTCGTCACCTGCCAGATCCAGGTGTCTTATTATTTAGATTCAGAGTTTGGTATTCAGATTCAGAGTTCCAGGAATCAGAATCAGACTTTTAATATTCAGACTCATACTTTTAGCATTCAGAATCAGACTCAGACTTTCAGCGCAGGCCGTTTTATTATGCTTGTTCTGATTGGATTGGTATGTAGCAGGAGAATCATCAATGTGCGTGCGCTTTGCAGACGTGTGACAAAGTCGTCAGCCGTTCCCGGGCTAGATGCCGCATTCCATCGTTAGATTTCGCCGCTGATCCGCTGTTGCAGAAATTCTGTGGCCCGGTTTCATATTGGATTTTCTGTGACTTCTGTCCCACTGTTTTTATCATTTTTCGGTTCGGGTATTTACAAACAGTTAGAGAAAGCCCGATCGTCTCGAGAAGTCAAAGAGCGTTTTCACATTCACGGGATAGCACAAAAGAAAACTGCCTAGTGCTCACCCTCTTTGCGACTATCTGCATTAGTTGTATACATACAAAGTGCTTAAGAGCATTTTTCAACACCAGCACAAAAACAATTAATTCGGCATTGGCAAGAAACAACCGCAAACGCAAAAGGACTTCCAGGAGCCGTCCGCCGACAAAGTTGGGCAAAGGGTGGCGAGAAGGGCCGTCTACCAACTGGTTGATTGTTTTGTGGCGTAGTGCAGTGGCACTGACGTCACGAGAATGTGCTGTCCTTTAGTGACCTGTGTGTTTTGTCCGACTGCATGACAACTGCGATAGCAGCATGCCCTTGTTGTCCTGTTGACAACAATCAGTTGGTTGTTTGCGCCCTCAGTGGCGGTTCATAATGAATGTATTATGCCGCCACATCAAGTCGTAACAGTTTTGTTTACTTTAATTTCTGCCGTAAATAATGAAGCGAAAAGCACATTTACAGATTACAGAAGCAGACATATCGGCACAGCACGTGCTTCGTCAGACGCACGGATTCGCGAGATGGCGTCGCTCCGCCGGAAGCACTGCCGAGTCACCACGGAGCATCACTGCGAAAGCACAGGACAATGGTAGTGTGCGAACCGAAAGCACCGAATGTGTCACCTCCTGGGCCAGCCGCACGGCCAACTGGCCAGCAACGTCTCACGCAGGTGACCTTAATAACGTACTTGGATAGGAACATTTGTACCATCCCACGTACCGCTTGCCGGGGGGAACGGGAATGCGGTCCTCTAGCGCTTTCAGCTTCTGCAACACACACCGGCGGTCACTCTTATACTGGACGATACATAGACTGACTGGTTAGCCCTACCAACCCGTGGCGCTTCCTGCGAGCAGCTGACGGCGTTCTACAATGTTGCTTGCCATGTTGTGAGGTGCATAAACCGGTTCAAGATTAGAGTCCAAAGCACAAGCTGGACGATGAATGGCAGATGCCGCGCCGTAAACACTGCGAGGTGTTCGGTCTGTGAGGCCGACGGTAGTCGGTAATCGGTATTGACAGGCGAAGCCCCGATCGACTCTGCTGCCACTGCTGGTGGCCACCGCCACCGGCAGACTGCGCTGGATGATCTCGTCGATCTGGCGTTGCGCTTGCGCAGGTGTTCCGCCGTCAGCTTCTTCCCGGAGGCCGTCTTCCCAGGGGGAGCGCGCCCCCGCCGCCATACTGTGCAGTCCCCGGTCCCGCTCCCCCTCCACACACGGAGAGGGCCACCGCCAGCGGCATATGCCATTGGATGATCTCGAACACGAGCTCTTCCCTGTGTTGGCAGTGGGATGTTGATTTTCACTTTGCGGGCTGTATCGTCTGGTCTCACCACACAGCGGCAAATTTGCGCAGCACAGTTTCTGCAATCAAATCTTAGAATCTTTATATTATTTTACTTGGATATTTATATGCTTAAATACCGATATTTTTTGAACATTTCTGGGAGTAGACGAGTAGTTACCGCTTCCATAAATGGTAAAAAACAGATGCAACACAAAACTGGACGCACAGAGACGCGAGGTTCCCCGTGGTTATTCAACCATTGTAAAGCATTACGACACCGCAACTTCTATCAACAAGGCTCTATCGTTTAAAAAGAAGGTTCATCCACGTTAGCAAAACAATTCTTCGTCATGAATGTAGAAGGAGAGAGCGATGCTGAGCATACAGAGAGCGACTAGTCAGTAGTCACTAACAACAAGCATTCAAACTATATCATCCCCATGCTCCCTTGTCCTTACCAGTGTTTCGTGTCATTCCGATTCCTCATCCTGGTCATCCATACTTTTTCAAAATCCTCCGAGAAACTGCATTGAATATATATTCCGGGGATAACTAAACCAAAAATAGTCATAAGTAAATAATTAAATGAGAGCCAAAGATTGGTACACAAGATACAGAACAGCGTAGGCCAATAACAAATTATCTTGTGAAAACTCAGTTACGTTCACGGTGACATGTACTGGACTACTGGTTTTGCTGTGACTGTTTTCAACAGTACCGCCCCAAATTTTATTCTTATCCAATGGCCGTGAGCGCCGTTTTCACCTTAGGGGCGAACCGGTCGAAGGGCGCCGAAGCCCGACCGGAATGGAAGTGCAGTGAGCATGCGATCGGTTACGGTCGGAATAAAGCTCGGTCGGTCGGTCGGTCGGCAACAGTTTCGGTCTCGCCATTTCGGGAGCAGATACAGTTAAGTGTTAACTGAGAATCGCAGGTTTTTTTGTACGAGGTGCTGTTTCTCACATTTGACAGTCTTCTCGGAATTAATGTTGGCATTTTTTGAATGATGTTGACAAGTGGTCTCTCTATATGTGTTAGTCGTTTCTGCGTTTAAGAAAATTTTTTTCTTGGGTGTTGCTATCATTAAGTCACTGTCCAATGGATACAGTACGCAACCGTGTGGCACCAGTCGGAAATATTCCTAAACTGGTAAGCTCATGACAGTGGTCTCTGTTTTCCGCAATACAACAACAAATATGGGCAAGCAAAGCGGTTCTACTTGGTACATTTTTATTCCAGGCTCATCCAGGCTATGCCGTGAAAGTGCCGGACAACGCCGGAACATGCTTATTGAGGCTGTCTGATGACGAAAACACTCTTCAGTTGTTAACTTCGGAGTTCGCAAATAGTGTGTTGCCCGTTTTGACTCGAGAGAGAAACAAAACGGAGCCCCACCACTGGATGACGGTTGGCCCAGAAAGCCATTATTCTGATAACAGAGGTAAGCAATAAACACTCAGCAAAGAGCTAATTCCCCTTCTGACAATAGCCTGTTGAACCAATAGGAAGAATGCATCTGGCAATCCATGTTGCACCAAATGGTAAAAAGCAGATTGCTGACTCACTCGTGGTCTGGATCCACGAAAGCAAGCCCGGCTACGTGTGGGTCAATAAGTCAGCAAAAGTCAGCAAAGAGTTTTTAGCTGTTGAAAGTCGACGCAGAGAGGCAGGTGAACAGCTGCTAGAGCGATTTTGCGATCGCAAGCTGTTGAATGCGCTCATTCTGCATGAGTGGAAGTTTTTGTGGGGTTCCTCCGGTGCAGGTGTTAACTGGACCGTTTGGATTATGAAGCCAGATGTTGGAATAATATATCAAGTGTTCTGCCCAACTGCCAATTCAGTGAAACTGCTGCCCATCATGAAAAATGGGCGATACACGTTTTCCCGTCGTTTGTGGAACGTGGACGTCCGGTCTCCGGCCTTGGCTGATTTGCTTGGCTATGCCCATAAAAATATTATGGGCGAGTTGAATAAACTGAAAGTCAAGCCGCAACATGAGCGGGATGCACTCAATAAAAAGGGAGACTTCACGGATGAGCTTGTAGTGGCTCCATTGCCGCTGCCGGACAGAAAGCACAGCGAGACCAATTTTGCTGACCTTGGGAATGAAGAACATCTAGCTAATGCGGATGATCAAATGGACCAGGATGATGATGATTTTCGAAGCGAAGATGGTGATAGTCGGTCTTCGATGGAGGATGACGAAGACGACGAGGAAGCCGAAGCCGACGAACGCCAGTGCGGAATTTTTGCGTAATGTGAACTCTTAAGAGCCGTAATAATGGTCAAGAACGTGGTTCTAACACGTGAGTCACGCCGTTTTACTTGTTTGTTGACACTTGATGTCATTTTTCCTTTATTCTCACACTTTGCAATTTAAGTGCCGATAAGGATCTGAATTCTGCAGATTGAGCAGTAGTCAGCGGTCATAGTCAGTCAAACGGTTAACTATTGTGGATTAAAAATTCCAGTTATTTCCCTGTAATAAAGACTGAAAATTCCAATTATTAGTTTCCTGTAATACGGGTCAACTATGATCAGCGACGTAAATTAATGAATGCGTTAAGATTTGTTCGGCATTCCGCCAGTCAACCCTTCCCTAATGACGAGTATGGTCACTTGTGGGTGAAGCGATTGAGTAACTGCTGTACCCACACTACCCGATCCCGTGCACAGATAATAAGATAGGGGGATTTTCTTACTTCACTTCTGCCGAACGAGTGTGAAACCAAGTATGACTGCATAAGAGACAACAGTAATTAAGTAACGTGGAGTACGTACAAAGTAGTTAAAGACTAAATGACTAAATTTATAAAATCAGCGCAGTCAAACGCCTCACGCGAACAGCACGAGAGTAAAAAAAGAGGTTAATAGCGGGTCAAAACCAGAGTGATCATGACGAACACGGCGGCGTACGGCGCTCGGCTTGCGGCTAGGGATGCGTTGTTGATGACGAGGTGTTAGCCGGTGATGGCGTTGAGGCGCTGCAGCAAGTCCCGCTTGCCGGCCAGTTGCCGCTGATATCCGTCTGAAGGTTGCATGTGGGAGTGGAAGCTCTAGTTGGCGCTGACCACAGCGCGGCTGTACTTGCTGACGAGACCCGCAAATGTCGTGCCTGTGTGTCCATGATCTGTCCCAAATATCATCTCTTGTTCAGATTATTCTAAGCATGTTCAGCACATGGTTGCGCTCACCAGCATGTCCACACGGTACGGGGAGGTCAAATACGGCAACACTGCCGGCGAAGTACTGCCGCTGGCCGGCTTCGTCGGCGGCTAACCATCCCGTTGAAGCCCGGGATGCCGGCGAGGGAGGGAGGGATGTGGATGCGCGCATTTGCAACGGTGCATACGTGGACGGACGGCCACCGCCGACATCCCCCGGCAGTCAACCATAGCCACATAAATTATTGTAATTGCGTGATCTATATTACTACCTTAATTTACTAATAAATTTACTTACTTGCTTAAAATATAGAAGTTGGTCGGCCTGCATTTTGTACCCGGCTGTAGGTGACAATTCAGTAATATCTTTCCGGCATATTCAAAACAATTTCGCATGATATAACCGGCACCAAAGAACGTATCACCGTGTACGAATACTAACATTCTGATTTTTACACATTTTGTGGAGATGACCTATTGGATCCGCTGCGTCGGTTACATATCGATACATGTCATCGGTTACATGTCATCGATACTATGGACGAACCCCCAAACTCCCATTAAAGTCATTGCTGAGGTGTTCGCGGAGTCTGTCTTAAATATCAAGTTTAAACTACTATGTACTATGTACTTACTCGGAAGTCGTAGGTCGCTAGCTTGCTAGTTATTGTAAATTGGTGAAACGGCACATTGACTATTTGACATACAGCGGTGCGTGAAGATTATTCAAAGGTCATTTAATTGTGCAGTTTTCTCACAAGCCAGCGGAAAGTGTACATACATTACACTGCCAGTAATTTGTTTATGATAAGACGGTTTTGGCGATATCCTGGCGGCTGATCGAAACGCGAACTGCAGACGCGCAGCTTCACGGGCGCATTAGAAAAACGAAGAGATAATAGCGGGTAATTACAGAAACAACGCCTCGGCGCTGTGTGACTATGCATTCTCTCAAGCACGGTTCAGTTCTCAGGGGGTCAGCAAACTGAGGACTGAGGCAGTAGAAAAAGGCACAGACAAGGCATTTATGGCGTCTCTAGGATTTTTTGTCTAGCAAAGGCTGGCTAGCACTACCAGATCTGGCATTTGCGGGGCGGATTCATCGGGCTGGTGTTGGGACAGTGGAAGGCGTCGGCGAATTCCTGCGAGAGAGTGCAGTGACAACAGTGCAATGCCGGTTGAGTGCTGCGGGTGTAGCAGTTGACGGTTACAGCTTAAGCAGCGCTTACGTGCATGTTGGAGACGGCGCCGATGACGCGGAAGCGGCCGGGCGGATGGACGCCGGTGCGCAGGCGGAACTGCATGGCTTCCGGCCGCGAGGAGCCGCACCACACCTGGTATACATACATATATATTGATGCGCACGAGTAATTATTGGCATTACTATACAATACATATACTGACGAGTGAATGTCAGCATTATAGCCTGTCGGCAGTGGGTACACCGGTCCAGTCAAGAAAACGCCGGGACTGGCTGACAGACAAGTACAGATACGCAGCGTACTGCCCTGTATACAGTGTACCTGGGCGAAGTTGACGAAGAAGAGCTGGTGCGGCGAGAGGTGGTGCAGGCCGGGCAGCCGCGGCACCTGGTTGTGGCTCAGCCAGCGCACCATCGACCTGTGCCGCAGTTAAAGATTAAAGACAATCCATCGACATGTACAGCACATCATGTACTTGTACATGCGCCGGAAGCACAGCACAACATGACGTTGTACTGTAGAGATACAGATACGTGTACACGTACCGGTAGGCCAGCTTGATGCCGGCGTTGTCGGCGATGTTCTCGCCCTGCGTCTGCATGCCGTTCACCTGCAGCAAGAAGCGCAACTTGTTCGGAAGATGCTTAACGAACATATGCAGCTACGGGACACTGTCCGCGAGGCGTTTCTAGTTTCTACATAACAGCGTGCAGGGGACATGTATTACATGTATTTATAAATACGTACGGTGAGGTTGAGATCGGTGAGCTGGTACTTGTTGTACTGCTCGATGAGGCAGCGCGCCTTCTGCTCAAAGTGCCGCTCCGTCTCCGGCGGCCACCACTGCTCCAGGTTGCCGAATTTGTTGAACTGCCGACCTGAAACAACAGCAGTGTGCCAGTTTGTGCAGCACAAGCTATGTAATCTCAATAATATTTAACCGATGCTCCGACCGCATAGCGCATAGCGGTGCCGCTGCGCATTATATCTTTACCTTTATCGTCAAATCCGTGAGAAATCTCATGTCCAACCACTACTCCGATTCCTGCAGGACAGCCAGCAAGTCAGTGTTGATACTATTCAGTCAGCCCAAATGCCCAGTTGACTGGATTACTGGACCGTACCAACATCTGTTGCTTAAAGTTGCAATACAATCTACTCGTAAGAATCACACTGCACAGCGCATAACAGTTTAATATCACATTTACCTCCAAAGTTCATGGTCATGGGGAAGTGGCTGTTGTAGAAGGGCGGCTGCAGGATGCCGGCGGGGAACACTGCGGATTCACCGACCAAGAAGGCAATGTACGACTTATATATATGTACATATAAATATGTATTAGGCTTTAGCGCTAGCATGGATTACGGATTGCATGCCAACATGTGTTGTACAGACTGCACAACACTGACAGTCCGACACCGATAATTACGACTACTTATTTGAACTGCCAGTCTTGCTACACATACGCAGTATTAAAGAATTTCAAGGATGACCGCTTACTGATTTGGTTTTTGGTGCGACTGTAGAAAGCGTTGACCACTGCCGGCGTCGTCGACCATCTGCAAGAAGGACACGTAGACGCTACGCATCAACCCTGCGCCGCGTCGCGTGCCCCCTAGCCTGTGGGGGCTACATCTGTACAGGCCCAGCCCGCTTAAGTACGGTATAAATATCGGCAGGCTGACGGCTGATGAGTGATGCAATCATGCAGTGGCGACTGGCGCGGGAGGCAAGAAAGGCGTACAATTACAATAATTAATCGACAGATACTGACGTGGAGCGGTTAACTGGCTTCCACAGTTCCTCCCGCTCGCGCGCGGTCAGATAGCGCAGACAGGTCACCACGTTCTCGAAGTACTTCTCCGGGTCAAAGTCAATCTGCAACAGTTAGCCAACACTCCGTTTCTCGCCGTCATACCAGTATGCGTGAAGCATAAAATAATTAACATTCTTTAATTGAAAGTGGGCATCCTATGTTTACTTGTATGAGTGCATGTACTGCCGCCGCCTTCGGTGACGAAAGTTCACAGCGATGAAGATGCCCAGCAATACGGTAAAGATTATTAATGTACAGATACCTATCTGTGTCACTGACTATACAGTACATCACTTACCCCGTCATATTCCTGGTCAAGCTTGGTGCTGTTCTGGATCCAGTCCGGATAGCCAATGTTGTCGATCATGCTGTTCATCTGCAGTAAAGAATAACAGTTGTCACATTACATGTGTTGCATAAATAAGAAACCGGTTGGCGGACGATAAGCGATTAACTGAACTGCCTTCGCTTGGTGACAGCTACATGTACATGCTCATGACCTTTTCCTTGGCCTTGAGCTTGGTCACTCCCTCCATCCAGTCCACCTCGTCGACCAGCTCGATGAAGGACAGTCGCAGTTCGCGGATCATCAGCTGCGCCTGCGCAAGACACAACATCCGCTCGGTTAACTCCTTATAATCAGCTATCAATATACAACGATGTACATATGTATACTAGTACTGACAATCTCCTTGCTGTCCTCCTTGAAGTGCTCCCGGACGAACATGGCGCCGAGCGCCATGCCCAGGTTGTCGTTGACGTACTGCACGCAGACGCGCCAGCGCGGCGACTCCTTGGTGTTGCCCAGCAGCAGATTGCTGAAGACGCGCCGGCGACTGCGGAAGCGCTCGTCCAGGTTGCTGGCGCGGTTCTGCACGATGCGCCAAATTAAATAGTTGGCCAGCGTCCTGTAATGACGCCAGATAGCCAGATACAGAGTAGGTATATATCCCCAGACAGGACAGGGCTCGTATACTGTACCGGGTGGGCGTCTTGTCGAGGAGCTGGCCCAGGCGGACGAAGTAGTCCTTGGCGTAGACCACCAGGCTCTCGTTGGGACTGACGCTGCGGTTCAGCACCACCTCGAAGTACCGCCGCCACTTGATCTGCAACCGCATGTACACCATCACACTTCATTATGGAATTATCAAATATGCAATCACAAAGATGCAGTGCTTTCATAGCTATGTCCAGACTGCAAGATATATATGACTGTAAGCAGTGGATATATACATGATATAACATTATATGCATACGGGTAGACTGCATACGTCCAAAAGACTGCAGATGAGCGGATCAGACCGGCTTACTGACCTGCGGCACCTGGGCCTCCATTTCGCGGATGGTCAGCTTCTCGTAGATGGCCGAGAAGTTGCGCCGGTGCTCCTGGGCGATGGAGATCTGCACACACAGACGCAGAGCTTAATTGGACGTGCTAGATCAACCTCCACGGTGAGTCGCACAACCCGTGGGCAAAGAACAAGCATGCACGGGGCGTCGTTACACGGCGCACGTACATTGGCCAGTTTGACCTCGAAGAGCAGGATCTCCTCCATGTCCGTCATGGCGCGCGTCCGGGCCACTCCCTGCAAGTCAGGAGAACGGCCACGTCAGTCAGAGCCGCGAATGTTGGCAAAGCCGCACATTGTCAGACGAAAGGGCACGAAAGGTCACCGCCTCACTGGTCACCGGTCAGTGCGGACCGGTGTCAGCACGTGCAGGGAATGACTGATCATGAGTGAATGAATGCACTTGCCAGCAGTTCGGCGATGGAGGTCATGAGGCCGAGGTAGGCCAGCCGGTACAGCTGGTTGCTGTCCAGGAAGTACTCGCGCGTCGGCATGCCGAACTCGGCCTGGTCGATCTGCAGCACGTTCCTGACAACAACAACGCCACACCGTTAACACCACAGGCGCGGCGCGGGCACTGACTGGCTAGTTCAGCCAGCAGTACTGTACGTTTCAATTTGCACTGTGACGACACCACTCACCAACTGGAATTCTTTCCGTCCGGCCCAATCCACTGCAGTCAACGACAAACGTTTACAATTACATTACTGATTGGCAATCACCTATTAATAATTGTTCACATTTACAGTAAATATGTATTGTATTGTACATACATTTGCCCACACATACATACATGTTAATAATATATATATATATATTTCCTGTACATGTGAATTATGTGCGATTAAAAATGATGATTATAAATCAATAAGCGTATGATGTACTTATTTATAACAAAGATTGTGAATTATATCGTAAGTGTAGTTAAGATATACACAACTGATAGATGAAATGACTGTAGTAAAGCGACCACTGACATGTACAGCTGCTGTATGAACGACCATGGTCCATGGCCACTTACCAGGGAGATGAGGATGTCGTTGTGCATGTTGCGGAGACGGCCGATGGTCTCCTCGAGGTGGAAGCCGGAGGCGTTCCACTGCTGGTCGATGACGGGCCAGCCGCCCAGGTCCTGCAGGAACCGCAGCAGCGGCTCCGACCCGCGCCGCTCAATGATCTCTGCAAAGCACCGGCACACTTGTACGCTAGCCGTTCCCGCACGCAGTTATCATCTGACCACCTACAGGACTTCCGGTGGGCATAGCTAGGGAAAGTACAGATAGCAGCGCTGAGCATACCCTCGTTGACGCAGGACTGGTAGAGCTTCTTGGCCTTGGCGCTGGCCTTGCTGTCCGACGCGGCGATGGGCCGTTCCAGCAGACCTGCATATACGAAGGGGCTTTAGGGACGCGATGGCGCAACGCGGGATCAGCATGCACACACAGCGAGCGACCGGACCTACCGCGGACGATGACGTCCAGGTGGTCGCGCATCTTGGTGAAGGTGTCGTAGGAGCTCTTGTCTGCAATCGTGTACACATATACACCATCGCACAATCAAATGTGTGTGATTCGCGACTCGATTAGCGACTCTTAATTATTCTACTCTAGTCTCTAGGCATAGGCGTCACTGCTAGTACGTACAATTAAAGGAATGCAGATGCAGTATAAGCTTACAGTAATTTGCACGTACTGTATTGTATCTATATTAGTACTAGTACGTACCGTCGGGAATGGGGTTGTTCTTGTCCCAGTTGCCGCAGACGTACGAGTAAAAGTCCTCGCAGGGATCCTTCCGCAGATCCATCGACTGCAGCAGAGTGGCCGCTATAAACACGGTAAAACAGCCACAATACAGATACACTCCACGTTTCCGCTTCACAACGCATAATTACACGTCAACGCCACGCCGCTGTATCACACTCTTTGGCGTTTAATATACCGCCTTACTTAGCCAAGCGTATTTATGGTCAGACCACATAATTATTATTTGGACAGCGGACAGTACGCAGTTATTCGCCTGCGTATATAGTATTACCAGATACACTGGAAGCTACCATGACCTTTACCATCCTCATGGTCAAGGTCAGCAGTGGCGTCACAAATGAATAAATAAGTTGCCATTGTTAGAACATATTTTTAAATAATCCGTTAACAAAACGATATTAATCAGTATGTACAAGAATCATCATCATCTCTTAGACCGACCACTTATGACATGATAGCGAAATATAAATCTGTGGGCCACTCCGACTCGGCCACTCTTACCAATCTCCACGCAGCTGCTGCTGATGCAGATGTCGTTGCAGTCGTCCTGTTTGCGCGCCGTCGCCACCAGCCGCGTCCCGTCTGCAACGTATGACGTCACAGCTAGTACACATCATGTACTGTACAAGGTGTCCGACAGCAACATACCAGCCGATAAGTTAATGGATTAATACTAAACGCACGTACTGTGTGAGGGCTCCAGGTGGGCGATGTTGGGCGGGCCGTCCTTGCAGTTCTTCATGTACTTCTCCGCGCCTGCAACGTGGTCAGCAGCACTACATTTTCACTAACACCAGAGAGTAAGCAATAGCCGACACCGGAAGTCGGCGCTGTGCTTACTGTCTTTGCCCTGACCGAACTCGGCCGCCAGGGCCAGGTCGTGGGCGTCCACGTGCAGATGCTTGTGACCCCCGGCCGGGTGGGGGTCGCTGTCCTTGACGTGCGTCTCCAGGTCGGCGTCGGCGTCGGGCCCGCCCAGCGGCAGATCGTCCGTGTGGCCGTCCTCCTCCCGATCGCGGCTGCGGTCGGTGGGCAGCGGCGCCGACAGTTCACTGCCGGTCAGCGGGAAGTGCGAGCCCAGCCGCGGCTGCAACGGCAGCTCGCCCTCCAACTCCGGCTCCTGGCCGTGCGCCACCCGCACGCCCAGCACATGCTCCACGTCGCTGTCGGCGTCGCGGAAGGCCACGCCCGAGGCCCGCGCCATCAGCGCGTGCAGCGGCATCCTGTCCAAATGGCCGGCCAAGGCCAGGGCGCTGCCGTTCAGCAGGGCGTCCCCCGACAGCGACTCGGCCAGCACCGCCACGGGCAGCGGCCGCATCTCGCGCTCGTAGCCGTGGTGCGCGTAACTGGCGCGGGCCCGCGACTCCGATTCCTCCGGCTGCGGCACGGCGAAACTCGATACGAAGCGGCCAGCAGGCCAACACAGACTGACACAACTGAAGCTGATCAACCACACCCGCAACTCCATCCCTGTGAGATGAGTTATATATCCACGCAACCGGCCCGCGCTGGTCAGTTACTTGGTTCACTCCAGATATGTCAACCGCATGAGCAGTCCATGACTGTAGTCCAATCAACGATTATGAGCAACTGCCGGCGGATGATGCGATCCCACTCAACACAAAAGGATACACGACCGGAAAGCGGCAAGATCTGCAGTAATTAATATTGCTGGCTTGCTGGACATACGTATATAGATATCCGCCACCGTAACAGTCAGCAGCCGCAGCTATGTACAAGCGCCGTTGCACTTCCGCCTCACACAATATATATAATTATGACGATAAGCGTCCACGATTACAAGAAATAATGTAGAACACTTCTATATCAGCGCATGCGTCGTTATATACGCACAAGGATTCCCTCTCGTACAGTATCTGTACTCCAGAAAAATTCACTTTGCGGAGGCAGAAGCGATTAGCCAGCTGACTAAACGCCCGGGCCGTAGATGAAGCAGCACAAGTTCAAGTTGAGGAGGGAGAAAAGTGGGAATTATGAATGAACAGCTTATCGATCTGCAGTACAGCCAAGTCGGAGTAGAGTAACTGCAGATGGACCGGCAGTAGCTGTTTCAGGCAGGTGACTGACTGAGTGCAAACTGCAATGGCGATTCACAGTTAATTGCAGTAATTGTGGCAGTTAGCTAATAACTGTCCTAACCCTAACCATAATCACAAGTCGAATGACTGCACTCACTGAGCTGCGAGCTTTCCTTTGACTGTAACCTCATCTTATCTATCTGCCGATCTCATCGCATCAGGATTCAGGATCAGCCAGCTTAAAGCCTTAACCGATCATCTGTCGATGCTATCGAGTATCGCCAGCGCCAGTCCTGGAAGCCACTTATTAGCCATTCGAGTATCAGTATGTATCTGTACTGCCGGTTAATTTGCAGCGCACACTCCCGGACACTACCGGCAACCGTCTTATGCTTAGCCTTTCTTATGCTTACGCCCTTACGGTTATCGATAACATTGATATAATAATTATTATATACAAGGTAGCCTCGCGCATTCGCGCTCGGCACTTAAGTACTGGAAATTATGAATATTTTCAAATGAGACATAAGCACACAGGAAATTGTAAAAATTTTGGATAATTGGGAAGGTATGGGAAATGTGATTTATTTAAGACTAAGATTGAAATCGTATATAGGGGGAAAAATGTGTCTAGCCGAACCAATCCCTTGTACTTCTGATGTAAGCCAGCTGGTGGTTTACGTTGTGGCTTGACAGTGTTCTATGTAAAGCGCTGCTATTAAGATTAGAGGTACTGATAACAGGTGAGCAGCACTCGTACAACTGCAGGTAAACAGGCTAAAAGTGTATTATAGCCCGGACCTGCCTGGTGCAGTTAATACCACATGTACCGTCAATGCCGCACAGCCTTAATAGCAGCGCTTTACATAAAACGCTGTGCAGCCACAACGTAAACCACCAGCTGGCTTACATCAGAAGTACAAAGGATTGGTTCGGCTAGACACATTTTTCCCCCTATATACGCTTTTGTAGTCGTATTTCATAAGACGTAATAACGTTCTAAGGTTTAATTTTTTACGTTCGGACGTTCTTACGTTCTGACCTTCTAACGTTTTAAAGTTCTGACGTTCTGAATTTCCGACGTTCTGACGTTTTTAATTTTTCACGTTCCGACTTCCTGACCTTCTGACGGTCTAACGTTCTGATATTCTGACGTTCTGAATTTCTGACGTTTTAAATTTTTCACATTCTGACATTTTGATATTCTGACGTTCTAACGTTCTGACTTTCTAAAGTTCTGACGTTCTGATATTCTGACATTTTGAATTTCTGACGTTCTGACGTTTTTAATTTTTCACGTTCTGACTTTCTGACCTTCTGACGTTCTAACGTTCTAATATTCGGACGTTGTAACGTTCTGATATTCTGACATTCTGAATTTCTGACGTTCTGACGTTTTGAATTTTTCACGTTCTGACTTTCTGACCTTCTGACGTTCTAACGTTCTGATATTCTGACGTTCTAACGTTCTGATATTCTGACATTCTGAATTTCTGACGTTCTGACGTTTTTAATTTTTCACGTTCTGACTTTCTGACCTTCTGACGTTCTAACGTTCTAATATTCGGACGTTGTAACGTTCTGATATTCTGACAATCTGAATTTCTGACGTTCTGACGTTTTTAATTTTTCACGTTCTGACTTTCTGACCTTCTGACGTTCTAACGTTCTGATATTCTGACGTTCTAACGTTCTGACATTCTGACGTTCTAACGTTCTGACATTCTGAATTTCTGACGTTCTGACGTTTTTAATTTTTCACGTTCTGACTTTCTGACCTTCTGACGTTCTAACGTTCTAATATTCGGACGTTGTAACGTTCTGATATTCTGACATTCTGAATTTCTGACGTTCTGACGCTTTTAATTTTTCACGTTCTGACTTTCAGACCTTCTAACGTTCTAACGTTCTGATATTCTGACGTTCTAACGTTCTGACATTTTGGATTTCTGACGTTCTGACGTTTTTAATTTTTCACGTTCTGACATTCTGACCTTCTGACGTTCTAACGTTCTGATATTCTGACGTTCTAAATTTCTGACGTTTTTGATTTTTCACGTTCGGATTACCTGACGTTCTGTTTTTTGACGTTCTGACTTCTGATGTTTTACGTTGTGACGTATAGGTACTGTATAAGCGACATACTGGGCGATGTACCTTTTATGGACGTTTGGGTACTAATTTATTGCTCACATACCTCGTAACAATTATTATCTATACTAAAAGGAAGTATTAATATGTATCCGCTATAGTCTCCGTGGTTACAGTCATCATGTTAAGTACGAGTACTTACTTTGTATTGCTGTGCAGACTGCAGTAGTGAATACTTCTTCGAGTGCTCTTTACGTTTCCTATACTTAAGACCTGGTGGAACCATCTTCTGACCACTGGTTAATTAAAAAAACAAAAATCTATTGGCACACCTATGGAAAATATGGAATTTTTTAAGACCAAGCTGGACTAAAACTGACCACGCGTTGACGAGTCTATAAAAACGGCGCATAAATACGTTTTGGTCGGTAAGATTGTATGAATATAAAGATACCGTGTAGTCTGTAGAATATACGCAGCGTTTTCTCTTTCCTATTGCCAGCGCCAGCGCGAATGCCTCAGCAGCAAAACAACAACAACACCGCTCATCCATTCAGGAAAAAGCCGTCATATGTGTTGCAGCTGCTGCGAATGCGATCATTCTCATTTTCACGGTACACACGGCCCGACTTCCGCTAAATGGGCGCGCTGCCTTAATACAGTACTAAGTATTTACTTACACCGAATTTAAAATAATACTTGCTATTTCGTGTTGCTTTTCACCGAATTTACCCGGCTTTACCGCTAAAATTACCAGAAGGCAATTTCGTCGATGGGCCGATGGCTATGATCATGAATAGGACGATCAGCGCGCTCCAAGAGCCCACGTCATAATCACCGAGGATTCACTTTTCCCACGTACGACGGGGAGCAGCAAGTAATCCGCACTTTATAACTTATCACCGGTGCCAAACGAATAAGCATAATTTTATCAACAAATCAAAAATTAAATTAAGTTACGACAGATTAGAATTCATTAAATCGTAACACAATCAGCAGAGAGCATTAACGGAGAACAGCCTGCCGGTCGCAGTGCCCGTGCGACGCACTGCGACGGGCAGCAACAATGTCATGAGATTGGTCAGTTGCGTAACCCGTCACGCTGCCGGTCACAGGGGTGTCGTTAGTCACCTGAAACGGCACTCACAGGCTACAGCCGATGTCACTGCAACGTCCACGACTTCCGAGGTCCTTCGTCATGGCAAGAACGGCTCAGGAATCGACGCGGGGCGCCTTGCTGGTCGGATGCAGCGCGGCCAGGACGTCGAGGTAGTGGGCGTGGCCGTCGAGGGCGGCCACCACGCCGCCGTGGCTGACCACGTCGGCGTCGGAGCGCGGCGCCGCGTAGTCGACGTCCCGGCCCTGCACGGTCGTCAGGCGCCCGCCCAGCGCCGTCAGCAGGCCGTTGGGCGCGCCCAGGTCCCACTTCTTGATCAGCGTCGTGTGCAGGTACAGACTGGCGCGGCCCAGGATCACCTGCAAGGAGATCGTGTCGGTCAGAGAGACGGACGCGGGAGGATCGTCAAGGGCAGCGGCCTGACCTGCAGCGTCTTGTAGCCGGCCCCGCCGGCCAGCTCCACCTCCATGGGCCGGCCCTGGAAGGCCACGCGGGCCACCTCCTCCACGTCGCCGGTGTGCGAGCGGCTGACGATCAGTTTGTGCGGCCGGGAGGTGTCGCCGGCAGCGGCGCGGTCCCGCGACAGCACCTCCTCCAGGTTCCCAGACACCGCCACGTCCGTCCACGCCCAGTACGTGCGCTGGGCAGGGTCCTCCTCGAACGGCTTGTGGATCACACCTGCAATAAGATCAGACACTTTTTTCCAATTGCACAACAGATCATTAATAGAGAAAAGCTTCCACCGTAGTAACACTGAACACACTAAATTAGATGCAGTCACTGCAGCGACAAATGGATTCAGTGGTCATAAATAAATCTCACCCGCGATCGCCTTTCCCTTGTGAGCTATACCAACCTACAAAATAAAAATTTAAGTCTGCGATTTTAATTAATAACTGGGAAAAAATCCTTAATAATTCAGAAAAAATACTAGATACACCAATCATTAGAGAACTATGCTTAACACGCGACTGTAAGAGAAATAAAACGACAGTAAATAAGTCTATTCAAATTCAAAGTATTAATAATACAGTACACTGAGTACAGTGCTTGCTAATGAGCAACTTCAAAAATTTAAGAAATCATTACTTAATAATATAAAGAAAAACTAAATACGGTAAGTCGCTAGTCACAAAAAATATGAATAAAAAATGAAAAAGGAAGATTACTAAGCAGGAACGTGAGGCCTAGTACATAGTAATTAGAAAAAGAAACATAAAATCCGAAAACGAAGAACAGCGGACTGACCATGGTGGTGACGTAGTGGAGGAGGCTCTCGGTGTACTCCTGCGTGGCGTCCAGCGGGTCGATCCACACCTGCAGCTCGCGCAGATCCACGAAGCGAGTGTTAGCGGCGCTGTTACTGGAGATCTCCTCGGGACAGACGTTGTCCACCGTGCCCACCACCACGTTGGGGAAGGCCCCCTCCCCCTGGCCCTCCACGGCCCCGTGCTCCTCCGACACCACCCGCAGTCCGCCCCCGAAGGCCAGCTGCAGCGTGCGCGCCATGGCGAAGTGCGAGCGCAGATCGCCGTCCGTCACGGGATTGCGCGTCTGCGTGTTGCCCCCCTTGTTCTTGGCGTTGAGCTGCTGCGCCTCGTGAACGCGTCGCACCTCCACGCCGCCGCGCTGCGCCGCCACCACCGCGGCGCATAACACCGCCGCCACGCTGACGCGGGGACTGTGCTGGTGCGGGCCGGGGCTGCTGAAGGGCAGCAGGGGCCACAGCGTCTCCCGCATCAGATAGAAGCCCAGGAAGGCCACGCACATAACAGCCAGCACCCCCGCGGGGCTCCAGCGGATCCCCATCCTCCGTCTGTTTAACACGCTCGGGCCAGCTGATCCCTCCACGGCATCCCCCGCTCCAGCAACAACAACCCCATGCACCGTGCGCTAGACCGTCTCTCAGGAGTCAGCAGCACATCAATCACAGGATTACAAAAGTCTAACGTCAGTTCAAGAGACGAAGACACAGTCACAACCAGCTGCCAGCAGCAGCACACAGCTGCACTACTTCGTGCTGCGCAACCTTGTAATCACAGGAATAGTGGAATACAAGTACTGATCTCCAAAATCCACACACTCAGTACTCAGTAGCAGTTCGAACAAGCGGAATCAAAATCAGCGCACATTTCCCATCTGCAGACTGCAGTGGATTCAGGATTTTGCAAAGGCTGCTACCAAACTGCTACGTATAAGTACTGTACCAGCACTAGCAGCACTGCAGCAGTACTGTACCAGTCTGCTACCACTGCCACAGGACATCCACCGCACTGTCAGCCAGGGCGGTCGCATATAATGACAGGGAGGTTGGCATTTTTAGCCTTCTCACTTCCGGTACGAGTACGAATACATTAACGATAAGTACTGTAAATACTAAAATCCTTCATTTATTGGGCAAAGGCCATCAATATAAGAAAAAGTGCATTCGCGTAACACTACTCAAAAAACACAATACTAAAATTAATACAGTACAGGAACTTTTGGTGCAACGCGTCTGTTAATCCGCTGAAGGAAACCGGCACAAAACTGCATAATCGAACGGGAGGAAGCTGCTTCACCTGTTTTATTTTTCCACGTTTCGGTCTCCAGATTCAGCGTGGTAATGCTCAAAGTGTTTTTGGGAACTGTTCCATCACATGTTAACCTTTATTCACAACGTATTCTGCATTATTAAAAACATCACAATTTATTACAACATAAAAACTTCGTCAAACCGCTCCGCTCCTTCCATTGTACCCAAAACTGAGACCGCATTTCCCCGTTGTATCTCCAGTGACAATCTTTGACGTAAAAATTCATGGGAACTCTTTTCGCCTGTTTGCTGTTCCAGTCGTTTGTCCAGTTCTTTGATAACTGGAATGGATTCTTCGTCTAGATCATGTAAACGCTAGGCGCTGCCTTTTGTGAAACATACTGACGTGAATAAAGTTACATTATATCGGTACCGGAATTAGTCAACATAATCTATACTCGTACGAGTAGAAATGCTAGTGTTGTCCATTGCTTTGATCTCATTATTACATACACATCTCTACATAATTATAATAGCCGTTGCAGTTTATATTCTTCAGAATAATACGTCAATTTAATCCTTGAAATCGAAGGAAACGGGCGGATTTGTTTAGGTTGGGACCGTTGTGTTCTGTGGAAGAATACGTACTAAAACGTCACCAGAGTTCTTTATACGGTACGCGCAAGAAAGAATGTTAAGTTGCTAACCAAAGTGGTAATTTCATGTGGTGCTTCACTTAATTAACCGCACAATCTGCTAAAGATAAATAATTTATTAGGATACTCGTAGTAATTTTGTTGACCATGGGGAGATCACAGGGGTAATACTTGCACATTAATCCGGCACATGCAGCTGATAAACACATTTTCGAAAGCAAATCTAAGAGATCAGAGATAGGAGCTTCGTGGCGTAACTGCAGCTGGCCACACCAGGCAGAATACTGTCTGTCAACAGAGCGCAACGGAAATTAAGTAGAACATTTGCTTATTGCAAGCGCATCAACGCTCTCTGTACAGAACTACAGATACAAGTTACAAGCGGTTATACATGCAGATCACGCGCCTGTGGCAAGTGCAGCGAAAGCAGACTTAATTCTTCGGTGACCTTTGGAATCGTCGTGTGCCTGTGTAACTTGCAGAACACAACAGGCGATCAGCGGATTCGTTCAAAAGGTCACGGAGCGTATACAGTTTGAGCTATCACAAGAACAAGTAGATACTGCAAAGACAGCGCTGCCCATCCGTTGGACGAGGTCACGCCGAATATTCCACTGCGGATGGAAAGGTCACGGGGCTATGCACTTTTAAATAAAAGTCAGGTTATCAGATTGAATCGCCGGTTGACGAGCAAATCGGCACAACAGCCGGAAATGAAAACATCGCTAAACTGCCGAGTTCCATGTCGTTGACCCGGCCAGCCGACTGGACTCGGTGTTGGCGGCAATCTGCAGCGGTCCACTTGGCGGACTATTAAGCGCGGGCGGCTGCTCCACGGTGACGGCGGTCGTGCTGCTGCTGGGCAGCGGCAGTGGCGGTTTCGGCGACAAGGCCGGCATCGACTGGTTTATGCTGCTGCGGGCGGCCGGCGCGTCCACCGTCAGACTGATACTGCTCTTAGGCAGAAGTTCGTCGCGCTCGCCCGTCACCTTCTCCGCCTTGCCGGGCTTGTCGTGCACCTGCGCGTCGTAAGTAGTGAGCGGGCGCATGTGGATGCCGCCCGGACTGGGCGGCGGCGGCTGGTCGCTGGAGTCCTCCCGCGGGAGGCGGCTGCGCTGCGAGAGACGGCGGTCCGGGTAAGGACTGATCATGGGCGTCGGCGACAGTTGGTAGGCGCTGGCGCTCCCGGGAGTGGTCTGGGCCAGCGGGCGCAGGGAGGAGTAGGTGTTGGACGGGGACAGTGTCCGCGGCGTGGAGGGGTGGTTGGTGTAGCGGTACTGCTGTGTAGCCGCTTCCAGCCGGCGGCCCAGGGCGTCGGCCGACGTGCTGCCGGCCAGCAGCGGCGAATGGGCGATGAGAGCGGCGGCGGCGTCGCCCGGCTCGGCTTCGGGGTCGACGAAGGTCGGCAAGGGGAAGGCGAAGGCCGAGGTGGAGCGGCTGCCCGCCAGACCGGCGTCGCTGGACACGTCTTCGCCGCCGCGCAGGTTGTCGCGGCTGCGCTGGCTGACGATGCCGGGGTCCTTGCCGATCTTGTTCAGGCGCTCGGCCGCCACGCTGTAAACAGGCAGTTAGTATAAGCGTAGGAAGTGCAATAAATGTTGCAATACCTTTCTAGCGCCGTCCTCATAAGCGGGTATTCGTTGAGCACGCAGTTGAAGTTGTCCGACTGTAGCGAGAAGAGTGAGCAACACGTCACCGCCCGTACGGAGGCCACGCGCTTCGCTTTGGTCAGCAAGCAAATTTCTGCAGAAACCGCAATTTTATTTTGTTCGTGGTAGTGTAAAGATCTCTTGTGCAAAGAGATCTTTACAGTAGGTAGTGCATGCCGTTATTGACAGGGCGTAGCCGTCGATGGCATCAGTACATCAGGAAAAGGTCATGCTTATAAATGAGTAGTATGCAGAGCGCAGTGCGTAGTCACCCACCTCCAAAGTAGGAGCCGTCGCTGAGACAGGTGATGACCGCCGGCTCCTCGTGCAGCACCTTGGGCTCCAGGTAGATCTCCACCAGGCCCTCCTGGATGAAGTACATCTTGTCGCCCAGGGTGCCCTCCCGTACAATCACGTCATCCGGCAAGAAGAACTCGTAGCGCAGTCGCGTTATCACAGCTAACAGCAACAAATGTTATTTTGAATGGGATCAGCACCATAATGTAGAAATACTTCTAATTATACGTATGCCGTTAATGTTAATAATTTGAAGAACAGAAGATGGACACTAGTTGTACCGGTAACGAAGTTGGGATCGGCGTGCGAGAAGAAAGGCACACTGGACACCAGGTCGCGGCAGTTGTAGTTGATTATCAGCTGCAACAACATCATGCACCACGCGTTAATGACCATCGTTTTACTGAACACTTGCACAACACTTCCGGCCCGACTGAACACGTGTCCGTGGCCGCGTTCAGTTATACAGCCACTGGGTTAATGGGCAAGTGATACAACACATTGGCGCAGTGTACCTCGCGCAGGGGGTCGTTGAGCTCGCTGAGGATGGCCTCCTCGTCGAACATCTTGCCCTGGAAGCGGTGCTCGTAGAAGTCGGAGATCTTGGCGCGCAGCTGCCGCGGCAGCTTCCGGTAGGCCATGTACTCCTCCACTTGCTTCCACTGCACAACAATAACATCATTATTGACACTGAACACGCAGGCAAACGGAGCTGCAGTGCTGCAATGCAAGGTCACCTTTTCACGATACTGGCGACGGGATGCGTCCAGGGAGTGAATCAGATTGGACGCGTGTCCGATGAAGAGGGCGTAGGTGAATCTGTAAAGCATACCAGCGTTCCCGCTCGAGCTGCCCATTTGATCAACTGGTTACGCTGCCTTACTGTCGGCATACGTGTAGGTACCGTAATTTACGCTTCCGAGCAATTACCGTCTTGCTTACTGCAGGTTAGTATTACAGGTATACAATCGAGCAGAGTGCCTTGCAGAGCCCATATTAATTACTGCGATGAAATGTTGACGATTGTAATGTCAGAGATTCGTAATACTTACGCGCCCGTCAGCATGGAGAGAACCGTCAGCCAGGCGTCACTGCAAAAGCCAACAGTTACCGCAGTTGCCGCTCAGAGGTCACTGATGCCGCAGAACGCAGATTACTGGCCTGTATTGTATATCTGTGTAATGTGTATCACTCACCTAATGGACTGTGGAGGGTATCGACCGTACCCTGCAAATTCAATTCAACACTTTATTACGTCACCCCGCAGTGACCCGGAAGTTTAGCCCTATAGAAGAATGATAATCTACTCTACGGTGTAGTGCCGAGGGTTTGTTGAATCTGTGTACGAGTAGAAGTACGTACCGATGGACAGTTGGTGACTGATGGCTTTGAACACGCTGCAACAACAAAACCGATAAAGTGTCGCCGCTTGTCAGCCAGAAATTCACAGAGTACAGAACGCCAACACGTGTCTACGATCTGTCGTGCCAAGGGGAAATTAGGACCACAAGGGAATACAGTCGCCGGCGGAACTGACGCTTAATGTAGAGTGTATATGTGTCTGTCGTGTCTTACCTCCACGTATACTGCTCGAACCAGGGCGCGTGCTCCAGTTCGTTGATCACCTGCCCAGCACAAATTACGAGGTATTATACAGTGTAGCCAACTGCAAGTCTACAGCGACTTTGCTAGTTTAGTTTAGTTTGGAAGTGATCCCATCATCCCACATTTACTTGTACACATCATAGATACTGCTAATTGTCGGTAGGCCACTGGCTACCGGAAGTGGCAGAGGGATTCAAGCGAAAAAGCAGCTGCGTTTTAATGATAATACGCATTACTATCAGTGCATATACAGCCAGCAAATAGGAACCTGCGTCAGTAAATTCAAGTGATGGCCAGCGTAAAGGTCACTTACCACCCAAGAATCGCGCGGAAATCCCTGCAGCATGGGAACGAGGAACTGAATGCAGCCGCTCCAGTGAGCCATCTGCAATTGAATACCCGTTCCAATTCGGTGCATTTAGTCGAATTATTATGCAGCACTCGTTGATGTACATATATAACGATGACAGCAAACCATATCACATGGAATGTCGTAATATGAATTTGTACTGACCAACATCATCAGGCACATGAAATTGAAGATGCGCATAAAGACTCCGGCAATGTTCAGAAACTGCAAGGGGAAAGAGTAAGCATTTTTTCCAGATTAAATATGTGCTTTCGTCCTTAATTATCATCTGTGGCACGTTTCGTACCAAAGAAAAAAAGTGAAACGTTTTTCTCTCCTTGTAGTCACAGTAGACATCTGTATACAGGCTGTAGACACCCTGTAGACCTATCGGTAGTCACCTGGTTTCTTAGAATGTATACGGCGTGTCTACAACGGTGTCTGCAGGTTGTCTACGGATGTCTACCGCTGTACAATATACAGGCAGACCTTCTTAGACTCAGCTCGATGCTGTGCCTGTATACACCGGTAGTCGTCTGTAGACAGCCCGTAGACACCACTGTAGACATCCTGTAGTCACCTGGTTTCTTAGGTATACAGGTTGTCTACAGGGTGTCTACACGTTGTCTACAGATGATTACAGTGACTACAGGAAGGAAAAAAACGTTCCAGTTTTTTTCTTTGGTACGAACGTTCCATATATATTAATTATACATGAACTGTATAATTGTTATGTAGGTGCGTGGTCAGTACAGCCGTACAGGCACTAAAGAATCCGCTGGTGATTAACAGAAATAACTATGCTTTTTTGTGAATACGTTATTGCACAGGGAAAGGTCACCATAAGGGCAAAATGACGGTGACACTGAGTCATTTAACCGATAAGATTGGTATATTGTATTGCACATGTATCTGCGGCAAGCGGTTGAGTGCGTGCGTACTCACATAGATCTCCTCGAACTGGGAGACGTAGCGGACCAGGCGCGAGAGGCGCAGCAGCTTGATGAGACTGAGCAGTTTGGCCATGCGCAGGATGCGCAGCGCCCGCCCGGCGTGCACGAACTGCGACTTGGCGAAGTCGTCGTCCCAGATGCTGATCACCAGCACCTGCACAAATAGGTAAGTCACCCTCACACTATCTGTTCCAGCGACTTGATTGTTTCAGTTTGCAGATACTGTATGGTTATGCTCTTTGCTAACTTACCACGTAGTCGAAGGGGATAGACGAAATCAGGTCCACAAAAAACCTGCAAGAGACCGCGCTGCATTCAACCGTATACTCAACCGGCATGTGGCCCGGCGGCTGGAATTAGGCACAGAATATTGAAACTTTATCGATTATATCATTCACATAATAAAATGCCAACAACGGGAATAAGAGTTATACTGTAGATCTAGTTGATCAAAATAAAAGGCAACGTGACACCGTGATGTATTGCGTTACATAAGCAATGAGTGACACTAACAATTAAAACAATTAATGTGGTTGTTTGATTTATGTCCGCACATGCCAGAAGCAATATACGTAGCGCTCTGGTGATCTTTACAGAAAACCTTACCATGAGCGAATATAACGTTTCGCGATCTCTTTGGGGTCCTGTGCAAGTAAAAAAGAATGCGATGGGCATTATAAATGGCTTACTGTATATAGTGGACACACTGGACAAATGCCGTAACAAAGTACATATGCAATACAGCTGACTGAGCAGTCAACGAGTCGAATCCAAACTTCGAGGTACGCATCACCGTACAGTGATCAAGCAGATTTAGGCGTTGTACTTACCAGAATGACTACCGAGGCGTTTTCTGGATTGAGCAGCCCTACAGATACACAGACAGAATTTGCAGTGCTTATATGAATAAATCGCGCAGAGGTGACCGCGAGGGAATAAACAAGCGCAGTATTGCGGTTAATTAATGAGCGTTTCCGGTGTATTTATAAATCTAATTTGGCCAAGGTCGTCAGCAGACGTGTAAACAATGAGTGTCGAATAACGGTAATTTGCTGGCAGACCTCATGACATTTCCAGAATCAGACCAGCAATTAATTTTGTTTATCCGTCGGCGTACCTGTTCGGAAATTGCACACCAGGTCGATGATGAAAATCTGCAAATTTAAAAGAGCAACAGTAATAAGTGAGTCTGAAATAGCAGGGACTGGTGATGACTAAGGAATATGCGCGGCGGGATAGACGAAGGCTGACCTTTCCAGTCGCCGTTCCCATTACAGCCATTAATCAACAAATTAATAAGTTGGTGTACGAGTATTAATTTCAGTGACGCGACAACACATGACGTTTCGTGAAGGATGCCGGTGCGTATTTATCTGTAGCGTCACCTTATAAATCTTAATCGTTTAACACTATTTATTTGTTATTTATTACTTATAATCATTTACTATCTGCTAATCAAATATAAACAATAGCGTTTGTGGACGTATGTAAAATGAAAATCTGTACGTAAATAACAGTTTTAACAGCAACCGGCTAATCCCGGACACATTTGTACAATATGCTTAACTTTAATTTCACCAGCTTGCAGTTACCGTGTCGCTAAAGCAGTTGAAAACAATCCAGGGAATGCTGAAGTCTTCGTTAAAGAAGGCAATGGACACCGGTAAAATCATCAAGTTAGCCAGGAGAATCACCAGCATAAACAGATCGAAGTAAAAGCTGCCCAAATAAGAATGTCTGACCTTTGTTTACAGTAAGAGTTATATATGCAACAAGCATGGCAGCGGAAGCCTACCGAAAATTAGACGCCGGATGTATGACCCAGTGTTTGCTGGACGCGATTCGTTCGCGCTCTTTTGTCACGGCCGTTACTGAGCCTGTCAACAGGGAAACGAGGACTATAGCATAATCTATTTTTAAAACAGCGCAGTACAGTATGCTTAAGCCGACCGTCGTACGTCTGTAGGTAGCCAGTCATTATGCTGGTAAAGGTCACCTTTACACACGCACTTACCGAAGAGCTTCAATGCCAACTTGTTGTCGGTGGAGGGCTGGAACATGGAGAGGAACTGCTGTCTGAGCGTCAGGTCGGGGTTGAGCGGGTCGGCGGCGGAGATGCGGCGGTGGCTGTTGCGCTGCTCGCGCGCATTCTGCCCGCGCGACATCTCGGAGGCCTTGCGGCGCAGCATGTCGTCGACGGAGAGGTCGGCGACGAAGAGGTCGTCCGGCGGCGACAGGCCCGGCGACCAGTCGGGCAGCTGGAACTGGCTGTTGGAGCGCGACTCCCCCGGCTGCTCGCTGAGCACCGGCAGAGGCAGGTGGTAGTCGTATACGAAGGGCGCGACGAGGGATTTGCGGGTGGCGGCTCCGAGGGCGCTGGAGAGGGCGGCGCAGTCGGAGAACAAGTTCATGGCGTGGTCCACCAGGAAGCCACGCGAGCCCAGCGGGTCGGCGTCGGCATGGTCGAGGGCGGTGTCCGGGACGACGACAAGGGCATCGACAGGGCTCTCTTGGTAGACGGAGAGGGAGCGCGGCCGGAGAGTGTCGAGGTAGGGGCGCCGGTCGCGCTGGATGAGCGAGAGGGACGCGGTGAGGGTGTCGCGACGACCTTTGCCGGTGGAGGCGGCCGGGTGCCAGGCGCTGGACGAGGCGAGCGGGTGGGCGAGGCTCACAGGCCGGGGCTTGCTGAAGAGGAGAGTGTCCGGGTGCAGATCATCCTGGTGGTGCGTGAAGTGATGCTGATCAGGGAATCGCGCCGATGAAGCAGCGGCGGAGGGCAATCGCGCAGTGCCCGCGGATGTACTGCCTAATTCGCTGCCTACGACGTCGGCGCCGGGCTGCGTAAGAGCGAGGCAGCTGTGGGAGAGCGGCGGATGATTGGAGTGTTGTGCGCGTGGCAGCCAGCTGGCCTCCGGCGAAAAGACATGATCAGGCAGGAAGCGGGACTGCTCGTAAGCGGGCGGCGGGGTGGATGTAGCTGCGTCGGGGCCTGTCAAGTGCAGCGCATCGGCCGCGTTCGGCCGGCGCCGGCGGTGACCTTGGGCGAGGGGATGAGCCGGATGCGGATCAGGCTCCGATAAGAGGGAGAGCGATCCCGCAGTGGATACGGCGTCGATCCAGGCCGGCTCACTAGCCGAATCAGGCGCCTGCTTCTCCGCACGGCTCTTCCGCCGCCTGCAACGCAATGCAACGCAACGCAGTCAACGCACAGCCACTAATTACAACACTGCTTAGCTTAGTTACTCCGGCTGCAGCTGGCGCTGGGCGATCAACGCTACTGCGGATTACACATAGATCTGTATATATATCCAATAGAAATCGATAGCACAATTATCTGTGCAACTCTGATCAATGCCGGATCGACTGCGCCACTGAGCCTCATCAAAGTCAGGCCGCGGATCGCATATATAGGGATTATAAGTATTAGGGAACTGTGCTTGTCGCCGGTCGCCCATCAATACCTCCTATTTACCGGCAGATTATTCAATTACACCGCTTGTTTGTCAGCCCGATAACGCACAGAAGGCAGATCCCTCTCCACTGTGCGGCTTCTAATTTTAACCCTGACGTCCCGCACTTCCGGTCGGCGGAGACAGCTGGGTCGGAGGAGCGCTCTGTAGCTCATTAACTCCAACAAACATCTCGCTAATGACGCGCAGGTAGCATTACCTGATTAACACCGCATCCGCATCTATCTCTGCCGCTTCGCGCTGCAACTTGCCGAACGAAATGAATTTTTTTACACAACAAATTTTATTTTGCACGCTAATGCCGAGGCCGTAAGTCTTGAGCAACAGCTGGCTTAAAATGACTACTCAGAACCCTTTAATGACTTATCAGACGCCGGCTGTCGCATGTACACGTGAAATACGGTATTACAATAGCGGTAATCGTCAAATATTAGCGCTCAAGCGGCGGAATCAAAATCAGCGGCATTAATAATAAACGAAGCATGATTAATCGATGCCGGCCGATGGAGCATGCCGGAAATCAATGGGCATAAGCGGGCATACAAAGCAGGCGGTCGGGATGACAATTAACCTCATTTCTATCACAACAAGTCTTTTTATGGCCGCACGGTCAAGTGCGCCGCTTCCGCCGCTACGAAGCCAACAGATACACGCAAACAGGGATCGCGGCGTGCGCAATCCGCTGCGACTGGCGAGGCTCGTTAATTTGGGTATTACGTTGTCAGGCCGATCTTCGCCGTGTGGAAAACGCAATAAGCTGGCGCCAGCAGTAAAAGGCCACTGCTTAATCCATTTAGTGACCTCGCGCGGACCACGCCATCGCGCAACACTGGCTTCCCCTATCGCTGATTCGCTATACATTATCCGATGCATGCCGCAATTTTTTTGTACCGTTTTTCTCGTACAGAAATTGCCGCTCCAATGCACTGAACAGTTACAGACTAGTGTGGTTCTGGCTTTTGCTATCGAACACCGCAAAAAATACTATTCAGCATTACCCGTTTGAATATGCATACGTATTTTAGCATGATTTACAACTTGTACATTTCTTGCATTCTTGCAGTGCTTTATACGGTTCGCACATGCTAAAAAATATTCATACAAATCCAAAAGACTAGATTACATTTTTCAAGCACAGTAAATATACAGAAAACTAAACGCTGAGCAAAGCAAACACGCTGCTTGTTTCTTGCATGTACCGGTGCTCACAACAGCTTCGCTTGCTTTTTCTGTCCATGTCTTAGGGTTAGATTGATTACGGTAAATCAAAACCAGCGACTTAAAAAATCATGCTGAGCTTATTCAAATTAAAAATTAATTGTCTGCAAATCAATTCGGCTGAGCGGTAACCGCGCTGCCCCACACAGATGGCTGAACTATTAATTTATACACAGAATAGCATAATTACGGATAGACTCTACCCTTTACCTTCCTAAATCAATTCATTCCTCTGTCATGGTAACAGCACCAGCATCGGCCAACTTAGACGAAATGTTCTGTGTGATTAGGCCGCCTATTTCCGTAGTCGGCTGAGGCTGTGTATTCAGTACAATTCTTTTACTGTTATAAGAAACTTGTGACTGTATTGCAACGCCAAATTGAAATTAAATCAATTCATTTGCCAAACCGAATCATCGATGCAGTTATACTGCGCAGTGCGCTCGTAATTAAGCGCTACAGAGTAGATATTAATTACAAAAACAGAGTAAACATAAAGATTAAATATTCCTACTCGTCTTGCCTATTTTATACCGTAACCTTTTTTATGCCGGAAAATCAACTATTTTGTGCATGACATTAGTATATAATAATACTGGCTATAAAGTATAAATACTGTGAAGAACCGATCGAAATGTTTAATAAATTAGCAATATTTTAGTAGAAGGTCATGGGAGTGCAGTGCTGGCGCCTGGCGGTACATTACTCTACGCAATATATATAATTAACCTGATTTGTAAGCAGCAACGCAACAGCACTGCAAATTGGCTGCTGGTGTGCAGGCGAGCGTAAAGAAATCAGTGGCTGTGATCGCGTAGAGAAACACGGGTAGCGAGCGTGTTAATGTTGGCCTGCGCCTACGCAGTCGTGAGTGATCGCTGCTCAGCTGATTGCGCGATGACGGCACTCCATAGGGACGCTGCATCCAGGAAGGCAACACGGCTGCGGGCTGCGTAATCGGCCGGGAAGCCAATGAATTATAGATAGCTGCAGATATAGATTTTTCAAGTGCTACCTTAACCGTTAAAAATGATGGTGTCAAAGATAAACAGCGTAAAGGCAAACAACCACGCCAAACGCTGATGTCAAGCCTAACGTTAAGGTTAAGCCGCGCCGGCCGACTCTAGTTAACGTTACAGTACTCCTATATGCACGGTGCAGCCACATCCACCGGCACACGCAACGCTAACCACACCGCTCCCGCGCTGTTTTCCGTCTTACTTACATATTCATCGCCAGCCCGATTCTTTCGAGCGCATAATCGCATCAGGTAACGGTAAGAAATACCGCGAATCTTACTGCTAAACACGCGCAGATGCATCTCCAGAAAAACGGGCCAACTGTACACACGGTCACGTGCTGCTATATATGTCCGAACACACACGACGATTACCTATACTTGAATCGGCGAATCAATTATCCTGTCGCCCGTAATATATTCACGCCAGTTCGGCATTTAAGATGGGAATATTAGCCATACTCTAGCCAGCCCGGTAAATAACCAAATAACAATCGAGGCAGCGAACGTTTACTACTATAATACTCCTTAGTAGGAAGGACGGGAAATGGTAGTCGCAACATTGAACGATTAGAGCTACAGTGTTACAGCGTTGTCCTACCCGAAATGGTTGGCGGTGAAGGAACAAGCGAGCCGTTACGTATTGCGTATATAGAGACGCTGCTGGGCACCGGAAAGCGTCCGTTGACGGAAGTGATTGCCGGGCGCAGCGCCGACAAATGCAGTGGCCCGCCGCGCGCAGCGGGACGCGGAACAGGCCGGACAAATAGAGCGCCGATGGAGGCAGTTATTGACGCGATCGCGCGCCGGTCAACAGCGACCGCCGATTCAGTTAGATCAGCGCCGCGACGGCTTCCTTCTCTCCTTCTCGACTTCCGCCAGCAGCCACACAATGCACGACGGCCAACAAAACACAAGTTGCGATCAGCGAGCGCGAATTACGTTAAGCTGTGTAATGTGTACAAGTCAGCGGAAGGGAATGCGGCAGTTTAATCGCTGGCGTGTTGAGTCGGCGAAATAGATGGGAATTGCAGCGATCTGTTGAAACAAGTGGCAGTTTGTGTAAACGCACGTCCCAGCACAGAATATATGCAGTCGGCTAACACGGCGCTGACGGCTAGGCAAGACAAGTGCCGGCGTCGAGATCGACAGGCAGGCAGCGAGGATCGGGATCAGGCAGGCATCAGGATGGATGTACGCGGTGATGAGTCAGGGCGAGGCTGAAGGCGGCGATGATGGAGCATCCATCGGCAGTATTGCTGACCGACCGCGATGAGCGCCAGCTATTAGCGGCCAGATTAACGTCCCATATCAACCATTGGTTGTATTGCCGATCTGGTTCTGTGCAAAGTCAGATCAGAGCAGACAGACAAATGGATGAACCGCGAATCCGCGATGATACCGGTGCCGGTTGCGGATGCCTCTTGGCCAGATTAGTACGGATACTATGTTCCCCTCGCCACTGCCAGTGTAGCCAGACGAGACGACACTCAGCCTACGCAATTAGCCGGCAACATCCTGACTGGACTGATTCGATTTGCCGATTCGCGCTACTTGTACGGATGACGACTTATGCTGTGGCGGCACTATCTCGATGAAAGGACGTCGGGCCTCTCTTCCCTTCTTTCCCACTCGCATTCGCTCGTTAGCATTGTGCAGCGTCGGCAGTCTGCGCGGTTCAGGCGGCACAATGGCAAGAGAAAGGACGGAGCTGGTAATAGTGTGTCGTTGATGTGTAAGTACATGTCTGTTAGCCAGCGCAGGCGACCAACGTCTTGCGCATCCAGACGTACACGTACTGTACATATAGATATGTACCGGTACTTGTGTTACGTATATCTATATATGCAGCTGGCGACATCCCAACGTAATGGAGCAAACCGCCATAACATGCGTTACAAATTGGCTGGGCAGATTGCGTACCGCCGTACAGCGCCAAGGTTGCCTTGGGTTGAGGGGTATATACCGGTATATATGTAATGGCATCGCGTTGTACCGCCTCTCGTACGCCGCGAACGGGGAACAAGTATACATATATCTATCGAGTGAGGTTATTGTGCAGATATATACGGCGGGATAAAGAAATTTGCTGGTGCTGTGAACCGATGGCTGCGGGGCGAATATGCTGCACGATCGACTTGCTGGAGCGGGATTGAGTGAGTGGAGAGTTTACTCATCCCCTCTATAGCTAATGGCAAGTGCACTAGCTAATTCTTCCGTTTCACCTCACTGCAGCGCCGCGACGCGCGATAATCCCGTCAATAATCTCGCCGCTACGCATCCGCCAGCGCACGGCCGGTGCATCCGATAGAGTTTCCGCCCGGGCTGCTCCAGCCTGCATCCACGTACTTGTACAGCATCTAGCGGGAGGAGTGCTTCTCCACTGCACACTGCACAGTCCTTGAGTGCGCGCGCACTTTAATCGCTCCCGTGCAGGCCATGTACATGTACTCATGTACTCTGTGCTTAATGCTCATCAACAAAAATGCATGTACAGCAGCGTTACACGCTACTTCTATCGCTCTCCTGACCGGCCCATTAATGTCCCCATTGCAACAGGTGAAGACGATCAAGAAACGCTTTACTTTTTAATTACGAGCAATCATCATTCGCAACTAGGAAAGTGTTCTGCTGCGATCCTGTAGATTCCGTTTTTGGAGGGAACACAATAATTTTCTTGTTATCCCTTGGCATTTCAATGCCATAAATGTTGTACCGGTAAATGTCTGACGCAGATTACTGGCACTGGGCGGTCACATTTTACTATCACTCAAAAACGGATGCCAGAAAATTTATCCCGGAGAGCATGTAAATTAGTAGCACGCCACCATTTGACAGTTTTTTTCGGATTAAGAAAATCACCTTGTACTTACCGAGTAACCAAAGTTACTCGTAATCGAAAGCGTAACTTAAAGCCCAATCATGCAAAGAGGAAAGCATCAGTAAGAGTTAATAATATCAGACCAAACACGGTTGTATGTTATTACTTCTGCGCCAGTTAATAACAGGCCTACTGTACCAGACCAGAGGTGCAACTAAGGGCATGTACGTACCTGACAGGTACGAGTTGTACAATCGTACTTGGCCAAAGCAATCATGAACCGACATGTAAGCCTGCAGTGTGACCTGAAACAGCTCGAAGAGTTGCGGATGTACGTTGTGGCGATGGCCTAAAATACAGCAGTACGAGTCCTGTAATGTATGCAATCCGCAGTGCCGCCACCGACACTCTAAATTAAGCCGCTGCAAGCCCAGTCACCGAGAAATACACGTAACGGCCGGGTGGGCGTGAAACAGGAAATAAAGAGGAGCTGGAACAGTGTGGATCACTAATAAGTTCTATTTCTACCTGTAGAAGTATCTGTATTGCAGTACTAATCTGCAACTGTCTACGCTACTGGACAGCTGCCAGCATGCAGTCTATGCAGTGTCCGCTAGAAGCTAATGCAATGTAGTATGTGCTTTACAGCGCACCGTACGTACAACAGTGTATATATACTCGTACTTGTACATACGCAGCAGAAACTGGAGACGAGAAACGGGACGGGCCAGGAATGGAAACCGACAGGAAGTTGGCTTCTGTACTAGCTGGATGCTGCTGTTCATAATTGCATTAAGGAAAGTGCGCAGCCTTCATGATATGTTCACTGCCATCTTGAAGAGAAAATCTCAGATGATTCAAATACTAATCCAGTGATTAGTGATCACACCGTAACCAAGACAGTTACAGTTGTGGCTGTGCGTGAATATTACAACGGCAAAGCTGTCCAAAGGTCGTCTACACAAATGAAAGGTCTACACAAAGGTCGTCTACCCAAATGAAATTCTGAAGCGATCGAGGGTCACAGCTCACAGTCACAGGTGATCACAAAGAAACGAGCACACATGCACGGGCAAATTAATATACCAGCTACCCGTGTGTTTCTATCTTTATGTATAGCTTTTGTTTCTATCCTATGTTCACTCCAATAACCCAATAAAGTACCCGTGTGTTTCCCGTATTGTACACACATTGTTTGGTCTAACTTATCGCCGGCACTACAGTAAATCTGCATGCACTAGGACTAGTAGTTCATTTCTTGACCCAGAGCGGTAAAACATTTTGACCATCAGGTCCTGTGAATATAATTATAAGCAGCTACGGTTACGGTGTGGGCTACGGATACCTGCGGCCGGAGCGCGCTTTCTACGCACATGTACAGCGGAAGCGGACCAGATTCCGTTTTGTGTTCTGTACACTCGTAACTCGTGCATTTGTAAATCAGGCGTGACCGTCCTTGCGTACCGCACCCAGCATCAGCAGCTATATAGAATATTACACGTTTCTTTAATTAATTGTAGCAAACGTGCAACTCTGAACCTCCAGTTAGGGACTGTACGTATCGCTAGTCGCTACCGACCACGTACAGTAGAGGGGACTCATCCATTGCACTGCACACATTCAGCAGCAGCTATTCATTCGAGCAGGCTTGTCCTTGGCTTTACAGGACGTTCGCCACGCGGGACTAACCAGCGGCGGGAACACGCAATGCTGTGATACATGCTTATATACACGGTACAAGGCACTGTCGCGATGTGATACAATAATAATTCAATCGACCTGCCAGTACTTCCGCAGTTTTTCAGCTGGCAAAAACACCAGGGGTCGCGTTTCTGCCATGGCTGTCAGCTGACCACTGCTCAGGAGATGTACACGCTAGCAAAACAAGTGCCCCGGTAGCCTACTCGGTAGTTATACCATACAGCTTGCATGATGTCAAGGTATCAGTACCTGTGCATTATTTCACAATTTCAAACCAGTAACAACCTCATTAGTTGTAAGGCGGTCGTCATATAAGTTGCATTATCAGAGCAGCATATCTGCGGGATACCGGCGGAAGTTGGCGAGCACAAACAGCTGGAAAAGTACTCACCCATTCGCGTGGTCGTCCTGGATGCGGGCGCAGCTGGTGCTGGTGCCGGCGTCGTTGTTGTGATCAGACATGTTGCTACCTGTCACAACGGATCATCTGGCTCATCTCAGCGCTCCACATTGCTGCACGTGTACCGTCTCTAGGTAAGCAGGTCACCGGCAGCCACCGGGATTTGTCGTAGCGCCGACACTAGCGCCAAACAGCGAGATGCATGGTGAAATCCCGACGAACATGGTGATGCCGGCCACTTTGACCAGCACATCTGCAGTGTATTGTATATACCACACCAACTGAATGCCGCAACGGTTTGGCTGCTGCTTTTCACAACTTGACCGTTCGCCTCCCACCGAGATTGTTATGTCACATAAAGCGCCTTTCGCCAGATATCAGCTACGCCGTCCAGCTATCTGTATATGCAGCGCTACACTTGAAGTACGCCATGTACGAGGACACAAATTAATCTTCAGTGGTCGATATTCGTCCCGCACAACGATTACTTGGGCGATTCTATAAAAAAATCATAATCATAAGATGAAAACGAGCCGGACATGTGTTGGTGTTTCCGATGGCGATGGTAATCCACCGAGTCGACAGTATTAAACAGCGATCAGCGTAGATGTGCAGACGGGATAGTTGGATGCTAGTGCATGGGTAGGAAAATAATCGGTGGGGAAATGAGTGCTGCCAGTTGAGAGAATGGCGTCAATGACGCATGACAAAGGAGTGATTACGCCGCATGTCGCTGCTAGCGAAGCAACTGCACGAAGCGATGCTGGCGCGAAGATATGTGTGAGTAACTGAGTAACTGTACTGGCGTAATGACATCCGGCGAGAGTAAAGGACTGACTTGTTGGCCTTCCGGCGCGCCATTGTTCGGCCCGGCAAGGATTGGCCCTGTTGTGGCCCGGGCGGGACTGGCTGGGCTTCCTTGGCGGGAGGAGAGAATTAGAGTGTGCGCTGTTGCAGTGCCCGTGCAACTGCGGCAGTGAGATGGAGCGGCGCCGGAAGGAAGGCCAGTGTTAGCAGCGCAGCGTAATGTTAGGCGTGGATGCCGTTATGGCGCTGACAGTGAGCGCAGCCCGCTTAGGTTTAATTCACTTAGCGACTGATCCTTCGGCAAGTGTGGCTGGCCAAGAAAATAACTCATTTCGCCATCCCGCTCGCCACCGGGACATTCACATCATTCATTCATCATCATAGCCGGCGCTTGTAATACGTTTACTGCGCAAAGGTTAAACCCACTCCCATGCTTATATCCGCGCCGAAAGACCGGCCGACTGCCCAACTAGGAACTGGTACAAATCGCTTCCTATACTTTGTACTATGTCTTATACTGTGAATGCCGTAAATGCACACTTTCGCCCTTCGCAGAACGCTTCGCCGTCGGCGTCGGGTACAGCCAGTAGGGGGAGCGGAGCCGGTAAAGGGAGCCGAAGGGAGTCTTTTGTGGCGACTGGCAGTATCTGTATAGTCGCGATGGCAATGGCAACATAATGCCGATGATCCGATCAAGTCCGCGAACTTGTCTGCTTGTCAAGAGGCATCGCGCTGCGGCCGCAGTGATTTTGACGCACACTTAAATTTGATTATGCATTTCATCCATCACTGCCCACTAGCAATGCCGCTTGCAGCCAGCTACGGCAGACCGACGCAATCTGCATGTACCGATCCTCCTATCAGCCATTATGCTCATGTCGCTGATGCTGCCCGGCCGGCGTTAACAATAAGCCCGCAAGCCGCAGCCAAATCCGCTTTTTTCCTCCTAAGCTGCCAAATGCAAATCCAACAGGCTATCGCACTCCACAAAACACCAGCACGATTACATATGCATATACGCTGTATGAGGGCACTGCTTACACGACAGCGCTCGATTGCGAGGAAAGCGTTTTTTCGCTTGGACGGTTCGCAGTGTTCGGCAAAGAATGAAGTGCGCAGTGTAAAAAGTCCGCAGTGCTTCCCTGCACAATCATGTAGTGCAACTGTACACGTTACACCACAATTTCTTACATTCTTTTGGCAAGCCGGTGCAAGCATCGGATATATACAGGAACAGAATTACTAGCAGTAGTCTTGAAATGATCAATTACTAATGCTGTAACTGGAAGCACTCTAACAGTAACCGATGTATCACAAAGTAGAAAAGCAGTTTAGTTCATCCCTGGGAATGTACGACCATGCGGCGCAGCGCTCCTGCAGGAGCAGTGAGCGGAGCGGCATTTTGTTGCAATTAATTGCCGATACAGATTAGTCCTTCCGATAGGGCTGCGAACGTCAGCGTGTTCCTCGCCCATGGGAACGGTTTCGTAGTGATAGAACCACTCTGTGGCTGTAATGTCTCCTAGTGAGCCTGCGTCGTGGCTCCTTATCCTGCCTCGCATGCAGTGTCGCTGCAGTCCCAGCGGAGACTGCGGCCCAGAGCGTTGAGGCCCGTGAACAGCTGCCCATCTGTACGTATACGGAACATACCGACACACAGTTACAGATATATACATACAGATGGCATGCTGGCTCTGGCTGAGATGGCGTTCTTCGAGGAATGCCGTCAGGGCGGACTCACCGCATAGATAGCCGACACAAGGTCAAGAAACCTTGACCCTGGTCCGGCTGCAGTCTCTTGCGCAGAGCCTGTACTAGATGGCCAGTGGATCAATTTCTGGGTGACCTTTACAGTGCGTGTCTGTCCAGTCCACGAAACGCTGCCAGCGCGTGCAAGTACCATCGACACTCGGATGGGAGTAGTCGCGTTTCTATGTACGAGCTGCTCGGGGAGTTGAATTGCTTATGAGTTGTTGACAGGCAATATTTATTAACAGATTTCTAGTCGCATTAATTGTCAGCGCTGTAGAGTACGTCTGTTCAAGGGGACCTATTTCGCTCGCAACCGCAGGTAAAGCCATGTCACCTTCGACTGTTTCCGTGCATTAAGCAGCATACGTATTCACAGCAGCAGAGGGCAATGCAACGTGGACAGACTTGGTTCTTGGTTGCTGTTTGAAACCTTGGTCGCCACAGTAGTGCTTACAGGTCGCGAATCCGGTCCGGGATAAACGGTAGGCCGGTTGCCGCAGCACTTGACATTGCGCGACGAATGAGGAGTGTTGCGTCCTTGAAAGTGATTTACCGACCTCCTCAACAGACCGCTACAGCCTCTTTCGGCGCTCCCGATCTTCACTGCGGAACTGAAGCAGAAGCCCCGGGACGGCCCGCTCCACAAGAGAAGCGCGCGCTCCCCTTCGCGCGATCGTCGTTGATCGGATCGCGCCTACACGCAGGGCAATATAGGAGCAGCGCATTAATCTGTCTAGTGTGTTGCCGGAGGAGCGTTTGTTTTAGGCCAGATGGCATACAAGTTGAAAACAGGCACTTAAATCGATTCCCTCCTCTGTCGGTCACAGTATCCACGGCTGTGTATATGTGCCAGTTTTACTGCGACCTGCAGCTATTCCGATCCATGAAGCCCGCAGCGAGCTGTTGCTGCTGCTGCAGTGCGGCCTCCATACATAAAATGCCGACGACGCCCTGGGTTGCAGGTCAACGCAGGCCTATCCTATCCGGCGATTTGGAATATCGATGAGGTCACAGTACACTGAGTACAGTGAGTGCAGCAGCCATAAATGCCGACCGGCACTGCAGTGACAATACGCTCCATAGTCAGTCATACTGTCACAACTTGCTGGATCAGCAGAAAGCATGTGTGCCCGTACGCATACATATACTGTACTGTATATCTCTACGTCCAGCCTAAGCCGGCGCTGAATTCAACAGTCAGCCCTTTCCGCTTCGCTGGACGTTGGGATGTTCTGCTAGTGTTTAGCGGCACGAGTGATGTGAGCGCGGCGCTGCCGTGCAGTGTCTAAGAATATGTCATAATTACTGCTTGTGAGGATTGTGCGTACATGTGGGTGTTGTCAGTGTGCGGTACGTGGATTGTGTTTGCAAATTGCAGCTAGGACATTCAGTTCACATCTTATTCCTCCACACGCAACCTGCACTCTCACTCTTCGGTCTTCACGGGAACGTATGTTGCTGTTGCGCAGGCATAGCAACATTACGCCGCTGCTGAAGGTGTCCGATCCGCTAAAATGCATGCCACACTCAAGGTCATCTCAGCTAGGACGTCTGCAACTTTTGGCAGAGGAAGGTCAGTACCGTTACCAACTGCACAAGTTCGCGGTCCTGCAGCTGCATTGATACACACTCACTTCCGCTGATTTCCCAGTCATTCCCACACTCAGTGCTGTTCTTGGGAAAACTCTTCGCCGCTGACTTCATCTCACCTCGAAAGGTTAACGTACAGCGCGGCTTCGCGGGCTTGAAGTGCACAAGCATAACAGTAGGCAGACTATGCAATATGTATTTTGGGATTTTGCTGGTTGTTTAAAGAAAACGCACTGACCATTGACCGTTAGGGAAAGTCTAGAATAGCTGTCCGGCAGAATGCGGCTAACTGATTGTACCCAGTAATTCGACGTGTGCCATCCGCACCCTGGCTACGCACTGTAAGCCGGCATCGAATAAGCGATTTATGTGTTGAGGCTAACTGCTTTTTAAAGCGATCAATGACTGCTGGCTGATTAATCGCATTACGGCACGGCCACCGCCGTCAGCTGTCTCCTGGCCAAAGAACAATCTATTCACCACCGAATGCGCCGTGATTGCGTTAAACAATTCAATATAATTCCAAGCGATATTCCCTGGTGTGCTGTCTCGGCGGACGGCCGTTGTGCCGCGTCGTCAGCATTAGGAAGGCCCAGCACGCTTAGTGGACTGTGTCCGGCTTCCTCCGATTTCAAATTATCGTACTTGAAATTAAATTTCATTTTTGCTGGCTCATCGTTTCCGGCGAGGTGGAGCGTGTGGTGAGTGTTGGCAGTTGGTTTGCCTGCCGAAATGAAGAGTATAAACAGCTCCGTCAACGCCGGCTATCCACTGCGGCAGTTGGATAGCCGGCGTCGCTGCCAACTCCTCGTTTGGCAGCGACGATTTCTTGCGGTTTCTTATCAAAACACCCGTCCCTCAAGTGCGATTGTGATTAGCCAGCAACACTGAAGTAAACCGACGGCAGCGCTGTTGAAAACAAACTCGAAGTCGGAGCGCCAAAAAGGGACGTAGCGGCGCAATGTTTATGTGAACTGGAAGGATGGAGTGCGTGTATATGAAACACTTGCACCGTTACACATATTGCGAGGCGAGCCGTGTTTATGCATGCACCGCCCGCTGTTACAGCGCGGCATATATACGGTGCATATGAAATAAGAACCATATATGCGCGGCGTAACGATCGGATTATCGGGCGATAGGTCTGAATGTTTTTCTTCTGCCAACAGCGCTGATGTACGGCGTTTTAATGTGATTGCAGTGCGGTCGTACAAGGCGCAACGTACGTTGTACTGGCCAGTTGGCGCTGTTAATGGGGATCCACTAGCCGGGCCGGTTAACTGCTCGCGTCGCAATCGGAATCGGCCGTCGCGGCTCCGTTAAGCGCCGTCGCGGGCAGCTATAACTAAACTGCACCAGGCCACCAGATAACTGCAGCGCAGAATGCGAAATTAGATCAGTGCGCGCAGCATCGGCACGTCGACGCATGGATATCATGGTGCGCCCAGCTGGCGACGCGCTGCACTATTCCACATGCATCCACCGTTAACAACGCGCGCTGTACATGTGCGTGCGCCATTTCTCTACGGCTCAACTGGCTTTTCCGGCACGCAGCGCATTCACATTGGCTTCGCCAGTTGATCGTATTGTATTGTGCAGCGATGAGATGAGTAGTTCAGTTAGTTGTGTGCCTGTCCCACCGTGGGAAGCAAGGTGACTGCGTTGTACTTGTAGCTGATCAGCGATAAGGGCGCTTACTAATTTGTTATGCGCGATATGATCGTCCGTCGTCGCTGACTGTTTTATATGTATGCGGATTAATTGTTGTGCGAAGCGGCGACGTGTTTTTGGCCACAGTGCTCACCGGAAGTGCGCGCTGGATGCGAAGGGTCTGATGATCGGGTCTGGATAGAGTTATTAGCCGCGTCTCCTATTACTGTGATTAGCCCGCAGCACTGCAGTGCATACTACAGATCCCGCAATTAGCCGCCACTTGTCGGATCCGGATGCCCATCTGCCGCAGCACCGGCAGAATATCTTAATCAGCCTCAACATGGCCAGATTCAACTGGAGTAAATGCCGGTGGTGTATACACAGGATGGCGCTGCTGCTCGTCCTGCTCCTGACAAACGAAGGTGAGAAGTCGCTGTAGCGATGACTATAGGGCTTTATGCCGACTGTTTATCCGGCGCTTGGTCACTTGGCTGGCTGTACCTGCGCGTAACCCAGTTAGGCCCACTCGAGTACACGCCCGCTCCGATCCGCTCCGGCCCGATCGAGGGCTTGTTTATTTATCCGCAGTGACTAATGGACGCCGGTTTATAGCGCTGCGTGGAAAATACACATCCCGTGCGGCTGAAGAGCGCGGCGATATGTTGATGTTACTACGGCGCGGTGGTGCCGGTTTGGGCCGTTACGGCCAGTCAGCTGAGTGCCGATGCATTCATTCATTCATGGGGTGATTATGATTGTCGGTAGCCCGTGTTCACATGTGTGAATTCGTTCTGTTCTGCGGTTGATCTAAATGTCCATTAGGCATGTTTGCGGTGGCGGTGTACACGCGCACTTGTGCCGTTTGCACTCTTCGGCAAACACAGTTCTGCTGTGTGCCACTGTGTGCGCCGTTGGCAGGAGTTTATTTACTCGGATGTGCTCCATTTGTTAATTGTCAAGTGCGCCAGTGAACTACTGCGGGAAAGAAACACTAACCGCCGTCAGCCGGCACATTTATATACGCCGCGGTATCCGATACATACGCTGCCCATTCATATCGTGCACATGCAACACCTTGGTCAGCGTTTTAAATTGCAACGACAAGCGCTAACACGGCCGCAACGCGCAATCAGCGCCGATCAGGTCGATGTTGGACAAGTGACATCCATCAAATTAATACCGCCGCGCTGACTACTTGAGCCGGCCCATCAAGTGCCCTACAAATTGCTCACACACTACGCGTGTACATGTGCTGGCCTACTCGAATTAAGGGTGCGCAATTAGCAGTATTAGATGAGCCAATCCGTCTGCTGCGTAAATGCAGCAACGCCAGTTAAAACAATTAGCGGGAACGGGACGCAATCGATGCCGGTCGGGGTTAACTGGTCCACAGTTAATCCGGGCTGTTTATGCCCGGACATTTGCATGGCGTTGAAAGGGCCGGACTGGCCGTTTATACGTACAAGATATATAGTACGCCGAGGAATTGCCTGAATTGTAAAATGCATCACGCACGATGATGTCGCAGCACATTAGGCGATGCGGGAGGGAGCGCGCGAGCGGGGCCAACTGGCTGTCCTATTTTCTGTCCCTGCATATGCACAGCGTAACACTGGCCGCCTCTTTCGCTGCCCGTCCAGTCCAGTGCAGCTCACTGGCGCTGGCACCGGCACGCAGCCGGAGCGCAGCGGCTTATCGCTCATCCTGCTCCACTTGAATAAATCATCTTTTCATGTGCGTCCAGCACGGCATATTGCGCTGCGCTTCCGCTTAATGCACTTGATTGCGGCCCATCGGGTTGCAACTTGCAGTTATCATTCTGTGAATGAAATACGGGCAAATTAAACGGCAGCAATGCGGTGTTAAAGGGCATCCTACCTGTCGTGTAATTGTCGTGCTGCACCGGATGTCCAGCTATGTTCACAGAGCGCAGTGTCAGTAATATATAGAGCAGTGCGTCCCACAAATTAGTAACTATGCGGGGACAGCATTACGTCGATATGTACACTATGAGCTATATATGTATATAAGTGTACATTGTACACTCGCTCGAATGTGTTCAGCCTAGGTTATACGCTGGGAACGTACACGTTCTGGACCTTTATAGTGTATACCCACTGTATGCGTGTAAATTGTGCTACGCTGACAATTAGCACCCAGATGTAAAATTGCCGATATCGTACAGCACTGTGAGCTGCGTTCAACAAAAACACAGGCAATTTGACCGTATTTTGCTGATATCCATTAACGCTTGTGCCGGTAATTTGCAGGAGTGCCCAGCGTGGACGCCATTCAGTGCTACGTGTGTGCGCCGGTGCCGGAAATCCTGGAAACCTGCGTGAACGTGGAGGACGCGGAACTGGAGGCCTGCTCCGTGGCGCACGAGGTGTGCCACCTCGTCGTGACGAAGCAGGTGCTGCCGCATGGAAAAGGTCAGCCTTTACTGCTAACTGATTTACTAAGGAAACCTCCATTCTAAGTCGTGACCTTTTGCATATGCAGAGGTGGTGACGGAAGTGTCCCGCGGCTGCGGCCGGGCGCCCAACACGCCGCCGGCCAGTGTTCCGGTGGACGGGCGGGGCTGCCAGAACCACGCCAACGGCAGTCTGCAGGTGTGCCACTGCGCCCGCGACAGCTGCAACGCGCAATTAGTGGAGGAGCCCGCCAGTAGCAGCGCCAGTGGCAGCCCCTCCACGGCCACCACCGCGCCCCTCACCCTGGGCACGGCCCGCTCCCCCACCGTGCAGGAAGGCCGGGAGGATCTGCCCAAGGTCACCAGTCCGCTGGTCACCACGCAGCAGTCCAGCAGCGCTTCCGCGACTGCCCGGACGCCCTTCCTAGGAGTTACGGCGGCGACAGTCCTTTTTCTGACCTGTCTCAGGAGGAGATAACCGGACGGGATCCTTTACATGCTGACCATGTTGTTGTTTGCAGCGCCTTGGAAGTTTCAGAGTAACTAACTGTTCAGCAGAGTTTGTCTACGCTCCTTTCACTTGTCGTCCCGGTGCGATGAAACGGAATTCGATAGCAGATTATTCATCTTTGCATATTTGATATAGTTTGGCTGCTGTTTATTTTGTTGCCTACTTTATACTGTTGAGTTGACTGTTGTCTGTTGATCGTCTAATGCCCGTGTAAGTGTGCGTTTAGTTCAATGGTTTTGTTATAAAATGTTGCTCATCAGGACATATGCCTTTTTATCCGTGGTTTGTCAGTTTCGCCACGTTGACGCTTACAGCGCAAACACCGCATTATGCGAACTAAATGGCTTCTGACCATGCAAACGTAGGGCTGCCGAGCACGAAAGGCGTTACTTGTATACTTCTATATAATTATATAGCCGGAAGCGATAGTATAGTAAGGCCGGAAACGAACGACCGCTTGTATGAGCTGGATTGGTTTGATTCATGACTGACATGCGTATCACAAAACGCAAACATCCCCACAAAGCACCGAATCACGATCAGAGCCCGGCAGTTGCGGACATCCGAGTGTGGAGCATCCCCAAAACAGTCCGCCCCGTGTCAACCAGCGCGAAACGTACAGTACACGAACAACATAACAGTAGAAACACAGAATGCTCAAGCTGCAATAGCAGGTCCGATACGGGCAACGGATACATAGAGTTTGTTTAAAAAAGGATAAAACCGAAATAGAAAACAAATTACCTACTGATTCCACTGGATTGGATCAGGTTAAAAGCTAAAAAACCCAACCGAACGCTGAAGCCGGCGGAAAGGGAAATCGAAGAAGAATCACCAGGCCGGGCCGCCCCGGGCATCTCACGGGTTTGGCGCTGTCGGCCCAAAGGATAAAGCGCTCTAATCGGCGCTCTCTGCTGTCACTCTTCAGGACAAGATGGCCACGCTGCGGCGCTGCGCGTTGGCCATGTTGTCGAGGCTGTTGGAGCGGCGCAGGGCGTTGCTGAAGAGGAAGCCGTCCGAGACCTTCTGCGCGCACAGCCGCGACAGCGCCTCCAGCTTCTGCGCCCGCTCAATGTTCAGCTGCTCCGCGGGGAAGCTCAGGTCGTTGGCGTCGGCCAGCGAGCGCAGGTCAAAGTAGTACTTGGCGTACACGCTGCAAGCGAGACAAGTATACCATACAGTCAGCCGACGAGAAGACTGATAAACAGACAGGCAGATGTCTGTACCTGGCCGGGACGTTGATGTTGAACTGCAGCTGCTCGAGGAAGTTGCGCTCCAGCTCGTTCATGTCCTCCACCTGGATGTCGCGCAGGATCTGGCAGTAGTCCACGTTCCACACCGCCTGGTCGTCCCACACCTACACCAGCCTTCAATGCACCAACGAACAGCGAAAGAGAGGCGCCACGCACCTTGCTGGCCAGGAGCACCGCGCCCAGCACCATCCGCTTCCAGTTGGACGGGCCGATGTCCATCTCGCCGTAGGTCAGCAGCCGCTCCAGGTACACCAGGGTGACGATGGCGCACTCGGCCGTCAGCTGCGCCGCGTTGAACAGCGTCCTGCACACGACAGCACCATGCTACGCACTGTATACTGACAAACCCACGAGGCGACGCACCTGAGGAAGCGGTAGACGTGGCGGTGGTCGGGGTCCACCTGGTCGTAGTCCGTGGCCAGCTCGTCCTTGCTGAGGGGGTGCAGGCGCTCCTCGAAGATGTCCAGCGTGCGCACCAGGCGGTTCTCGCGGTTCTTGATGTGGTAGTAGATGGCCAGCGAGACGCACTTGATGGTGCTGCGCAGGTTCGGCTGGCTCACCGTCGAGTCGTCCAGGAAGATGGTCGAGCAGGAGTTGAACTTGCGCTGCAGCGGCGTGCTGCCGGAATGCGACCCGTGCGAGTCGTCGCGCGGCGTCTCCTCGCGCTCTGTCGGGCTGCTGATCACCATCATGCCTAACCACACGTAACACCCTCAAAGACTGAAACAGTTAGTGACAGTTCGACGGGAAGACTGACCGTTTTTATCGAGGAAGACCCCCGCATTCGCCCCGGAGGGCAGGCACTGGCTGCGGCGCTTCCGCTCGCGCGACTCGCGCAGCTCGGACTTGCTGCGGACCATGAAGATGGGTCCGCGGCGCGGATTGATGGAGGGGTCGTTGAGGCCGTCCTCCGGCTCGCGCTCGCTGATGTGCTGGATGTTGGAGGAGCTCTCCGAGTGGAGGCGGGCGGCGGCGCCGGCGGGCAGGAGGTTGTGGCTGGCGCTGTTGGACAGCACCAGGCCCTGACTGGAGCCGCTGTGCTGCTGCTTGTTGCGCAGGACGACGCGTCCGCCGGCCGCCGCGTCGGCGGGGAGGTCGCCGCTGTGGGAGTAGTTGTGGTAGACGACCTTCTGGCTGGCCTTGCTGTGCCCCGCCGCGCCGTCCTGCCGCTTGAAGAGGCCGTTGTGGGCGGGCGCGGGGGCCGCCGTGGTGGGCGCCGAGCCGGCGGGGATGCAGCAGGAGACGCTGTTGCCCATGGCGGCGCTGGCCGGTGACTCCGCTGTCTCTCGGCGCGATCACTGTTTCAGTCCGCGGAAAGAGTGCTTCGTGTCTGCTATAAATAGCCCGCAGTCAACCAGCAGCTCACAGCCTGACGGCGCCCGTGAATCAGTCAGTGGAATGACAACGGCGATGGCTCAGTGGATGACGGCATATCTAACGGCTTCGCGCGGTAGGTAGGTAGGGGATGTGTGGCGCCAGGGAAGAGCAGACTGGGACACAATTCTTTGCCACAGATTTAATCAGCCAGGACGCGGACCAATCGCCTCCAGTCCGACTGCAGCGATGTAGCCAAACGTTGAGCTGCCTGTTGAAACCTCTTCGGCAAGAGCAAAGCGGACCACTGCAGCGGAAGCACGCAGCAACCGCCACGGATCACCGACAGACGCACCGCACCTCCTTAAAACAAGGACATTTGTTAGCGTAGCTAGGCGAAATGTTACTGGTTGCGGCGCTGTGGATCCTTCGAATAACGAAGAATTCACAGTTCACCAGCCGGCAAGTAAGTTGTACTGCTTCGCAACTGATGGTGCAACGGTCAACCCCCAGAAACACCATCCACTGGCATCCAGTAATCCAGCATCCGAGTCTTCAAGTGTGCACTTTGGTTTGTAAACTGCCCCTTGTTACACAGTAGGAGTACGTGCAGCGCCGTACCTGATCCACAGACTCACCACAACATCGCAATAGAGTATTACGTACTTGTTAAACTCTTCCCAGTTCTCACCTGGGAAAGAAGGCCTTCGCTCTTCGGCTGTATGTGCGGGCAGACGCTTAGACGCGCACTAGCAGAAGTAAAAAGCGGTGGGACTGTGCTGTGCAGGGCAGCGTGCGTCCTCCCAGACGCCACTGTGAGTCGCAGGCCCCTGATGCGGATGCAGGCCTTCAGGTTGATCCAGCTGCACAACCCATCCGACGCCAATCCAACTGCCAACTGGGTTGCAGCCTGGACTGAACAATCGCTTCTCACTCCGCAGCGACGTACGCACTCGCCCCAAGCCCAAGGCAAGGAACGAACACAGCACTCTTCTCGCAGCTGAAGGCCCCCCGATCGACCATCAACTGATTAACTCCACGACAAATAACTCGCCACAACCAATCTCAGCCCAGTTGCAACTTGCCACCACCACTGTTCCCCCGGACAACAGTCACAACACAGCCGATTTTCCCGGAATATACTTCCCTTCAAATGTCAAAGGGAATCGCTCTCCACAGCGCAGGATCAAAACAAACTCTCCCAGCTCATCCAGATATAGTACTGTTACAGTGAGTGTTACTATTGTATGATTGCATCCAGAAATTAGAATGATGCGACAACTACAGCATCAACTGTGCCAACTTCTTCAGGCTTAACTTTTAACCTAACACGAAATCACGCGATAATCGTCCCATCAGTTTGCGATGGAGCCTGGCTGGAGAAAGCACACGGTGACGGAACAGCTCAGATACATTAGTATCAAACTGCGAAAAATTATGTCTAATCATATCATCACTCACAAGAGTCAGACCAGTTGAACGCGGAAGGTTCAACAACTTCAACTCTGACTGTGAGAGTGGAGTGAGTGTGCAGTCTGTGCAAGGGCCACGGCAAGCGCGATGCTGGCTGGCATTGTAAAGGAGTCGCCGCCCCACGGTAAAAGCTCCTGTTAGCGTTATTGCTTCTCATTTCCGTTTCCGGTGTCGTCACATTCGGGCCTATCGAAATTACGCTAGTATGCATGTAGCTGCTGCCCCGCGGAGTAACAAACATCCCTGATCAGATACAGTACTTTCTTATGCTTTTATACAGCCAGTGCCGCTCTACATTCTGTAGCCTATAGTAAGTACTGTAGAGCGGCACTGATACAGCGCCAAAATCAATATCTGACAGTACTTTACATAAAGATATCATCAAATACAAACACTCGGATTGTGCATCGTAATCATCTTCGATTGATGAACCGTCGTCGATCATGCGCGCTTATGCACTCTTCCCGTCTTTCGCCAGTTAACCAGTTGACCGGTGAGGAGTATAATGAAAATTCGATAAGCAATTACTTAGTAAATGTATGATTGATGAAATAAATACATTTATATTAATTTTTAAGTTTATTTCCGTTCTCCACTTTGCGAGGATTCGCACATGACACCGAACAGTGTCGAAATAAGTGTCATTCAATTTTGCACCAGCATCGAGATCAGCAATAATCAAAACTGTGCTAATCCATTGGCCACAACAAAATGAAAATACCATGCCGAATCGCTTACCTATAATCAAGGAAAACTAATAAGGAGGTCCATAAAAGGCAAGCGTTCTAACAGCGCAGCCGACAACGCCCACCGGATGTCAACATACACTACGCATAAAGAAAGCAACAGTGAAGAGAGTCATTAACGAGAAAGCAGACAGCCGTGCGGCGTCCACACCAGCCGCCCCGCTGGCGGCGGCGGTGTCGAGGGAGGCCAGCTGCACCAGCTTGCAGGCCGGCGAGCCCACCGCCCGCCCCAGGGAGTCGAAGCTCTGGACGCAGGCCTTGTAGGTGGTGGAGAAGGAGAGGTCGGGCACGGCGTACTGGCTGGTGTGGTAGGGCAGGCGCGTCTTGGGCGCGTGCACCGACCGGTTGGCGTACTCCACGTTCAGGCCGAAGCTGAAGATGTCCCCGGCCACCAGCGTGTCCCACTGCAGCAGCACGGCGCGGCCCGCCCGCACCGCGCGCAGGTCCAGCACCGTCTTGGCGTCCAGCAGCTTGTCGATGGCCTGCCGCGACGCCTCGCAGTCCGCGCCCAGGGCGGCGTCCACGATGGGCGTGGCCGTGCCGGCACACACCGCGTCGACCACCACCGGGTCCCGCCGCCGCCGCAGGTGCTCCTGCAGGCCCACGGCGCGGCAGTCGCAGAAGATGCTGACGTTGCGGAAGGACAGCGAGCTGTTGTCCTGGTCCAGGGACAGCAGCAGCGAGAAGGGCACCGAGTGCAGCAGCGTGTAGTCCAGGTTCAGCTGCTTCAGGTCGCAGTTCAGCCCGGCGTCGGAGAGGATCTCCAGGGGGTTGCGGTCCAGCAGGAGGCGCTGCAGGCGCGGCATCTTGCTGAAGGCGTGCACGCTCAGCTGCTTGAGGGCGTTGCGCGACAGGTCCAGCGCGGTCAGCCAGGGGAGGGCCGGGGCGCCCAGGATCTCCTGCAGGAAGTTGCGCGAGACGTTGAGGACGGCCAGGCGGTTGACCGCCTCCTCGAGGTAGGTGGGGAGGACGCGCAGGCGGTTGCCGCTGAGGTCGACGCTCTCCAGGAAGGCGTTGCGGTCGAAGAGGCGGCGCGGGAGGGTGCCCAGGGCGTTGTCGGCCAGGGACACGCGCCGCACCGAGTACAGGTCGTTGAACACGTCACCGGCCACGTCCGTCAAGGCGTTCCCGCTTAAATCCACCGACGTCAGCGACTGCAGACCGCGGAGCAGCTGTGAGTCCAACGCCGGCAGCCGGTTGCCGTCCAGACGCAGTTCCGACAGCTCGGCCAGACCGTTCAGCGCCGTCTCGTTAAACCGGACAATCTACAACGAGATACGCGTAAAGCAATAAGTACTGTAATTAAAATCAAACAAAAAACTATTTAAAACATTCAAAAAACAGTTCAAAACGTTATTTAAGAAGTAGCGAAAAAGCTACTTATTTATTACTTACTTAATAAATTATAAAGGCTTTATTTATGTTTACCCAGCGACATAACAGTCAATCAATCCACTACGGCCAATACTGCATAATTAAGAATTGAAAAAACACAATTACTTAACAAATACTATATTTATTATATAATAGTGACATACACCTGCGAAATATTTTTAAATTAATGATAAATGTAGATTTCAAAAAATCAGATTTATAAGAAAATAAAAAATTAAAATATAAGAAAATAAAATTACAACAATATGAAAATGCTAAATAAAATGTAATATGAATGAGTAATAATATTCGATATGAGAATGCGTACTTGATTGGTGTCCAAATAGAGCTTGCGCAGTTTGAGCCCCGCAAAGGCGTCGTAATCGACGCCGGCGATGCTGTTCTGGCCCAGATCGAGGTGCTGCAGCGTGACGCGGTTCTGCAGCTCCTTCTTGGGCACCGCCCTCAGGGCGTTGCCGCGCAGCTTCACCGTCTCGATGATGCCGAGGTGGGCGAAGGCGCCCAGCTCCAGCTCGCTGACGTTGTTGAAGGACAAGTCCAGCGTCGTCAGGGGGATGCCCACGGGGAAGCTGGAGCCCTTGATGCTGCTAATGGAATTGTTGCGGGCGGAAATGATCGCCAGACTGCCCGGCGCCTGGAACAGCTCAGTGACGAAGTTGTCGTCCACTTTGATCAGGCGCAGACTGCGCAGTTTGCTCACAGCGAACCGCTGGAAATTGGAGATGTTGTTCTTACCTACAAAACAAAATAAAAATAACAGTAACTTATAATACATAAATGAAATAAAAGTACAAAATAATATTATCCACATACTGAGGTCCGCCTCGAGGAGGCTGTTCATGCTGCCGAAGGTGGAGGCGTCGACCGCCCTTAGGAGGTTGCTGTGCAGGTACAGCCGCTGCAGCGACAGGTAGTCCTTGAAGCTGCCGGGCATGACCTCTTGCAGCCCGTTGAAACTGAGGTCCAGCGTCATCAACATGGGCAGCCGGGGCATCTCGCCCGGCGACACCGTGCGGATGAAGTTGTGCGACAGGTTGAGCGTCATGACGCCCAGCAGTCCCGAGATCTCCATCAGCTTCAGCTTCGAGATGTTGTTGTGGCTGAGCTGCAGCTGCTGCACGGCCGGCAGGAAGCCCAGAGCGGCCGCCTTCATCTGCGATAAATTGTTGTTGTTCAGGTACAGCGCCGTCACGCCCTGCAGGTCGCCCAGGCCGCCGGCCTCGATGCTTGTCAGGTTGCAGAAGGCCAGCGAGATGCTGCTCAAGTTCTTCAGCCCGTCCAGCGCCTGCCCACGGACGACGCTCAACGCCGGGTTGAAGGAGAAGTCGACGGTGGCGATGTGGAAGCTGTTGGTGACGAGACGCGAAGGCACCTCCGTCAGGGCGTTGTGGCTGAGGAAGAGGCCGACGAGGTTGAAGAGGCCGGCGAGGGTGTCGGAGGGGAAGGCGGTCAGGCGGTTGTAGGATAAGGTCAGGTTCTGCACGGCCATGCCCATGGGGAAGAGGCCGGCGGGGAGGCCGGTCAGCTGGTTGTGGTCCAGGAAGAGGTAGACGATTTTTAAATTGGCGCGGAAGGCCCCGCCGTCCACGTCGTCCAGGCGGTTGAAGGCCAGGTCCAGCGTGTAGAGGTTCGTCAGGTTCTGCAGATCGGTGGCGGAGACCGTGGAGATGTTGTTGGCGCTGACGTTGAGGACCTGCAGGCCGTGCTGGTAGCCGAAGCCCAGGGCGGGCATGTGCTGCAGGAGGTTGGCGCCCAGGTTCAGCTGCGTCAGGGCCGACAGCCCGGCGAAGGCGCCGGCCTCGACGCTGCGCAGGAGGTTGCCGGCTAGATTGAGCTCCTGGAGGGACACCAGGCCGCGCAGGAGGTCCCGCGGGACGCTGGCGATGCGGTTGTAGGACAGGTCGAGGACGCGGAGCGCCGGGAAGGTGCCGACGACGGGCGGGACCTCCTCCAGGAGGTTGCCAGGGAGGGCCAGGCGGGTGAGGTGGGCGGCGGAGGCGTCGAGGATGCGCGTGCCGACATTGCGCAGTTGGCTGTTGAAGAGGGTGACCTCGAGGAGGGTGATGTTGCCCACCAGGTTGGCGTCCCACACCGGGATGACGCCGGCGCGCAGCTCGAAGATGGCGATGCGCGTGCCCTGCAGCAGCTGCAGGCGTTTGGCCAGCTGCGGCAGGTTGACGCCGGGGCAGGCGATGCGCAGACCGCGGATGATGGGGGTGCCGCAGAGACAGGGCTTCAGGGCGTCCAGATCCAGGGGGCAGCGCGGCAGGCTGGGGATCTCGCTGAAACACATCCTGACACACAGACACACCACGATCAACCAGGACAAGAACCCTCTTGACGGCGGCATTTTTGCACGCTACCACGTGAAACACTTGGGATATATGCCGCAAAGCGTCTTAATTAAATGGACGGCGCATCGCTATCCGGTTGTGTAATAAAAGACTACCGCCTAAATCCATTATATGACTCATTCCGAAGCCGCTGTACAGCGGACAGTAAGCGAAATCCAGTATGATTGTTACTAAAGATATAATATTATGAGGAAGAGAAAAGAATCCACTATAATCATAAGGAAATACGGAAGCGGACTGGAGACGAAAATCACGTTGTTATCATGGCCATAATTTCTGCCACACATGAGAACTGAGAAGCTCGCGAAATGAATTTGGCCTAGTAAGCGGCGTGAGCGGCTGCACGCGGTCGCCGTTCGGCAAGCACGCCAACAGTCCACCCACGGAGCCCGCGGCTAATATCTGGCGCAACGAGAACAACCACCGGTTGCTTATCATCTTCTGTATTGCGCAGGTACCAACTTACTACTGTATCTAGTATCGCCGTAATATAACCACACTCGCAGTGAATCCAACACAGCCCAGAACGCTTATGACTGTGTTATGAAACGGTTGCCAATTTTTTTGCTCTGCATACCGCCATACCGGCAATAAAGGCAGCGCAGTAGCAGTCTGTAACTGTCTGTTCATGGACGAGCGCATCCGTGCGTCTAATTAGCGTATTACTATAAGTAAGTATTACAGCACTCTCACGAGTCTCACCTGCCAAGTCATCTGGGCCAGTACACATTACACATGACATGCATTCTGCAGCAATTTCTGCCGACGATGCTGCACTCCAGTCCGCGTTCCACCACAAATAATCTCTGCCTTCCTTTACGATGGTCCAGTGGCCGGCACGTAAATAGCTACTGGATGCGGTTGACTACATAATTAATTTCATCAGTAATGAGGAAATCCATTCGCCGAAATTCCATAGTAACCTCTTACTAGCACCGTGGCACAGTGCCACTCTAATCCGAGTGCCGGTAATACTACTGTAATTAAGTAATGCCGGCAGTCAATCTAAATTCTAAACGGCTGCACATAAACTGCCCGATACGTAGCAGTTGCGTGCCTGGCCTGTACGCTGCCAAAATGTCTCAACACGCTGTATCTGGCTGCTACTAGTTACTACCGGACACCGGTTCTCACGTTCCCTTAGGAGAACGTCTTAAGGGTACTGTGCATAACACGCCTATTCCATTCCTCCAGCGCTACCTGCTGAGCATCCCTAATTCCGGCGACGAAAGCACTTCCGCCAGCGGCCAGCCCATCCACTGGACCAACAAACAAATCCCCGCACGGCGCAACGAGCCACACTCGTTGCCAGCTAGCACAACAATTTAATTCCTGACCATCTCTCAGTCCCATTCCCAATTTCCCATCCGGCCACAATTAAGGCCACTGCCAGTGCCGATCAACAGCCCTCCACAACCCAAATAATACAGAATAAGCCGGCAAAATATAAGTGCAGTCCCTTCGGTGACGGTAATTAACACCACAACACCCATCCGGACCGGGGCAGCCAATCTACACAAGGCTTCCTCCCAACACTCCACTATTCAACATCCAGCAACATTTACACCCCCACTCCATCATAATAACCGTGCCTGTCCTAGTCGCTCCTAGCGCAGAGCAGAGCCACACAGCAGCCACGAGATAGGCAGCCAAACAGAGAACGATAGATAGATTGACAGCACGACAAGAGCGCTCCTTAATAAATAACAGGCCAACAACAAGGCGGATCCTTAACAATCCGTCCTCCATCCCGTTAACGTTATTCTGGCAAAAAGCCAAAGGCATATATATTTAACAGCAATTACAGATTACAGTTACAGCGGCTAGAGGAAAACAAATGAATCATGCATGCAGCTCAAGAATTATTCCAATACAGTTATCCCCACATCGGGAACAGGAAGAGTCAAGAGGAGGTATGGTAGGTCGGATCGGCGCGTACGGCTCCACAAAAATTAATGCCAAATAACGACTACACCACTCACGTTGCGCATCTCAGAAACGAGTTAAAAACGAATAGGGTAACCAATCGAAATGAATACACTGTACCACGAAAACACGCTACGTACAAACTACGTACGCTGTCGCTGCGAAATGAAACTAACAAGTGCGGCCTGTGTGCTGGATGCTGCTTCCCTTCCCTTCCGCTCCGCTCCGTTGCGGGTGTGGCCAGCCTCTAGTCGCGTTCCGCCGAGGCACTGCGGCTGCGTGAGGCGGAGCGGCTCTTGGAGCGCGACTTGGAACGCGAGGCCCGCGGCGACGCGGAAGCGCTGCGCTCGCGGCGCCCTTCGCCGCGCTCCTTCCCGTTGCCGTTCCCGTTGGCCTCCGGCGAGGCGCTGCGCTCCCGGCGCTCGCCCGAGCGACTGCGCCGACGCGAGCCCGACCGCGAACGACTGCGCGAGCGCCCGCGGCCCGACCCGCCGCCGCCGCCCCCGTTGCGCTCGTCGGCGCGCACGCGGATGTACGCCGTCTCGCCCTGCAAGGGAGAATAACAGCTGCTGCAACAACATGGCCAGCAGTGTTAAACAAGTGAATCACAGTTACCTCGTGCGAGCGGAACTTGGTGTCGTCCAGCTTGCGGATGGCGTAGTCCATGTCCTCCTTGCGCAGGTACTCCACGTGCCCCGTCCCGTCCTTGTTCACGTCGGCGTAGCACACGTCGCCCGCCTCGCGCATGTGGTCCTTCAGGTCCTGCCAGCTGCCGGACGACGGCAATCCTGCAAATGCACCGCAGAAAATGCGCCTTCGTTAGAATGACCCATGACGCTAATGCGACGACGCTGTGCAAGCACGTACCGGACACCAGGACGCGGTACTGCGAGCGGCGCATGGTGCTGTCGTAGCGGTTGCGCGTCGTCCCGTAGCCGCCGCCGCCGCCGCCACCGCCTCCACCACTGCGGTAACCACCGCCGCCTCCCCCGCCGCCCCCGTCCCGCCCCCGACTGAAGCCGCCGCGTTCGTCGCGGAAGGAGCGCGGGTACTCCACGCGCATGCGGTAGCCGTCGAAGTCGTAGCCGTCGCGACCGCGGATGGCGTCCTCCGCGTCCCTACAGTCAAGGCAACATGCAAACGATGCACTGCAGTTTACAAGTACGGCTACTTAAGAACTCTACGACCACATCGACGCTCAACTGGCGAAAGATTAAATCATCCAAATACTTCATCGACAAGTTGACTAGTAGAAACTAAACTTGTTCTATAAGGTTCTGCACAAACAGGTAAATTCTATCGCACAATTTTGAGTACATCATACATTCAGCACGTTGAAAAAATAATGTCCCATTAAAAACAACAACCGCGGTACCTGGGCGAGAGAGTAAATACTCGTATTGAGCAGCTCAATACAAAACAAAATAATATCTGTATTTATACTTTATAGGAACACGTCGCTGCTGAGTGCTGTACGACAGTACGAGTATTTGTGCTGTAAAGTGTCAACATAAAATTCATCATAACATTACTGATAATGATATTTATAATTTATTCAAGGTTAAATTACTGCTATTTTTTCCTCCAACTGCATTGAAATAAACTAGAATAATTCTCATTATCGCAGTGAAAAGCAACACGATCGCCATGCAAAAGGTAAAGACGCCAGTGTAAGAAACGAAGTCAGCGAAAGTCGCCGTATCGTGATCCAAAACTAAAATACTGAAACCCCTTCCTAATGATTCTAATTTCTATGAGCAGATTTGCAAAGACTCTGTCCTTCGGTCATCAGTCTGTGTAAATGTTTGAAGAAAACGAGCAGCAAAAAGCCAGCAACAGCAGTCTGCAGCGCAGGCAAAGCGAAGAACCAGCAGGAGTTCGCTGCTTACCGTGTGTCGCCGAAGTCGAGGAAAGCGAAGGGCGGTCCCTTATTTGTGCGCAGGTCCAGGTGCTCGATGCGGCCGTACTTGCGGAAGATGTCTGTGGCAGCCAACAAGCACACAGTGTCAGCAAAGGCTGCCATCTTGACTAAGCTGCGTCAGCGTGGCATGTCAATGCTTACCTTCCAGGTCCTTCTCTCTGACATCGGGAGGCAGATTGCCCACGTACAAACGAGTCCGGCTGCCCATTCTGGTCACTTCTTTTCACCTTCAACGACAGTCTCCACAATCGACCCAGTTAAGTACTGTATTCAAGTAGTCAGCAGCGTACCGTACACAACTTGCTGCAAAATACTGCGGGAAACGAAATTAATAGTTCTGATAAGCAGGATATCCACATTCCACGCCACTCTCGTATCTGAGACTGAGAGCGGTGCACGACGCTGCTGAACTGAATCGATCTGATGGCGATGCACGCTCAAGTGGCAGCCACCTCGGAGTAACGGACATCCGACACAATGCAGGATAGCGTGGCGCCGTGGTTACGCCTACTTCCGGTGGACTGGCATTGGCAGGTAAACCTGGCAAATTCCCGTTATTTACCTCGCATCTTACTATCCTCAGTGCCTCACTCCTCAGTATCACTATGCTGTATGAATACTTACTATTAAAATAATTTATCATTATCAGCAGGCTATAATTCTGTGCGGTTTGCAAGATTTGTGAATTGTCAAATATGCCGACTATGTAACATGTATCAATACTGTAATAATTATTATAATATAATATAGAACTATCAATAATTATTATTATCCATACGCGAAACTGTACAGCGGCATTTTTGACCGCTTTTTGCTGTGACTGTAGCAACTCACAGCAATACTTAATCAATAAAAGTTAATCGGTGCTGATTTAATTTTATTATTACAGATGCAGGTGAGTAGTGGGTTAGTGGCAGCTACTGGCACAATGTGTCAGTACGACTGTACGACCACGCACCCGTACTTGTAGTTGTTTATGTTATATTATTATTATCACAGAAACAACCAAAATTATGTAAAACGCGATGATTCCATTAAAGTGCGTCAGTGCACAAACATGCGATTCCGTTCTCAATTATTGTTAAGAGGCGTTAATTCACACGTCCACGCTACCGGCTGCACTACATTGTACACGGTACTGCAAAGTGCAAAGTGTGTACAGTAGGCATTAGACCACACTGTACTGCGCAATGCCCTGCACTTCCGGTTCCTTACACACTAAGTCACACTGGCCTGTGTAATCTTTCCCGAGGACTTGTTATTTTACGGGATTTACTTGACGCGTGCATCGTTAGTGACGTGTGAGACAAAACAGCAGCTCGTCTCTAGCGCCGCTCATCAGCTCATCTAGCGCTGCTAGTGTGCACCTGTCTTCTGCAGGCCTTTGATTACATGGCTGCAGATCGACTCAGTACGGTGGAGATTCTCTGGCTGACAATCATGATATAATGGTGATTTGTAATAACTGAAGACTATAAGTGGCTAAGGCTGTGTATCGAGTAGGCAGCGATTTAAAGTGTGGAAGCCGGCATATGCATGTGCAGATATCTGCAAGGACAACAATCACTTTGTCCCGTCATCGCTGCCGTTACGTTGCGTTCATCGCCCTGTCAGCGTCCCTGTAGCTACCATCAGTTCCAATGCCGCGAATCGAATGGCCATCCTCTCCGCATCGCATCGCCCGAGTCGCTGCTGACGTCAAGTGCGCGTGTGCCTTGCCGTCTTCCCTGTACAACACTCTGGCCCCGCATACAAGTTTGCTTCCGGAGCGATGATGGTGCCGTCACTGCCGCGCAGGCTGCGGGGGATGGCAATCATGGCAGGCAACGACAGGCACTTGTTCGCGACCGATCGACAAACTACAATCACGGCCAGCAGAGCGTGCTGCCGCAGCTGCGGGCCAGACTGCAGCGCCAGAGCCAGCGCATGCAAAATGCATGCTGCGGCAGCGTTATTCCGCTTAAGTAAGCGGGCCCAGCCAGAGCTGCGGCAGTGTTTTTTATTGCCATAACTTTAGCTTAGCCCAGCTGCTGGCAATTGCCAGCGCGCTCTCCGCTCCTTGTGCCGTTGTGCCGTTGTGCCAGCCCTGCTCGCTGCACAGTCTTGTGGCAGCGCCGGCCTTTCTCCTCCTGGATCGGATCGGTCGGATCCGAGCCAGCTGAATATCTACATATCTGCACGGCACGCCATCCCTCCCCATCACTCACCACTCTCCAGCCCGATCATTCGAACGCGATCATTCAGAGTCAGCGCCTTGCTTGCACTGCCTTCCTGCGCCGAGACGCGTGTACTGCTGGCACTGCCGAGCCATAGTCACTATACAGTACAAGCAGTGATACTGACATGTGCGTGCGGCCGCAGCCTGATCACCTGCTACAATATCCATTGCCATACGAATACGAGTGGATGTATATTTATTGCGGTTGCTTTTGTCAAGTTATCGAGTGATGGCAATTGCAATTGGATGCAGGATATAGTTTATCGATATTCTCTTGTTGCTCTTGCCATGAATATGAATATGATAGCCAGCCGGGCCCGGCCGCTTCCGCAGGACTGAATTGATGCAGCATCACGCGGCCGTTGACTAAAGTAAAGCCCAGCAAGTAATGCGCTACAACTACTTGCCCGCGACGTGCACATGTGGGCAGAATGAGCCAGCGCAGTGCACTGCGGCGCAGTGCGGTGCATTGAGCCATTGACGCGGCTGCAATCGACCTTCAAGGAACTGAACGGCTGCGATTGACAGGCCTGCTCTGCTCGCGTATGGAGATTCGGGAGCACTAGCAGGCTGGGCACGGTATAATTGGGAAGAGACAGTCGACTCACTCGCGGCTGCGCAATGCAATGCAACGCCTGATGCACGTACAGCAGCAGCGCCGAGCGTTGCCTTTGTGTACCATCTATCGCATTAAGCAGCTTACACTTAATTGAAGGGATCAGCATTACTTAAGCCCGCGCAGCTTCGTGCCTTCTTTACATGTATACAGTGTGTGGCACCGGCGCAGATAATATCTCGCGCAGGCAGCGCCGTCAACGTGAATGAATGCCGATGATGGCAATCTTCCCTGACAATGTCAACTCAACCTTTGATACAAATGTCAGCGCGGCCCTTGACTGGCCGAGCCAGCATCCTCAGTAAGTGCCTCATTAATCCCTCCTAATCATCCCTTTCAAGCCGGGTCGGGCACAACGGACCGGGACGGAACGCAGCGGAACGGGACGCCGGCGCGCTAAGCCTCCAACAATTGGCTTGTTCAGCGGCCATTGTTCAGCGGCCGCGAATTGCGTATTGCTTCGCGCGCTTCCCAGCCGCAAACAATCTTATTATAGGCTGCGCGTGCTGGCAATTGGCTGTCTTTATGGCGCTGTTTGAGCCTCGTCGAGAGCGATTAATGACGCCAATTATTCGGCTATGATCAACATGTATTTCTCCTGTCGGCACATGTACACGCCTGCATTTTCACATCTCTTCCCGAGCAAGGATAACATCCATCGCCAATTTATAAATTAGCATCCAGTGTTAGCCAAATATGCGCAGGTATGTCAATTAGCGCACTGACTGTTGCAACCGGCCGCTAATTATCCTAACTTAACGCGTTCAGCGACAACATTGTACTTCCGGTGTCGCACATAACTTTTACCGAAACGCAGCAGTGCTGCAAACGGCGGATTTAGCCGGCGCTTTGGCTACAACGTACTGTATTTAATACCGAGCACTACTCTGTTGACTTAGCATATCGAGCGATGTAAAGAATCTCACTTTTTGATCCATTATTCAGTCCATTATTGGATGTCGCCACATCTACAAGCCCGGACGCCGTTCATCATTTTCAAAATATCTTTATGCGGCCATACTCGTTGTGCGCTCTGAGAAATCGCCCACCGCGACGTTGAGCGGGTGAGTTGCCGAACTGCAATAAGAAGCTTATTGACAGAATAATTACATGAACATATTGCAGACTTTGTACATCCGCGAAGCTTTTTATAAGAAGCTATAATTATACTATAATGAGCAGTTTGCGGCGGAATGATTTATGGGCCCAGTTGTTTCCTGCGCGATTTTTAGTACCGCGGCTGCCGCATACCGGCATAATTACCAATTTACAGAAAACTCTAATCTGTAGGGAACGCACTGCACTTGCAGTACGTGGACAGCAGCGTCACCTCCCTTGCGGCTGATGACAACTCGCACCTGGCCAGAGCAAGAGCAGCATGCAGCGGCGCCCGCCTCTCTCCTCACCGCGACGCCACTTATATACGGGAAACGCCAACGCACCGCTCCAGCGGAATCGTCCAGCGGGCAGCGTGTTCGCCGGCTCTCAGTGAAAGCCTTCAGTGTCGACAAGCACAGATCTAGAGAAGCGGCGATTACGGGTTCCGCACACCGTAAGCGGCACGAGCCGCAGCTGGCGCTGACCAGCTCCGTCCATGCAGCCGCCAACGACCGCCACGCATTCAGCCTGCCGGAAACCATCCGTCCGCGATGGCAGTGGCGGCGCGGTGCAAAGGTCAATAATAATCCTGTTGCTGCAACCGGATCCCTGCCGGCTGATGATGAAAACCTGCGTGCCAACAGCAACGTAACTAGACATGCCCCGCATTTCCGGCGGGCGCGGCTCTTGCGCGTTCGCATCCGGCGGGGTCAACAGCTGCAGAGCACCGCTGCTACCCGCGCTGCACCGTGGGAATACATGTCGACAGTGCCGGCTAACGCTGCAACTACCGCCTCATCTCTCCACCGTCCGGCGTCCAGCTCTGCCGGCAACAGCGACCGACCCGCTCTTTCCGCTCGAGCCGGTCGCGACAATCATCCACGCCGGCTCCTGCGCAACCGCTCCACCAATCATTCCTCAACCCCCATGCCTGTGCCTCTGGCGCCACCTCCGTTGGCACCTCCCACACCACCGCTGCCCGCGTTCCCGCTGAGCTCCGACACCGCGACGTCCGCGCAGACGGCGCTAATCATCGTGGGCACTGGCATCGTGTTGGCCCTGCTAGTGGTGCTGCTGGTGTGGTTGGCGTGCCACGTGACTAACAAGCGCTATCAGCGCCGAATGCAGGCCAAGGAACAGAAGCGGCTGCTGCCCGTTAGCACCACCGTCGTGCCGGTGGCCGTGGCCCGACAAAATGCCACCGTCGAGTCCGCGCGGCGGGACGATACGCGACATCCGCCAGCCGGATGTTCTCGGGAGGACCGCCAGCAGGCCACCTCTTCCCGGCGGCCATCGGCGCGAGTCCTGGCCGTGGCCAGTTCGTCCGGGTCGTACGATGACGGCGCTTACACGGGACCCAAACCGGCCGTCACAGTGACGTCCCCGTCGCCGACTCCCGTCAAATCCATCCTTCGCAATCAGCAATCGCCGCCCGCCGGTCGGCAGGCGAAACTCGAAGACGAAAGCCCCGATTCAGACGAGGCCGATCTCCTTCGGCAGCCCTTGCTAGCCGATGCCGGTAGTGAACAAGCTGCCCACACGCCCGATATTGTCGCGCGAATGGCAGATATTTCCACTGCTCAAGTGATTCACCATCCCCAACCGGAAGTATCGGATAACGATGCCGAAATGCAGGATGACTCAGGTAAGCGCTTAATTCGGTTGCACATCGAGAATTATTCTAGTTAGAAGAGCAACGGATTTCCGCAGAGGCGTGTGTTAATGATTTCTGATCAATTTTGTAGTTGGTGCCTTTTTCTCCGTTTCCCCGAAAATCGAGGGAGAAGGACGGTACGCGTACAGCCAGTCGGCCGTCTTCTGCAAAGGTCAATCACACCCGCTGCTGCATCCGCATTTCCACTCGCAGTCCAGCGAAGACTTCCCCATCACCATCAACTTCCCGGTATCGGTTTCCACCGACACGCCGATGGCGCCGGATGCCGGCACACGGCTGAGCATGGAGAATGCGGCCGCTCAGATCGAAATGCTGCAGCAGGAAGTCAGCGGTGTGCATTCAGCAACGCACGAGACACCCGGCGGGGCGTCGATGCAGCGAGACATTTCCGGTTTGAGCGACACGATTCTGCCCACTCCCTGGCCCCCTCCCGGCCTGCAATCCAGAAATGCTCCGGCAAGCACGCAGGCACCTGCTTCAACCGATACACCGGCCTCGGCGCCGATTCAGCAGCCGACAGTCGTCTGCCGCGAAACAGTCACCGATCCCTGCATCGCGCTGTGGGAACTGCGCAGCGCCCTGGAGAACAGCCCGTCGCCGGTGTCGGGGGATGACCGTGTGGCGCAGACGCCCATGGCCATCCGCCTCTTCCCCCTGGTTCCCCCCGCGGAAGCGGGTGCTGCGATGGAGTGGGAGGAGGCCGGCAGCAGCGGCCAGCGCCAGCGGCAGCTGCTGGTCAAGCGGCTGTCCTCCTGCACCACCACCGACGAGTGCTACGCCAGCACGACGACGCCGGTCAGCGACGACGCCCTGGCCACCGCCGTCGCTCTGCAGCTGCAGCGGTCAGTGGCCACGGCGCCGCGCCACCACTACGCCGAGATCTGCACGGCCTCTGAGAGCGTTTCCGCCTGCAGCACTGTGCCGGTAAGTAAATCCTGTAGCAGCCTACGCAAATAGCATTATGACTCGAAAAATACTTTTCAAGTACTTCAGCTTAAAAGCACATCCACACTAGCACCAGTCTGGCTGCCTCAAAGCACACAGGCTCGCTTCGAGTCGCATAGCTCCTAAGGCAAATGTGCAGTTTCCTTCAGAAGTCTTTTTGCAGTAAATCTCCTTTGTTATAGTACTCAGTTTGTACATACCTGTGATATTTATTAAAGGTCAGTATATGTTTTCTTCAAAAGCAAAGGTAACCGGTATTTCTTTGTAAAAATCACATTCCTGTGAATCCTGTATATGATTACTGATTTAAAAGCACTGAGCTGACAATTTTAAATCAAGGAAATGCAGGATGCCTGCGACATTTGAAGCAAATGCTGCCGCTCAGTGTGGCAGCGTAATGCCAATGCACCTAGAAAGTTTTTGAGAGTTTCCGTTCCCGATTTCCGCCACAACAACTTACAGTTTGTCGATTGGAAGCGGACCGATGCAAAAGCACTGATCTGCCTCCATGAATCAGAGGAAAATGCCACTTACATCGAGCGTGAGACAGTGCGAGTGTTAAACAGGCAGTAACGAAACAGGAGAATGTGGTTGCTTATTAGCCGTGGTACAGATAATTCGCATCCCTTGTTCGTCTATGGCACATATGGGAATTAAATGCTATGGGGTGAATTGCACTGTTTGGATCAAGTAGTTATATAAATACGCTCCGTTCCCAACGCATGTCGCTTTCAAGGTCAAATTCAAATGGTACTGATTGACTAGCGATTAATTGGAAAGGTCATCAATTCACCCGTATGCATTTAAGGAGCGGCAGATGTCGCATGCTCTTTTCTTAGTGACCTTTGGATCGTGTGATGCGAACTGAAGCGGCATTAACGGGTCCATTCAAAGCGAATTAAATCAATAAATTTAATGATAATAACTGATTGAATGATAATATTTTCTTAGGTCAGCCTGCTGACGTCTCTGACTTCCTTTGAATCCAACACGCCTTCCGAAGAGGTAATGTGCGCATGCAGTCCGCTTTTTATCTGCCTTGAATACGCGTTAGACGCATTAGCGAGTGAACGGCGAAATGCAGTTAATCACCGGTTAGATAGAATGCTTTCCGCGTAAGCGACACATACAGACGCGGCGAAGCGTGCCGGTGTGCGGGAGAGCGTTGTTAATCGGGGCTTTGTTTCGGCAGTCATTCGACGCGTCCAGCTGTGCCCGCGCCATTGAAGCCATCTTCGACGAACCGAGCGATCTGCCGGTGGGCGAGCAGAAGCCGAAGCCGCCCGCGGCGACGCACCTGACTCCGCCGGTGAACACGGGCGGCCGCCAGAAGGTGCGCACCATCACGCGGCTGACCTCGCAGCAGAAGCGCCAGAGCTTCAAGAAGGCCCACCGCTCCGCCGTGCAGCCCTACCGCACGCCGGCGCCGGCTAGCGAGGTCCGCGTGGCAGCCTCCACCTCGGCTGCGGCGGGCGGTCCGATGAACTACCGCGCGGTGGACCCCGTCGACGCGCTGCTGCTGGAGAACACGCGGCTGGCGCTGGCGGCGATGGCCACGAGCGAGGTGACCCAGGCCGTGACGACCATGTCTCTGGAGTTGACCTCGATGCCGGTGGGAGATGCCGCAGCCAGCAGCACCGGCGACAGAGCCGGCGCCACGTCGCCCAGTCGGCTGCAGCTGCAGCACATGAAGAGCGACTCGGGATACAAGTCGCAGTCCTTCGATGCCACCTGCTCGGCCGGGCACGCCGCGCAGCCACCGGCCTTCATGCACTCCTTCAAGAGCGTCCCGGTCTTGCCCCTGGCCGACCCACAAGTCCTGGAATCGGTCAAACTGCAGTCCTCGCTATTGGAGCAAAAGTTCGTCCCGAATCCGGCACCCAGAGACAGGTAAATGTCATCGGCATGATAAAGGTCACACTGCTTTTATTCAAACGAGCGTCTGTTTCTCTAGCCATTTGCAACCGGTGAGCGTGGTGGCAACCGCCACCCAAATGCTGCTGACCTCGTCAGAGTACGACGAGCCCATCACCGACTGCAGCTTCGAGCTGAGCGACGCCCTGCTGTCCCTGACGTCCTCCACCGACCAGGAGCGCAGTATCTCGCCCCGCCTCCCGCCCTTCCCGCCCGCCGCGCACCCCAGCCAGCCCATCCCGCTGCTCCTCCACCCGGCCACGCCCACCTCCCCCTCGGCCCCCAAGAGCCGCGACTGGTCCATCGACGCGCAGTCCGACCGGCTCTTCCGCGAGTTCTCCGGCCCCGCGTTGGCCGCCTCGTCGCGCTATACCCTGACGGTGGCTTCACGCAGCGGCATCAGCAAGCGCCGCGGCCGTGACCCGCTGTCCACCCGCAACCGGGACCTCCGGGCCGCCCTCAAGCACGCTGCGGCCGGGGGCGCCGTCGTCGGTCTCCTGTCGGCGTCCGGCGTCGGCAGCGGTCGGCGCCTGAAGCGCTCGCCCTTCTCGGCGTCGTCTTCGCACAGCGGCACGCCGGCGCAGCAGAGCATCGAGGAGACGGAGGAGGAGGGGCAGGAGCAGGAGCAGGACAGCCAGTCCACTTCCGCCTCGGCCTCCAGCAGCCACACCACCGCCTCGCACAGCACCGTCATCTACGTCCCCGGTGACCTCGCGGGTCCGGCAGCGGCCAGCGCCGAAGCAGGCGCCAGCAGCCGGAAGTCGCGCTCAGCCGGGCAGCCCCGCGCGGCGGAGGACCAAATGCCGGACTTCATCATCTGCTCCACGAAGGAGCAGCTGACCACGCAGATCAGTCTGCGCTCGCGGTCGCCGCAGCTGCGCCACGTGCCCATCATCAAGCTGCCGGACCAGGAGAGCGAGGAAGTCTGATGCCCGCAGTCGCGCTCAGCATCCTCGCTCGGTATTCTCAACAGCGAATAATGTGCCTCAACAGTATTACAATCAAACGTTTCCTTGTTTTCTTCGCCGACCACTAACTAGGACCGCTAATCTTTTGACTAATGCATCTTTTTCAAACCAAATCAAAATTTAGCGATTTTTGCACATAGTGAAGCGTATGCAGAGACGAGAGTGATTCGCTTCCGTTTTGCTGCTGCAAACCGTTGTAGAACCGGGCTGACTCAGTGCCTACCTGCAGATATATTGGTGTGTACTTCTGCATAGCGTTCCTAATTATTAAAGCCGAATGACTGACTACTGTGGCCGAATGCAACGTAATCGTTGACTTTTAGTAATTTGATTATAGATAATTTATTTCAACACATAACTCGCTCGACATAACCAGACTGCACAATTTTTTCCGGAGTCAAACTCTTGACACTTTATTGCCTTTTCCGAGGCGGTGAAAGGTTGCCGGCATATTTAACATGGACGCCGCAGCTAATATATTATGTAAATAGGCGGAATATTTTCTATGCTGCAAGCGAGACGGGACTGTAGCGATGTGCAACGCGGTTGATGACCTTTAGGGAACGGCTACCCTGTCGCTCTCCTTCATCCAGTCAAGGGCAGCACGGGCCGACAGTCGGTGCTGTGGATTGTACACAAGCAGCTGTTCCAGCAGTACCACCACCTTTTCCGGCCCGGTCGACCGGATGTGAGTCCTTCCAGGCGTTTCGCCGGGGGGCGCAGTGGCGGCACGAAATCGGGCGGCGATGGTCTGCGCTGGCTTCCGCTGCGGAAAGGCCACCTTCCCGTAGTCGGGGAGCCGCGTCATCTCCGGCCAACCGCGCCCACTGCTCAGCGGGTCACCTAACACGCTGATGATCAGCGCCAGCTGCGCAATGTCCGAGTCCAGTTGGCAGTCGAATAGCAGCCGGCCGGCGGTGAAGACTTCAAAGGTCACGCAGCCGGCGGCCCACATGTCCACTTGGCAGTCGTAGCTGCAGCTGCCGAAGAGCATTTCCGGTGCGCGGTACCTGTGTGGGTCAGGAACAGTCACAACTCGAAATGGACTGAAACTGGTTAAGCCTTACTGGCGTGTCCCGGCGGAACTGGAGAGCTCCGCCGCCGGCAGTGCCCGCGCCAAACCGAAGTCGGCAATTTGCAGTACTCCGTCCGCGTTGATGAGCAGGTTGTCCGGTTTGATGTCGCGGTGCACGATGTGCAATTGATGCAGATAGGCCAGCCCCCTGCAACAACGGCTTTAGAAAGGTCATGAGCTCATGGGATGTGCAGTTAAGGTTCCGTTAACGCGAAGTGGCTAGCAACTCGGTCCTTCTGCGGAAACGGGCATACCGTCGACGCGTTACACTTTTAGGCAAAACCGTAGCATATGACACATACAGAAATGATTTTTGTACTTTAAAATGGGTTCAGTAATAGTACCGCATTTGTTGTTACTGAGAAATCAGCTCTTAAAGTGAAAAATTTGAAGTCGATTTTTACAGAGTAGAGATGTGAAAAAAAATATTCTGAAACGGCAATTTTGTAGAGTGAAGTATTAGAAGCTTATTATACGGACAGAATTTTGATTGATAAAAAACAGAAAAAGAAAAAAAATCGGGGGTGCCAAAGAAGTGCTTGGGGCACCCTACCCCTGGATATTTCTGACCATATCTGCCGAACAAAACCCTAAACAGAGATTCTGTCCGTATAATAAGCTCAGGCTGCGGTACTTTATTTATTGCGATTTTATTCGTAATTTTTGGCAAACAAATGTATTCACAGCTGATTTTCAAAGTTTTTTTACGTTTTGTTCACTGTTAGCTTGCAAAAGTATACCTCTTTCACGGCTTTGGTGCCGGTACCGAGAGGTGCTGGCTGCCGCACACAAAAGCACATGCACATGTGGAGCAACGCAGAACAGGCAGGCAGCCATATAACATTCATGCAGACTGATGCAGTCATAGACACTAAAACAAAAGACCGCAATCAGACGGCAGATTTGCTTTTATGGCGTCTTTTGTTTCTCTTTCTTGTCAACAAGCTCAACAAAGCTGGATGGGGCAGTTGCAGATTTTGATCGCACCTGATTGCGATTACTTCAGTGCCAACCAGTGATGTCGGTGGCGATTGAAGGAATATGCCATCACTCACAATAAGCGCGGCGCAACCCATTATTTTGCGGTTCACCTTATGTGCCCCCCTCTACCACTCGTACAACTTTAATTTTTTGCTTGTTAACGAAAAAAGGTATACTCACTCCAATTATCGCTTTATGTAGTATAAAAAGCGCTCTGTAAGATGAGCAAAGGTAATTTTTGAGAATTATTTTGAAAATTCGCTAGCCACTTCGCGTTAAATTAATACGGGAAGGTCTTGATCGACACAAAAGTAAAACACATAAGTATATATGTACCCCATGAGCATTTCTACGCAGCGCCACCTTCCCGCCACGGTACGGAGGGCCTCCTGTTGGGCCACGGGGAGGAGTTCAGGCGTGGAAGAGGCGCGCCTAGTGTTGTCAGCATAATATCCGGGGCGTCGTGCCGGCGAAGCGTCGCCCTGCTTCCGGCAGCGGAGAATGTCGGCGAGGGACGCCGGCAGCCAGGGGAAGAGCATGTGCAGGCAGACTGGACCGCTGCTGCCGGGGCTGGCCTGCCACCAGTAGGCCAGCAAGGGGCGGATGTTGGTCGGCAGTGCACGCTTTTCGTCCCCACAGTTGGCGGCCAGCAACTCGTACACCGATAACTCGTTCCGCCAGTCGGGCTTCCGCCGGCAGTCGGACCTCCGCCTGGCCGCTGGTGACACGGCCGCGCGCATATCCCTGTCGGAGTCGTCGATGCCCGTTGGGACATCACTGGCGGCAGAGAATGATGCCATTGCTGCCGCAGCCGCCGCGTCCCGGGATGGCCGCCCTGGAGGATCCAGGTCTGTCGCGGGACGGGGCTCCTCCGCGGTCCCTCTGGGTGCCGGTTTGTCTGGAGGAAGTGGGGCTGTCGCGATCGCGCAGGGAAGGATTTTCAGCGCCATATCCTGTTGTCGGCTGTCGCAGTGTGCCCGGTACACCGTGGAGAAGGGGCCGGTGCAGTGCGGGCAGGATCCCACCTGCAAACTGCGCACTGCTTCCGGCCGCACGTCGCTATCAAGCGCGTGAAAGCTCAGTACGTTCATTACCGCCACTTTAACGTTAGAACTGGCGCCTCGTGTATCTGTATACCGGCTCAAAGATGCAATCCTTCGCAGGGGCCAGTTGTTGCGTAAAGCGGAGCCCTTTTACAAAAAAAGACCAGTCATGTTGTAAAGACAAAATTGAATCTGCCAGCCATCACCGCAATCTCTTATGTGACTGCTACCGCGTGTAAGTAGGGCACGGTGCACTTGCTGTACTGTATATATAGACGTGTATCATATACGGAAAAATGTACAGCGTAAGCAACAGAAACGCGCTGCATGTGGTGGCCTATCGATCCACCCAAATTTAACCGGCACGTTGCTGCTATAATATAATATTTATCGGCTGCTTCCGGTTGCCGTGCCCCGTTGAGCATCCCCTATCTCCTGTCTCCTTCTACATATTATAATATTATCTAGAAGGAGTGCTCAAAAGGTTATAACAAGTACACACGTACGACACAGTCATGATTATAATATCTACTCCGAATTTGCTCATATTGTGGCTACAATCTGTGCATAAGTTTTCCTACATTGGTCACCCATGTATTCTCAGTTTATTTCTAAATACGATAAACTTCTCAGAAAGTGATCGTCAAGGGTAAGATTTGGCTATGAAAAGGTAAGATGGAAAAGACACGGTGCGTTTAAGGTGTGATAAGAAAAATGCCAGCGGCTTTGGCAGTTGCACAGAGAGCTTGCAGAATTCAGCGCACTTCCGGTCGAGCAACTGCAAACTCTGCACTAAAGCGACCCCCAACACAAAACACCGATCTGATACCGATATCGGCATGCAGTTCTACATCGCTGACTGAGAATTCCATTGGCGGCTATTGTGACTGGGGTTTGTTAATCTTTTGTCGCGAGCGGGAAAAACCGCTGCTGTTTCCATGCGCGTAACGTGAATTTGTGCAGAGTCAGCGGAAGCACATGCACATAAGCACACGAGGTAGGTAAAGGATCTTTATTGATGGTACTTATGTATAACATAACGCTAACATGTAGGTACGTCAAGCTTCATCGCTTCATGAGCAAGAATGGAACAAGCTAGCCAGGGAAATGGATTGCCGTCAAACAGTCAGAACGCTACACTACTTAAATGCATTGTCGCGTGAAGTTAAATGCACGTCCAAATAACGATAAACACTGTAGATAAACTGTGCTGAGAATAACAATAACGAGAACACGGCGTCGCCTGCAGCTGCTGGAGCGGACACGGGACACAGACAGTAATGCTTAAAAGACGAATGTGGACAGAAGAGGAAGCGCAGTGACACTAAACGACTCGGTGACCTTGACGCGTCCGGCTCGTCAGTGGAACGCTGTGGTGTGTGGCTGTTTCGTGATTGCGGATGCGGCATCTTTGCGATCCCGGTGTCGCAGCTAATTAATTGTGACCCGTCCGGCTCTTGTTTAGAAGGCGGCCGGCGGGCGGCTCTTCAGGTAGCCGGCGAAGCGCGGCGTCTCCTCGATGCGGCGCACGATGGTGTGGATGTTGGGATAGCGCTCCAGATCTTTCCAGCCTAGAACAGTCGACAGTAACATTAGCACGGCTGCAACGTTAACGCCGACTACGACACGGTGCTGTTAATCGACATATGATAGCCGAGATAAAGGTCATCCACTTATTGTAAAACGCACTGGCGTCTAATCACTTGTATATACTGCACTTACCGCCCACGCCGGCCAGCACCATTTGATCCTAAATTAGAATAAATTTGAATTAACATTACCCAACATACGGATGTTCCAATTCCGCATATATATATTCTGGTTGCGCGAGTCAATCACAAGCTAAGAACTCACCGCGGTGTTATAGATGCACAGATCGGCGTACGTCAGCTGCAAAGATGCCAAAATCAATTGTTAATATTATTAGCCCCTCATGCAGTTATCGTGGTCAGTATCGGCTGTGCAGGTTTACGTACATTCTGACCGACCGCGTATCCGGAGCCCTTCCCGTAGCGACCGACGAAGCGATCGAGGAATTCCATGGTTTCCGGCAGGGCGCGTTCGTGGAAGCGACGAATGCGCTCTTTCTGCAATGACGGAACATATCACCTGGCTGATATTGCGCTCGCCAGTAGAATGATGTACGAGTAGAAAAGCCCTCGCATATTTAAATATGCACAGGCGCTGCGCTGCATTTACTGTACTGTACCTTGCGCCGGGCATCATCCTCAAAGGTCACTTCCACAATGTCCCCCAAAAGGTCATTCATCTACACAGGCAGAAGGCGCAAATCAGTCTCACCGTCATCGCTGTGCAATGTGCATGCCTGCATGGGTATCGCTGAATTCGAAGAAGGACGGATGCGGGCTCGGTTAAATAAACGTCACATAGTTCTCACCGTGTCTGCCACGGAGTCCACCAGCGCCATTTCGTACGCGTCACTTCCCGCCAGCCCTGCACAATGCGCACCAATTACGGCATAATTCTATCACTTGCCGAAGATTAAGACTAGCAACTAGTTATTTTTCCAAACAATAAAACTAATGTCAGAGATTATCAGTCCGTTAGCGCTTTTTTTAAAGCGCACTCTCTTGTCGCTACTTATTAGCGATCCAGAATTGCGATACGCGTCCGGAAATTAACCAGCGCTTGTTCATAGTACGGTGTATAGTGCCAGTTGTGATCTTGTATTATTCAAAATCAACGCTATTTCGGATGTAAAGCAACATTAATTGTATGAGCCCACCTAATTCCCGTGCAATGTAGCGCGCAATGGACATGCTTTGCACCTGCAATGCAGACCAGCATCAGCAACTGATCCATCGGCTGAATACTATTAATTATATTCATTTGATGGAATTTGTTACGAGCGCTTTTGCTGTACAAATTCTCTTCCGCAAACAGGAAACTGTTGCGTACTTCGCGGTACGTACCAGCTGCTCGTTGGTTTCGTTATTGATCAGCATTGGCAGTGATCCAGTTGGACTGGCTGGAAAGAAGACGAAAGCCCAAATATTTTGATGCTGCTCTAATGTTCTCTACTTTATTGTTTAGAATTGTGCAGACAAGATATATTTCCATCATTCTGTATCTATACTATACTGACTTGTTTTGATTTGTTGCCACGACTGGTCGTCCAGCTGGACATCCTCGAATTCCTGTAGAAAATATAATAATGAATTAGAACATAGCAGCACTGTCATTACGTATACATCGCATCTGTACGTTACACTTTTTCATACTGTATTGAATAACCGTTTTACGGTACGCATGTCATGTCTGCTGTAAAAAAATATATACAGATACGAGTATATAATAATTGTACGTTCCCGGGGCAGCGAACATTACTGAAATCGAATAATGCTAATATTACTATCGGGGTTTGGTCAGCAAGCAACTGCATTCAGAAAATTCAAGATAAATGTATAATAAGCTTGTTAATTAGAAAACTGCTAATCTATTAATCAAAGCGGAAGTGGTTCACTGCACTGACCTCGCCTGCCGCATGGAAGATCAGCCTGGTCAGCTCCGCTCCTACAAACCACAAGGTCTCACCGAATCGCTTACGGGCACAAGTATGCTTAGAGAGTGAAAGTGACTACAAAGCACAAACATGTACTGCACATTGCAATACTGCATCCATGTAATGTGCAGTAGCGATCACGCAAAACGGCAAAAGTAGTGATCTTTTCTTTTCGTGTGCTGGCACTCTGCAATACTGCATCCATGTAGAGTGCCAGCACACGAAAAGAAAAGACCACTACTTTTGCCGTTTTGCGTGATCGCTAGCAACGATCCAGCGAGCACGTCTGATATTTCCGGTAGGAGCAAAGGATTACGAGCGACATCGTGGGTTTCGTGGGTTTCCCATGTGTATATACAGTATATTGTAGACCAACACCATGTTCGATCCAAAGGAAGCGAGGCAAGTCAGACAGTAGTCGATGACAGACTTACAGTGCCGCGCTCAAACGGGATTACAATAGATTAACACTGCACAATTTGCCCAGGAGAATGCACTGCACACACATGTACATGATAAGTTACAATGCAAAGACCCCATCTTCAGAGATCTAGAACATCCAACATGACTACAACACAACGTCCCGGGAAAGAGGCAATGCTTACAAAAATTATATTACCACATACGCGTATTATTACTATGTATAAGTACAGCAGTTATAATAATTATATGAAAGTGAAAGACTATAAAATTTAATATACGAAGCATAATTAGACACTGCATATATATGCCGCATGGTGAATACAAGTGCAAGTAAGACACAGTAATGATAGTTTTTCTATGCAGGTATATGTACAAGTATGTCCCACACTGATTACGTTATAACACTGAGAATTAAGGCGCGCAATTAGTGAATACATTGATCAATGCGACTTACGAGCACGTCCCCGGAAGTAGACGAGTCGGTATTTGGCCATGGTGAAAGGATGTCGCAGCCAGCAAGATGGGAACGCGGATCCGCAGGAGACGGGAGCGTTTACGGGCGGAAGAGGGATACGGCAAACGAGCGACTCGGCAGACCCTGGCCAACGTTAACAACGCTGATCCGGAAACAGGATAGATGGATAGTGCGAGTCGCGCGAGACCGACCGGCCCAGCTGCAGATCGACGACGCGGAATGCAGCTGCCTGCAGTTGGCACTGCTCAACACACCGAAGCGCCGGCGCGCTCTTTCGTCCAATCAGGCACCGCAACCGCTTCACAGAAATGCTGTAGAGTGTTATTTTATCATACGGTGTGGTAGTAGCGGTACGTATGCACAATGCACCGCGCGTTCGGTAGACCGACTGGTACGTATTACATGCACCACAATTACGGGCTGCTACCGTACTATCGTACTACGCGCAGTACGATGGAAGTGTGAACGTACTAATAGTCAAGTTAAATGGAATCGTTTTAATCGGTATAGCGGTTAAACCAACCGCAGCGGTGCATGACTCTGAATAACACGAAAGTGATTATTAATTTTTTGGAGTTTAGTGGGTACGAACGTTTTTGTACTGTACCTTGCGAGTACGTTTTGTACTGGTCTGCACGACTCGAGCCAGCCCTCTCTGCGACTTGCAGAGTTAAAAGGAACCAAAAATAATAATTTTTGTTACAGCGCAATAAATTCCGGTGAACATACAATACACATTGTGTATTTGTATTTTGTATACACCGTCACCGTGTATGTCGCAGTGGAGAAGTCACCGGTTCTGTACGAGAAATGCCTACGACTCTTATGGTTACATTAATTCTGTAGTAGGCGTTCGTATGAGTATCGAATGCGTAATGCTTATTAAAGCTAACACCGCTCATAGACAACTGTCGGCGAATCGGCCGCATACTCGTATCAGCAGAATTTCTTTATGTAAACAGGTTTCATTTGCAAATGCCTCACCTGAACAATACTGCATCGTCAACAAGAGTACTTTGAGTCGGAAAACCAGTTTCCCAACAGTCAACACTACATTAAAGCGTCAACTCTACAGTCTCTACTCGCACTTGTGACAGGCTGACACTAGCCGGCATGAAGCATGCATCCAGGCCTGGTCGCTGGTGGAATTGCTACTAAAATGGTTTGATGTGAGAAACAGAACTACCGATGCAATAATACAACGACTATATATACATGTACAATATCTATATAATGGATTATACAACTGTGTAACGACGCACCCACACAGGTTTACACAGATAAATTACAGCATTGCCACATTACTAGTATCAGCGCTCATGTTAACGCGCTGTAACATCAAGTGATTTTTTACTACATCACTCGCAATCATAGGTGCGCCACGAATTGTATGGCCAAACCTCCATGCAACTCCTGCACGACAATAAACCGAACGTTACGTCCGGTAAGCGCGGTTTAATCAAAACTTCGTAATTACTGAAATTCAAATGCCATTATGCCGGTATGCTGTACGCATTACGCTGTACGCATTACGCATGCGCAGCTTGATCTTTCACGAATATCTAAATCTGAATAAACATAAATTCACAGCGTTTTGTGCTATCTATGTATACTCATTACTCGTGAGACGTATATTTTCACCGTACAACGTGGAAGTTATCTTGTCAACGGACGTATTGTATTAATAATTGGTGGTACAGTATTGCTTTTCTACAGTGTGTCCTAGGCTCCTAGCCACAATACAAGGTTGCCGGCCTGTACCCAGTGTACAATACACTACAGCTTGAAGGTACAGATAGGAGCAGCAAAAGCCTTTTTGTCAGGGTGGCACAGGAATGCGGTAGGATTTCCCTGGGGCATCTTCGCTGTTTCGCATTTTCCGCAACTGGCCTTCTTAGAGATTTACTTGTTGGTAAAGACAGTAATTATTACGGCTGCTCTGCAGACTGCACCTTGCAATGTTCGCAGTGGAAAATAGGCTCTGCATATAATTGTGAGATCGATAAAGGAGCCCCTTTACAGCTGGCAGTCGTAAATTGTCGGTGGTGAAGATTGTTAGCCATCAGAAATAATAAGTAATTTTATTTGATCAACTTGGCAACACGAGCAGTGTCTATCGGGAAGAGCGAATATTGCAATTAAATTACTAGCGAAGCAGAAGGAAATTAAAGAACGCAGCTGCCCATATTTCTATCAATATCAATCAATGTCCCGGGAAGACACTATAACTATAGACTTTCTACTAAAACACTAAAACAGCAAAGAACTAACATCAACTGGGAATGATAAATGCCATCGGGTGTACACGTAGCTCGCTACAGTCTACAGACTGGATAGCTGCAACGCCACCGAACTGGAATCAACGATCACGGCGATGGAGGCGAATGGTCAGTTAATAAAGAATCAGTGTTAAACTCGAGGGAATCCACAGAGGAGGAGAAACACGAACGGGTTAAAGCATAGTGCGAATGTCCGCTGAATGGAGCAGCCCTGTGTCCGCTGCAGTCACTGGTTGCACTGGTTAGTAGGGCGTGTGCGGGCGCGTCTTGAGGTAGCCGGCGATGCGCGGCGTCTCCTCCAGGCGGCGCAGCAGGCCGCTGATGTGCTTGTAGCGGTCGAAGAACTGCCACTGCACCAGGCCGGCCTGCACGGCTTGGTCCAGCTGCAGCGCCGCATTCGCGGTATTATTTATTATCACCAATAACAGCAAAATGAGCAAATACAATACTGCTTCTTATCTTACCGCGTTGAAGACAGCCAGATCCGCGTAAGTCAGCTGCAAAGTCACACCGTTCATTTGTATTTTGTGCCACACACGTGGACAGATGCAGCGCTGAGAGCGGCGTGGTCGCACTTACGTCGGGCCCGATGATGTATCCGGATCCCTTGCCGTGCTTGGCGAACATGTTCTCCAGGCTCTGCAGCGTGAAGGGCAGGATGTTCTCCACGAACTTCTTCTGGTTTTCCCGCTAAACAACACCGAGAACGCTGAGAGTCGCTGCGACGTAATATTAATACACGAGGCCCAATGCAAAACTAATTATGCTAATACTCCTCGCTAGTTTATCCCGCACCGGCTAGGCGTGCACAGTGCGCGTGCGTACCGTACCTTCAGTTTGTCGTCCTCGTTGAAAATGATTTTGACGATGTCACCTGCAGCAGTGCCGGCAATCTGTCATATGAAGCGCCGCGTATGCAAAATGAACATTGTGCACTGCTCCTACCGAGGATGTCGTTGGAGGTGTCCACGACGGAATCCACCAACGCTTCGTCGAAGCGCGCCTTCCCCGCCAGACCTACACAAACAATTCTTCTGTATATCCTCACGCGTCAGTGAAATCCATTTTTTAAAGACATCTAAACCTTTGACAAATCTGCGCAGTACAGGGATTATTCATTTCTAAACTTCAGAACACTGTAAAATATAAAATGCCCGTCATCACCACTTCCGCCATCGCTGCCTGCATTTTTCGCCAATGCGAGAAAGCAAGGAGAGCACAATCACTACGCCGCATACTGTATCTTTACCATGAATCATAATGCGACTCACGCTGTTAATACCACAGCAACTGCGAAGATCTGAAGTACCTGATGATGAATGAATTTAAGGTGCTCGAGTGACTTGGCGTACCGTGTGAGGCATGTACACAACGAAGTTTACTGTTCAGCCACAGTATAACTTATTAGCATATCCATAATTAGGTACTTCTATGTATCATGCAATAACTGTCCAGTCAACATAACACAGATAACCAAAATCGATGATATGTAACTATTACGACATTTTACTCGCCTTTTCTAGACGAATGAATTGTGAGTACTATCACTGTTAGCAGATACACTATCTCCCAAGTGATAAGAAGAAAACCCTAGAGTATGAAACGGTACAGTGCGTTGGTGCCTGGAAGATGCACAGTGCAGTACGTACCGAATTCGCGGGCCAGGAAGCGGGCGATCGCCAGTGACTGCGCCAAAACCAGTCCGTCAAACTCCAGAATCTGCACAAATGCCCACAATTAGTACTGCGTGGATATTTACAGATTACACGGTGCATTCCTGGCACAAGTCCTTTTCCTATACGGTAATCAATTCAAAATGCGCGCCGAAAATTTTTTTAAGAAAGAACATAATTATATCATGGTAGTATTAACTATTACTCTGTTATAGAACTAAATATTAAGTGCAGCTGTTCATAACTTCATACATATACTGTACATACATACCGGCAGTGCTCCGAACGGTGTATCTGCAAGAAAAAATCAGGCAGTGAATCGGCAAGGAATTCCGAGTGACTCAATCGCTTCTCAATCTCGCACAAGAGCGGTTATTATAACTGTATTTATAATTTATTCTGTCGAGTTGCGGCGAGAGGCATGACTGCGTATAATATTCCACACGGCGCTCGTTATCTAATCGACTGTTAAAGTTTAAACTATGTCGGCAAACCAGGAAAATACTGCAAAGTAAAGTGCCGACTGCCGAGTTTGAATGGAAATGAATGCCATGTCAACAGGAATACGATGGCATGCGCTGAGTAATAATTAGAACAGTACAGAATGATCAACTGGGCGTCGGGCACTGTACACTTATGACTTACTGGGCTTGAGCTGCTGCCAGGAGCCCGTGTCGATGCGGTTGTCCTCGAACTCCTCGCCAGCCGCGTGGAAGATGAGCCGAATCAGCTCGGCGCGGGCACGGCCTACCACAGCTGAGATTAACTTGATTGAAGCCACCAAGTCAAAATACTAATCCACTGCCCAGTCAACACGACAATATAAAGCAAGCAGCACGAGTACTCGTACAAAAGATGTAACCAAGACGACTTTCCCGTTTGCTCTCGGGGGCGAAATCGTAGTTTACTACTCACCGTTAAAGTACGTCAAGCGGTAACGAGCAGGCATGATGATGGTGCAGGATTAATTCGTTGCACTGACAGTGACGGCGGCCAAGGATGCTCTGTCACACTGGGTTCCCTGTGATATAACGCCAGCGATGGATGAATACAAGTACTGAAGGCCCCAGCAAAACCAGAAAGGAGGCTATTCAGACAATACAGTCACTACGCCCAGTGCGGCCCATGTCCGTAAATACTGCTGCAGACTGCAGCAGTCAAAATGGACTGGTGCCATATCATTCAACACTGCACGATAGTGACGATACAAATTCAAATCACGTCCGAAGTTGACGACTATCTGCAATCGGTCTCCACAACAGCGCCAACCGTCAGGCTGCATTCCGCATCCCGGAAAAAACTACCCAGTAGCCAGTACAAAAGCAGGCGCACCTACCGGTTGAGTTGCAGCAGGAGCGGGGATTCCTCGCCTTTCCTCCAGGAACGAATAAATTACTGCGGATGATGGATCGCACTCGCAGATGAAAACCCGTTTATGCGCTGGCCCAGCTTGCACTTGCAGTGACTGCGCAGAACAGAACAGACAGCACTGGCTTGGCTGGCAGAAAGCCCGCATCTGCTGCAACCAGTGCAGTTCTGATGATACGAGTGATTAGTCATTCCATTGTACAGTACAGTAAGTACTCCCACGGCACTTCACGGCTGCTGTACTGTATTTAAAAACGCGCCCGCCTCTGTACACGCGCCGGTAGACTAGTAGGCTGCACTGAAAGCACGTACGTACCAGGTTGTGCAAAGAAGGTATCGTACGTACAGAAGTACGTACTAGTATTAAACCTGCTTCTACCAACAGCTGTTCATGATACGTACAAAACATCGGAATTTGGACACATTAATTTTACAGAAAGTTTATGGATTACTAATACACTGCGCACTCGCAAAAATTACTCAATATAATGTATATATAATAATATGTGTATATATATGTATATATAATGTATATATAATTACTCAGTATAATAATATAATGCATATATGTACATATTATTAGTATTCAATATAATGTATTTGCGCATCAAAATTAATAAGCCTGACAACAGTTTCGTCGATAATCAATAATTTAAGTGTGCACTGTGCAAGTGCCATGCGTTTACAGTACTTACTTATAAGTAATAATTTATTAATGTATGTAGTCATCAATAATTTTATTGCGCACTTGTTGTCGTACTTTAATCTGCAAGTACAGTACTTTACTTAACCTCGATCTCTTTTCACACAAAATTAATTAATAATAGTTACTTTGAAGTATTATAGAGTACTTATCGATCGTAGTCGTACGTACTGCGGCATAAAATGATTGCTAGACTATGCGAAGTCTGCTGAATGGTGCTGAACGGGGCGCACGAAGTGTTACAGTATTAAAGTAATGCCGCGAAGCTGTGTGTTTGTTTAACGTAACAACAACCGGTTTCGCTCTTCACAACACCGAGTCATAAATGTTGATCCGCCGAACAAAACATGCAAAGCCGGTTTTCGTTTGATGGATGACGGCTGCGCCTGCAGGCAATTCGGCGATGGAATTCTGCGCACCACAGCGATGTGTCGTTTCGCATTTTTCATGAATTGTGCGCCGCGTACCGAGTAAGTACCTTTTTAACACGTATGGGTTGTCCTGCAGCAAAAATTGTCGAAACAGAAATTTTTATGCTAGAAAACTGATGCGATGGAGTAGGCCCATAATATTATAGCATTAAAAATGTGCATAACTTGCTTGTACCTAAGCATAAAAAAGAAAGATTGTGTACAGTATTTATAATAAGTAATACAAGCCGACACTAAAATTCATGTGGCATACAAACGATAAAATGTTTATTCTAAATAAAAACCGAACATATCACAAACATAGATTCTTTGAATTGGTGCTTGAAAATTTATTTGGAAACTGAGATTATTTCGTAGGCAAGTATGAAACGAGAAAAAGATGATAATTTTTGTTAGCAGCGCCAGTGCTACTAGTACTCCCACAATGCCATATATACTTTGTTCAATAGAAAAAATTTAAATTTAAAAGCAGGAATTCAAGTAAACACAATTTATTTTTTAACAAACTCTAAATGTCGTTTTACTGCCGGAATAATAATCATTTCTGCGGACACCGTTGCCGAATAACGCATGAATAACAGCACATGTACAGCATTGTATCGTCGGTGAGCACAGAGGAAATGCTCATGAAACACAGAAAATGTATGCAATAATTTTGCTGCGTATTATGTATCGTAAACACAGTGTGAGTTGCGCGTGATGCAGAATCAAGGGATTTGCAGTAGCTGGGACTGGGATGGAGCGGTCAGCAGACAACGGTTTTTGTCAAAACCATCACCAAAACGACCGCCTTATCGCATTCCGCAAGGCACACGGGATTCCGCAAATGGTGTTCGATCATGGCGTCCACGCCAGCGAAGACCTGGAAAAACGCCAAGAAGCTCTTAATAGCGCACTTGTCCCGAATCCGGAACACTTACAAATTTGCATTTACTTCTATGGATAAATAAGTAATAACGTTGTCAAAAAACAAAGTAGCATCTCGTTATCAAGCCTGTAGGTCATATAAGCTGACCTTTCGCTTACAAAAATCATTTTTGTGCGGGATTCGAAAACTAAGCTTGTGTCACAGTGACTTATATAAGGTCATTACAATCTATAATAGGCCAACTGAGATGTGCGTGTATATCTGTCATTGTCATGCAAGAAAGTCAACGTGCCTGTTCACCGGTCTTCTCGAATCCCAGCGCGAAGCCGCCGTCAGCACGCCGCCTGATGGTCAGGTGGAAGACCCGGCCGGCGCAGTTGAGAGACAAGGAATAGGGGTTGGCGAAGCGCTTGCCGCCCTTACAGCTGCGCCGCACCAAGAAGGCGCCGTCAATGGGGACGCGGAGCAGCCGCCTAAAGAAAACAGCCACCACGTGGTCAACCGTTGTCATCCCTCTGGTCATGGCCTTTTTTACCGGCAAGTCTCGGCGCGGTCAATGCTGCCGTGGTACCAGGGAAAGACGTCGAGCGGGTCCTCCGAGGGCGCCGCCAGCAGCCGGCCCATCGTCGGCTTGGCCGGCACGGCCGGGCGTTGGCGCGTGTCCGTGTAGGTGCTGTCGGGATCGCTGTTCTCTGCCACACCGCCGGCTGATTCGGCCGCCACCGGAAGGGGGCCACCGGCCCCTGTGTTTATACTGCCGGCGCGAAAGGCCACGTTGTAGTGTCCGGAAGGACTCCTGGCGTTGGCTGGCGGAGGGGCGCCGTACAGGCTGGAGGTGGGCAGTGAGGCTTTGCGCAGCGGCAGCGAGTGCGGACTGGCAGTGCTCGGCTCCGGCACGCTCAACCGGGCGGCCAGCAACTGGTTCAGCCGGGCCGCCACTTGCAGTCCCGGAGCCAGCCCGCTGCAGAGCGCGGACATGTCACCGACACTGCGTGTCCTTTGCCCGCTATGGGCAATACCGGCACTCGCCCCATTCGGCCTACACGCCTCATCAGGGGTGGGGAATGCGGGCTTGGGCGGGCAGAATTCTGACCTTTCGACGTCCACGTTAGGACCCGCCGGGATGTTTTCGCCGGTCTGCACCGGCCATGCCCGAGCGTTTCCTGCAGCCGCGCGGACCGTGTTAAGCTGTCCCGGCTGAATGGCCGCGAGAGGCAGGGAGGGATGGCACGGTGGGACAAAGTCCAGCTCGGAGTCTCCAAGGGGAAACGCTGCGTCGCTGGTGCGCCATCCATGGACGATGGAGGCCACCAGTGCCGCTTTCTGCTCTGCAATTTCCATACAACTAATGAAATTCTTTAAACTTATGAAAAACGATCTGCATTGCGCTCTGTTGGTGACCTTTCGCTGTATTAACTTTGCCACTGCGAATCCAAAATGAGAGTAAGTCATGTATTGTTAATCACTCACCGTCCGGTAATTCGTAGATATTTTCTTCAAGTTGTTGGGGATCGGCGTCCTGCGCATCCATGGCCTCGGGACAGGCGTAGGTCGCTAGCTCATCCTGCAGCCATTCCGCGTGCTCTTCAGTGCGCATCGGCGTGCGCTCTGGCGGCTTCGCATTTGACATATCGCGGTCGGTGGGAATGTGGCGCTGCAGAGCGTTGCCGTCTGCCGGCGATGAGCCGGCGTACAGTTGTGAACCAAGATGATGCTTCCGCCGGATGTGGGTGTCGGAGAACGACAGCGGGCGGACTCCGTCAGCGCTGTCGACGCTATCGGAGTCGCTGAATTCCGAACCCCAGTCGCAAGTGTCCCCGGCAGCCGGCTTCGTGGAGGGGCGCTGGTCGGGCGGATTGGAAATCGTCCGACTTATTTCCGGTGGGCTCCGCTGCACCTTCCGGTGGGGTTGCTGGCCGGCGGCGTGCGCAGAGATGGCAGCGGGGTCGGGCAAAATGTGCTCGTCGGCGAACACGCAGATCGTGTTGCACGGAGCGCTGGCTGGAGCGCGGTAGCCGGAAGTGGCGACCGGCGGTGTCGTGGCGGACAGGAACGCTGCACTGGCACTGCAGTGGTCGGAGCTGTAGTCCACCGGCACCGGGACCGGCGTCGCGCCGGTCAGGTCCCATCGGTCGCTGAGCGTGGCGGAAGTGTCTGCCGAACTGGACAGCATTCGGCTCAGGCGGCCCCGGCGACGCGAGAGGGTTTCAAAAATCCTGCAAACCCCTTTTTTTAGATATTTCTGGTGGTAGCTTCAATAAAATGAAGCGGCGCTTGTTCGCTTTTCTTCGTCAAAGAGTACACCGAACTAGTTTCGCATGCTGATGCAGCTGTTAAACACGGCATTAGGCTGCAAGTACTTGCCCTTTGAGGCCGGCCTTATCCCGATCGCGACGGGCGGGAGGGCGGCCCTCCTCCGTGCTGGTCACGTGATCGGCTTGCATGCTTGCCGACGTTGACCAAGGCCAGTAGTCTGCAGCCGCTCGCGGTCTGGCAGCAATGTCCCACGCTACAGCCAAATGCAGCAGTGCTCCAGACTCAAGGGTGCCGTGCCGGATATATGGTGTCAGTACTCCTTACCAGCCCGGTACTCCTTGTCGTTGCTGAACATCCGGCATCCGCTGCTGAATTCTGTGCACAAGAAAACAGATTTCAAAACATGCGAAGGCCTTATATTCGACTTATACATGGGCACTAGAGACTACGTGTAGACTTCGCGTTGTCATTCCTAATTAACGTAGCAAGCAAAGGTCGATCCCAGACTACACTCGCAGCAGTTACATTATGGAGGTTCCCATATGCATGCGGCTTTTACATTCTTAGTCCTCGTGGTCAGCGTGGCAGCCAAATGGCAGCAAAACTGCACTATTCACAGGAAAAGTTGAATTTCTATTCAAATCGCAACCACAGGTGCGTACGCCTAATTAGTAAAACAAGTAACTACTACAGTACAGTACATACGCCTAATTAGTAAAACTACTACAGTACACAATTAGAAACCCACAATTAATACGCAACTACTGCATCGATAACAGAATCTCTCGTTAAGGTTTTGATTGTCGGTGCAGCGCGATGTCTCGCATCGTTGACTGACAGACACAGAAGTGATCTTTCTATGTCGCAAATCACCAGCAAACTGAAGCATAAGTGGTTTGCGGAAAGTTCGGACAGTCGCCACTAGAGCGACTCTAGCTGTCAGTCATATAAACAATGTAACAGAAAACGCGTGCTTTTTGGTGGTTATTAGTGGTATGTTGGGGTACATAAATTTCAGGATATTCATGTACAATAAGTAAATTAATCGCATAATTGCATCGAGACTCGAGGTAGTGAAGCAAGGCCCGCGGCGTTCGTGCAGCTACTTAACCAAACTATTCAGTACACTTACAATGCCCCTGACGAATTGTCTGGTACGAGCTCCAGATATTATGATATATTATATGATTGTAGTCGTCTTCAAACAGAGCGCATTTCCTAATAATACACATGTTAATTTACAGCTGTACTGCAACATTTAACCCAGTTGCAGTCCTGAAATGCTGGACTTACTACCAGTAGGACCACTATACTGCTGCCTGCTTATATGCATTATAAGTATTTTACAGGAAGAATTACGGTATAACTTTTGCAAAAATACTTGCACGATGCGTTACCGAAAAGGCCCTTTATATCTACTGTACAATGCTACAGTACGGCACTTATTGAATTGAGGAACATTATGCAGAAACTGTCAAGACTACGACGAGTAGGTTGGGAATAATTATGTCTAGTAAAATAGCGTACAGTACTTCTACTGAAATAAAGTGCTGTATCGTGTATGTGATTTTGAATGAAGTGTCGCAAGATTTTTATACTGCTTTGCAGTGAGCGTGAAATGCCTGGCGAAACTGAATATATACTATCTGGCATGGTCAGCATCACGTTGATCACCGCAATAAAATAAAACCGGCACAAGACGAGTGTCATGTTAAATTATTACAATCATACAGTACGATTATTGGCACGTATACGGCTCAGATGGGCAGCCTGGCGGAAATAAGTCGCTTGGGCAGGGTCCGATCGACCCGGTCGCGGCATTCACACTCGAGCGAACCAGATGGCGGTACAACGGTGTATCTGCATTCCCCCGCCAGAGCCGGTTTAATTGGTGAATGCCGCGGCTGCGGTGTTTCTGCGCAGTACCCTAACATTTACTGGTAAGCACTAAGCAGGCCAACCTCCGTAACTGTATACAGCCCTTCTTCAACTACGCGCCAGACTGCAGCCGGCCTCAAGTTACTGCGGGTAGTTTCCAGCGGCAGCGCAGGTTCCTGCAATCGGACCTGCTGGGCCGTGCTCCCCAGGCTCACGGTCGCCGGCACACGTGCTATTCGGTGCCGTCGCGCAGCTCCAACTGACACTTGCAAATGACTTCGCTCGGAATATTGCAATATGATGCGTCTAGCGTTTTCGCTCGTAATCATAGCCTATAGCCTGTAGGCTGTAGGTAAAGCGTTTAATGACTAATGAGCAATCTGACCTGCTTACGAAGAATGAATATATATGCTGACTGAAGGCGTGCGTTCGAATTCGCATCTAGTCAACTATTAATTAGATGGTAATAATTGCTGATAAATAGGCTATCTATGACAGTTGCCGGGATAATCAACAGCTGGCGCGCTATCCAGGTTTCTTTACTTGGACAGGCGTGGGAGAAAACGGAAGAGACACATCGCCACAGCTTTCAAAATTCCGATAACATAAAGCATTATTAATCTACTAATCCAAAACAAAACCAGTGGATAAGATCTCGATCGACAGCGCAACATAACGAACATATATGTGCTGTACAAAAAAATTGTCGGATGTAAAATAAGAAAACTTGTCTTGGGAATACTACTCCGCAGTCCACACACATTATAAATCTAGAAAATGTATCTGTTAATATGCATTACATTATCAATCTGCTAAAACAGTAAGTATTATTGTGTACGTCGCAACCCTTGGTCTGTGACCGTCTGTAGGATCCCGTCCCACTTAGCAAACAACGACCATGTACATGTCCAATACAGGACGCAGCCATTTTCTGCAGTTGTAGAGCTGCAGATCGACTCACCTGCGCTGTCAGTGTCGTGGCTGCATAAAACGACCGGATGCTGTTGCCGTGTTGCAAATTGCGGGGTTACTGGTTAGCGTCCAACTGAATGACGATGATGATAGCGCGTCCTTAAACAGATCTGCATCGATTGTATATATATATGTGTCCGAGTCCAGGTCCGGGTCAGGCTAACTGCGTTCCCCTTCCCAGTAGCGATTTCAATGAAATCGGAATCTGTCAGCACAACGTTTTTATCGTTTGGCGAAGCGTTACGTTTATAGGGCGCTGTGTTAACTGTTATCAAGTCCGTATTAAATATTATATAATAATAAGAACAGCGTAAGCTACGACATCAGTACAGCACGCACTGGCACAGAGATGAGAGATGCCATTCTATTTCAATACAAAACACATAACAAACTACTTGTACCTGTACAACACACAAACAATCAGGTAAAGGTTGATATGTCAAATAGACTCTGCCGCCACATATTCCGCATAATAATTATTAGGCTATAATTCTGTTATCAAGATGTACGCACCGCTTGATTTTTTGTGAACTGGCACGTTGCTGCGCTAAATGTGTCCACGGTTGCGTTGAAAGGTAGAAGTGATGGCGATTATGCGACTACTGCTAGCAAGATCCTTGTAGTCTGAGCGAGTGTTTGGACGTAATTAATTAATTAGCTGACACTCTCCAGAGTTACAGTACAAATGCCATTATGCAGCTGATTGGCTTCCGGACCGGAGCCAATTCGACAGATTGGCGATCCCTCGCGGAGACTCATATTAGGCTGAATTTTCAGCTGGAAGTGAAAAGGGCACGGCCGTTGGGAGTGTTCACGACATCCAGTTCATCCTGTTCATGGGATGTGAACAACGTGTCCCCGATATGTAGTAGCTGCAGAACAAATGTATCCGTACAACAAAAACAATGCAAATGGTCAGCGTTGAACGGCGCTGTGTGCACGTATACTAGTACTGAGCCGGCAGTTCGAAGCTGCGACAGGGTTACATAATTAAATTCAATAAGAATTGCACAATCTGGCAAGTATATACATCCACAGCTGACAGTGAGAGGATGCATAAGCACATGCACGACGGCCAGTGCATGTTTGGTTTGCAGCTACGACTAGCAGTACTTTTACGCTTCTAACAATAAATAAATAACGCTGATGCTGAAGAGCGTTACAGTCGCTGCCATTGCGGAGGCCACCCACATCACATGTACTCATGTACACTTGACGATTTCTGCGCCACTGTACTAGTTAGAATGGAATTATGAGTCTGTCGAAGCGCAAGGAATAATTTGCAGCGATGCTGACTGCTGAATGCTGCACGTCAACAAGTAGCCAATGGCAGTGCGCGAATGCTGCAGACTTGCAGCTACATACATACCCTAGATCTGTTGTTGCCGTAATGATTTGCGTCGTACACAGCTCGCCGGCGATGGCGATCCGTATACAATACTATACATGTATTCACCGACGCCATGTTGATGTGATGCTGTGAAGCGAGCAGCTGGCCTGCACTTGCAGGTCAAGAACGTTGTTTTACGAGCCATGCTCTGCTCTGCTCCGCTTCCGTTCACGTCAACCGGCAACCTTAACGAAAGCTGCTGCACTGCCGCGGCCACTTGTTGCCACCTCCATCGTAGTATCGCAGTATCGCAGAATCGCAGAGCGGACCCAACGCCGAACGCTCTTCGCCGCCAGACAAACTGCAGGCATTTCGCGGCAGCTGCTTAACGTTAACGCTGGTTGACCACTTTGCACGATTAGTCGTATAGAATAAAAGTACGCGATGTAGCTCTGCGCCTGCCTGACTGCCGGTGTGGTCGCGCTCTCGGGCGGGAATACCGCTGCTCCGGCTAGCAGCTTCCAAACTGGGAATTAATATCAAGTAGCCAGTGCGAGTACTTGTTCTTTTAGTCGGACTTGTTGCCGGCTGTGGCGCATTTAGCACTATGTATTCAAATATTATAATGCAGAATTATAATCTACAGGCAGCAGGTACAGTTCCGCTGGTCAGTACGTACAGTAATGTGTACGATACAGAAGAATATTCACAGCTTTGAGCGGACTAACAACACCACTGTAAAATGTACCTACAATAACCTACAGTACGTCGTGTACCGGTGTTGCCCTGTAAATTCTGAAAGGGTAATAGAACAATTTCATAGTTTAATTACATTTTATGCATATCGACTATCGAGAATAATTGTCGTGTGCATTTGTGTCGCACAAACTCAAAGTACAACAGGCGTCGTCACCAATATTTATCCCATCCATAATTGTGTAAGTATTCATTATGGTACTATCCGTACAAGTACTGTATCGAAATATATATAAATATGCGTATGCCTTAATGAAATACTGATGTTCCCGTCAGAGCAACGACTGTCGAATCGTCGATGTCGATAAACTGATCAACTGGCTTCTCCTCTGACGGTTACGTCGTACGAGTACTTAAGTTAGCGTAATTTCCCTCTCGAAAAACATGCTCCGCCTTCCGTAGACCGTAGGTATCCGCATAATTATACTTTCTTTCGGTCGTGTTCGCTGTTACGAGTATACTGCTAGTCAATTAAATATTAGCGCCCGTTTTTCGCAGAGCAACGGAATCTGATCGTGAAAGCCGAAAGGAAAAGGAATGTCCAGCTCTTGATCACTTCGTCAGATTGACAAACAAATTTCTAATAAAAACAACAACTGGCTCTTGGTGAAAGCAAAATCCTCATCACACGCCGCACAGTGGAAAACATTAGAAGCACTGAGCAATTCAAAGCGAACACAGATGTCGACAATCAATTCTGCCTACAGAAATGATAGAATCAACGTGTTCTCTAAACGTCAAGCTTTATGCCTTTATCACACGTTTCGGGAGACCAAGAGGAAGCAGGCACAGGTCACAGACAGTATCATATTCATCAGTTGGCACTGTCGCGGCGTCCCTTGAAGAACAGCGAACCCTGCAGTCCCGACAGCCGCGGATCGGACGGATGCGGCGAGTCCGGGCAGCCCGATTCCCCGACCAAGGCCGAGCCCGTGGCAGCGACGGTCCCCGCCCAGGGTACCGGCTGCATGGTCTTATGGCCCTCGGCGGCACGGGCAATGGCCGCCAGCGCCTCGCGGGCCCAGGGCACCGGCTGCAGTCCGGGGCCCCGGGGGCGCGGCGCGTCCGGGTCCGGGCCGAAGGGGATCAGGCGGAACGGCACCTCTCCGTCCGTTGAGCGCGCCGCGTCAGGGCGCGCTCCGCCGCGGGGGTCGACTGCCGCGGTGACGGGCAGCGTGGCAGGAGGCTGCACGCCGCCTGAAGCAGCAACGGGGCGGGGACGTGCAGCAACGGAGCTGGCTGCACCAGCGCCAGCGACGCGTCGGGAGTCCCGCGCAACATGCACCGCGCCCGGCGTCGGGCCATTCTTTGCTATGGCTACGGATGATTTCTTTAAGAGGCCAAGGCCAGCTTTTTCCTTAGTCGGGGCCAGTTGAATGAGACTGCTGGGTTGGCGAGATTCAGCACCGATCATCGGATCCTGCCGTTGAAAATACACTTCAAATCATCATTTCCAACCTCACTAACTATCACCATTTCATTTACAACAGAAAGAAACGCTTGAAATCATATTTTAAAAAATCTGTTTCCGAATATAAAATTTCACTCCCTTTTAATTCAACTCATTTACAAACGACCCATGTGTAAAGTGTAAACCCATTACTCACACTCTGCAACGTAGTTGTTGTAGCCGGAAGTTGCGGACCACCAACACAACTTGCAGATCGAGTAGTGTCCGTGGAATCACGCTTATCGTTCGGGTTATTTCTGTCGGTACAAAACGGCTCGCTAAGCGTTGCAGGAGACAAGGGGCTTTCCGGCGTTAGCGTATTCGTCGTTCCCTTGTCCTTATCGGGCTTATCCCCTCGCCGGACACTGACGAAGGACGGAGTGTGGGCGATGCGCGTGGGCGGGTCCAGGGGGTTCTTGTGCTGCACCGTGTCGAGGTTGGGGGGCGCCAGGTGCTTGGCCGGCAGCGGCGCGATCCGCGGCTTGGCCGGCGCGGGGGCCACGCGCTTCTTGGCCGGGACTGCCGTTGCCGTTGCCGTTGTGCCGTTGCTGGGAGCGCCCTTGACCAAACGCCAGTCCTGGTGGTTCCTGGAGATTTTGGCAATCACCGCCTGCAGCTGGTCCTCGTGTGGGCGTCCTGCCGACTGGGTTCCCTGGTTGAGATTCGGCACAGTCGGTTCGGCACTCATTTGGCGTGCTGTCGATTGGGGCGCGGATGACGTAGACGGCACGGAGAGACTGCCGGAAAGGGGCTTCCGCGCGTCGGAAGGGACGGAAACATTTGGGCCTTCCAAGGAGCCCGTACGCTGCCGTTTACTAAGGGCCGTCAAGCGATCATCGGCTCCACTTGGAAAGCCTGCAAAAGACAAGCTAATACAGATACGAACAGTACTCGTACAGCACCACTTTCTATGCAACTCTCCAGCACCACTTTCTACAGCAACTCATTTAACTAAAATGTTATTAAATATTTATTTTAACTAAGTCTATTGTTTATTTCTAATTCAGTCATCTAATTTTATGTTGGATTTGTACTCCTAAATGAATCTTAAGTGATCTTTTAATTGTTTAGGATTAACTTTGTCTTTCTGGTAGGTATCACTGTAAGCTGCGTTACTGCCGGGTAATTAATGGTTACTGACGTTTCTCCTGCTGCGTTGTACACTCAGAACGCTTAGGTTCCGCTGGGCTAGGCGCAATTCCTCTTCGCGCAGGGAATTCCGCGGTGGTTGTTCCCACAGGCCTTCTCTCCCTCTCCACGGCAGCTGGGACTGTACAATGATACAATGACCGAGTTATCTACTGCAATTTGCACGTGTCAAATCCATCGGGACTCGGGAGAGATCCGACAGAACCTACCTGATCCCGATGCAGCGGCACGATCACCCAGGAGCGTGCGACGGACGTGCTCGGGTGCGGAGACGATGTCCATGGTGGCGATGGGGATGGAGGGATCAATGGGCGTGTCCGAGACCAGCTTGCACATGAACAACATTTCCCCCGCCTTCCCCGGCGCACTGACTGGAGCCTGGGGGAGGGGCGGCGCGGGCGCGCTCTCGGAGTCGGTGGAGGAGATGGAGCTGGTGCTGATGCTGCGGCGAAGAGGGAGTGGAGGGTCGGCAGGCAGCAGAGGGAGCTGGACTGGACGCACGGACAGCATGGAGCCCGGCTGGTTCGACCCGGGCGGTGTCACAAGCAACGACGTGATGCTGCCGTCGCTCAAACATGTCTGGATGGCTGCACTGGACGCCCTCGTCAGATCCACGACGGAGTCCTTTTTCGGGAGGAAGCGCGAGCGACTAATCGTTGCGGAATTTCTGGCGTTGCGTGAGACACTGACAGACGATGAAGACACGCGGTGAACTGGTCGAGCAGGCGGCCGCGATGAATTGAACAGCGGTTGTTGCGGAGTTCGACTGGGATTGGGCCCCGTGAACTTTTTATCCGCGTCGCAAATGCGGACCATGTCTTCCTCCACGTCCGACACGCTGCGTGGCGAAGGCGCACCGCCGTCACTGGAGCTGGATTCGGTCATCAGCGAATCCACATCGCAGAAGACAGCCTCATCGAGCGCACTCCGCTGGGGCACAGCAGCGGGCGCCACACTGACAGCTGCCTGGCTGGCTCGACCAGCGTCTGCCGAGTTGGATTTTGCGACCCGCTGATGCATTTCACCTGCAATAACAAGAAAGACAAGTCAAAATTTAGCAGAGTCGCAGAGATATCTATATTAAAACTGGTTCTTCCAACAATGGCAAGAAACATACATAAGTCTGAGCTGTTTCCCCCCAGACTCATTCACATGCCCTACCGTGCCGTAGTAAGATTATAAGAGATACGTTAAAAGCTTAAAACCAACATTGATGCAGGGGGAACTGAAATTGGCAGCGAAACATTGCCTACCAGAGTAGCGTTTATCTGCCTTCACAGTGGAGTCAGTGCTCGGAGAAGTTGCACCCGCGATGGAGGACACCGAACTGGATCGCTCTTCCTGCCTGGGCAAAGAGTCTTTCCTGCGCAGTAAGCTCTGCATGCCCGATGCAAACAGATCGCGCCACTTGGATGCCTGCCAGAAGGAGAAGGGCTCTTGGCGTCGGGCCACAACACTCGGGACGCCTGCAGGGGGTCCTGCTGCCTGATGATCCTTCTCGCCACCCGTCATCGCCCCATTCTGCAAAGGGCTGACGGAAGGAAGGACGATCGCGGGCGACGGCTGCCCTTGCGTTGGTGGCGCTGGCTGGCAGCTGGAAGTGCAGTCGCGATCCGTCGCTCCCTTCCCCAGCAGCACCGAGCGCAGACTCCGCGCGCTCTGCTCGTCCACAATGTTAATCCGGGGGTTGCAGACGTGAACGACGACTGGCGGAGTGAAATCCACGGGCAGTTTAATCGGCTGTTGACGATCAGCTTCTTCGTGCACAAACGGAGCCTTCGTGCTGCCACTGCTGCGCGATGTCATGATAATGATAAGAATCTGATATCAGATAGAGAAGTCACTCACTCGGTTCACAATCTTCACATGCATCGGGCAAGCTGCAAGCGCTTTGCAGCCTGCTGAACTACCATCCGGGATATTAATTTCGCACCAGCATATACTAGACCAAAATAATAAAGTACCGTATATTTTATCGCAAGAAATGGAACAAAAACTGTAATTCTGGGTATTGGCTCTCTTAATAATAGCGATGATATTGTATTAAATTATTAATCAAAATTCAATCTAGAATCAAAGAATCTAGATCGATTCCAGACCCAGTCGATTCCATGACGAAGAAGTCTCGAAAATCTATCCAAACATTCGAGCCTGCAAGTTCTTCGACCTGCGATGAGTCGATGAGCGCGGCGCAGTGCGTGAGGCCTGAGCACTGAACACCCGGAGCAGCCACGCTTGACAATCGACCCGTATCGTACTGATGTCTGATTCGTTGTGCTAGCGGCTAGGCATGAGTCGTACACTCAGCGCACTGCTGAACTCAAAGTCTCACCAAGTTCAACGAAAAACAGGAAAGTGAAATTATTGACATTCTTAATTCTTCTGCTGCTCTGATCTTGGAATGTTTTGGGAAACGATAAGTTGTAATTTAATCAAACGTTTTTGTGATCGAAGGCCCGCAAGTAGTAGAACAATCGGCGGAACCAGGTAGGGAGAAACTGGTAGCCGCCGTAATACTGCAACGGAGACAGCACAAGTTGAAGTGCGTATGTATCACTGATATCAGATCTTGATTCTTGCCTCGGGAAATGTGCGTTTGTTTTGCATCGTGGATATCCGTTACATACTTACATGATCTCATTGAACTGGGGTTTTGTAGAGGCCTTTCTAACGCAATGGGTGCGGCGGCAGTGGAGGGAAATACAGTGAAGAGGAACTAAAGGCATACGCAGTTCTCAGAAGGGGCACGATGACGCGATGATCTCCACTGTTCACGAGCACTCCACTTGCAGGCTGGCCATGGTGCAGAATCTCTATCCTGGGACGGTGCCCCCTCGCCACAGCCTAACCGAGCTCGTGTCTAGTTCATCGGGAACAGGTGAGATGTCAGATGTGCAGCGGGGGAAGGGCCTTGCAAGGCCAGCATTGCGCGCACTTGTAACTGATGAAGAGATCCGACTCCGAGTCTGTGCTTTTTCTTTCTCTGTGATCACTGCTAGTGAATAGTCGTGCGGTTGAACCAGAGGTACCTGTAGCTCGTGCTTCTTGCTAAGATGCTGCAACGACTAAAGGTGTCGAAACTGGGAATCTGAGCAACAGAAAAGCTTGGGGTCTGAGTACTGGATAAAATCATAACAGATTAGAATGATTCAGCTATGCAGTGCAGTTGTTTGAGGGGGTTGTACGGTGCAGGAAATCCTGTGGCGGCCCCCACCAGCAGCCAGGCGCACCAGCTGCAGCCGCTGCCCTCCTCCCATCCGCATCCGCAGCCCGGCAGCATGTCCACAGCAGCGCGCCAGCGACCCGCGCGTCCCCTGTCCAACTCGCGGCTGTCCAGCGCCGCGGCCCTGGCCAACTCCCTCTCCATCGGGCGCAACATCGAGCGCGTGCTGGAGGACTGCGCCCACACAGGTGACAGGCTGACTGATCTTCTCCGGCCTCTTGCCTGCGTCTAGCACTTCCTTTGCAGGCCGACTGAACCTCAGCGGACGCGGCATGAAGGAGCTGAGTTGCCCCTCGCCCAGCAAGTACAATCTCATCGACACCGTCACTGCAGGTGCGTGTGCGTCGTCCGTTTACTGTGAACTCTCACTGACGATGCATGCGCTGCTTCGCCAGATGTTTCGCGCAACCGCTTGAGCGAGCTGCCTGACAGTCTGCTGGAGCTGGTCTTTCTCGAGTTCCTGGACTGCCGGGAGAATCTCTTGAAGAGTCTGCCTAACGACATCATGCGTTTGCGATGCCTGGTTCACCTGGACCTCAGGTATACATGTATAGTACCTGCATTGCTTTTGCCATGTAGAGGCTTCTTTAGAAAGTCGCATTAAAGTAAACCGCTGCTGGCTGGCAGCCTGGCACTGACACACCGAAGCAAAGCCGTAAATTTAGCAGTTTGTATTTATTTTGTAGTTTGTTTTTTTATTTCCTTCTCCCTTCTAGGTTATTATTTCATTATTCAGTATTATGTAATAATATTCTGTAAAAATTGCTTCCATAATTATTTGTAAAGATATAATGTCCGTGACCGACCTTAAACGCCACAATAAGTCCCGTTTTCCTGAACACAGGGGACCGTAGTCGATAATTTAATTTATCGACACCGCCGTAGTCGATAAATTAAGAAAACTGACTGAAGCTACCAGTAGAATTGCCAGTCAGTCATGTTGTCATTCTCTTCCGTTGCAGTCGCAACTTGCTGTCTTCCTTGCCCGCGGTCATCTGCAAGCTGCCCGCACTGGAAATCCTCCTAGTCAGCCACAACCGACTGCAGTCACTGCCGGAAGAAATGGGATCTCTCCAGTCGCTGATGGACTTGAACGTCAGCTGCAATCAATTGACGCACTTGCCCGCTTCGCTCTCCCGCTTGTCGGCGCTGCGCTCGCTGGATGTCCGCAAGAATCTCCTGCAAGCGCTGCCCAATGGTAAGCCTATCACAGACAGCTTCCTTTCTGGTGTTTTCAACTCTTATCATTTAATTTCCGGTGGCTTTTTGACTGTGCTGATTGAAATTTCACCACAAGAACAGTAAGCGTCACAATGCGTTTTACAGACGTGGCCAAATTACGGCTGATTCGTTTGGATGTATCGCAGAATCTGTTGACGTCACTTCCGAGTAGTTTGCGGTCGATGACTACGCTGGAGTACCTGCATGTGCTGGACAACCCGTTGGACTGTCCATCTATGCAGGTAGGATTGCGGAGCAGTGTACTGTATCTGTACGGTGTGTGGCACCGATGTGCTCTGACCGTTGTCGTCCTGCCCCCCTTTAGGTCTGCAGCCGGGGACAGATCCACATTTTTAAATGCCTGGAGACCGCCACGCACAAGGGCGGGCCTTATCTCAATGGTGAACTGCGCAGATCCAGCCGCAGTGAAAACGCCAGTCGCGACCGGAAAGAACTGGCTAACCGGTGAGCCCGATCGCATGCATGTGGTCATTTTGGTTGTTGGCTGAAATTGCTAGCAGTTGCCTCTGTTTTATTTGTAATAATGTTTGCTTATTTGCTATATTCTGTCTGTAAGACATTTATTTGTTTTGCACTTGACGTACAGAAGTGTGGATCGCGAGATGAGCGAGTACGCGTGCCCCTCGTCGCTGATCCCGGTGGCGGTGCCCATCAACAAGCACGTGCTGGCGGCCGATGTCCGCAGCAGCAGTATGGGTGGGCCGAAGCCCAGTCGGCCGGTGGCTAACGGTGTCAGCGCTCCTCCTCCCCCGCGAAGCTTCAGTCTGGAGTTGCCCAGTGTGGAATCTCGTGGTCAGTGTGCTTCCTGCAAGGAATTATAATAGCGTGGTGTCACTCCGAAATCAGTTTCAATGTGCCGCTGGTATCTTTGCAGAAGACGTAGCCGCAAACGGGAAAGAACATCCGGAAAACTCGGTTGGACACGCGACTGCCACCCGGGTGGCGTGCGTCGACGAGCCGGAAGCGGCGCATCTGGATGGAGTAACCGCGGCAGTGGCCAATGGGAAATTGAGCGAAGAGGCGTCCAGTCTGGTTATGGTGGACGCCAGTCCGGAGAATGGGCTTCCGCCGGCGCAAGTGGCTGCTGAGGACGCCGGGGCTGCTGTGAATGGCGGCGTGTTGCCGCTGGCTGCTAGCGGGGATGATCATGCCGTGTTCAAGAAGCCGGCAGCAGTTTCGCAGATTCCCAGAAAGTATGTACCCTAGTGTGTACTATAGAAGTACTTTAACTGACTTGTGATTACTTGTGTGAACTGCAGCCGTGTTCACATGTTTCCTGGACGAATATTTATAGTGTTTTGAGGGTGTTACTAAACGTTTAACCGACGTGTTTCGTGTGCCTCTCGATTGTGTACTGATCGGTTAATAATCGTGTAGAATCTCACCCGGACAAACCAGCAGCGGGCGCAACATTGGAAAAGGCGGACCGAAGAGCGTCGTGGCCAGTGGGCGACCGCGCACCGGCTCCGGTTCGGGGACCGTCTCTAGCAGCAATAGTTCGCAGGGGAATGGCAGTGCGAGGGAGGCAGCGCATCCGGATCACAAGGGACTGCGCAGCAAAGAGGCCAGCCTGGACGACAAGAGCTCCAGCGCGGTGTCGACGCCGCAGACCTACCCCAGTCCGGTCCCGGAGAAGGAGGCCGCGGCCGGCAAGACCGACCAGATTTCTCCCAAAGGGGTACGCCGTTCTCGCTGCTTGATGCTTTTCCAGACAGTGTGCAACGGAAAGCGTTGTGTGTTGGCAGAAAGCCCCAGCTGCCCCTTCGAAGAGTGCCCGAACGATGACGAAGCAGAAATCGGCTGGCTCCGCTGCGGTGAACGGTGCGGGCGATGCGTCCGCCGTGTCCAGCGCTCGCAAAGCGTCCTTGCCTTCCGGCAGCAGTTCGACTGTTGCTGTGGCGGCTGCCAAGTCCGCAGTCACTGCGCCCGAATATAATTCTAACTTCACCATTCGCCGTCAGCAGGAACAAATGAGGGAGGAGAACGAAAAAGTGCAAGTACTGCGCAAGGTCAGCTTGCTTGTTGATTTCCGCTACTCTAGCCTTGCGCAGGAGATTCGGATTGCTTATTTTCATCGGCATTGAGCTTGAGAGGTATTGGGTTTGTTGCAGTATTTGGAGAGCCGGCTGAAATTGCGCTTACCGGACGACTTGTTGGGCGCGTTGCAAGTAAGAGCGTTTGTTGTGTTGTGTGGACTGTGATTGTGACATTGGTGGGGTTGTGTAACCTGCTTGCTGCGTAGGACGGGGTGATCCTGTGCCACCTGGTCAACCACATCCGGCCCCGCAGCGTCATCAGCATCCACGTGCCCACGCAGACGCAGTCGGCCTCCTCCTCCCTGTCCGCCAGTGCCACGCCGCCCAAACTGACGCCCGCCAAGTGTCGCCGCAACGTGGACAACTTCCTCGATGCCTGCCGCCGTCTCGGTCTTTCCGAAGTAAGTGCCAGCATGCCAGCAGTTATTATTATGGCCTCGAGGGTGGCTGGCAGTGCTCGCTGCTCACAGAGCTTCTACTAGGTGACAGGGGTAGGGACGGTTCGCTTTGCACTGCGCTCACTGCAGCTGTGCGGTACAAGTTGCGGTACAAGTTGCGCTTTGTGGGATGAAGAATAGTATTAGCAGATGCTGCCAGTCCTTGGGATAAACTAGGACACGATAATTAGGCGGTTCAATAATGTTAGCGGGCGATGACCAGAATGCAGATATCTACCACTCTATACGGAGGATACTTGGGAAGGCGTAGTGGATTAGACCAGCCAGTCACTCATTTCCTTTCTATCATCACAACGAGTTTTTAATAATAAGTTTTATGATGGTATTGGTGTACAATGCAGAGCTTTAACGAGCACTGATTAAATGTGTGTCATGTTGGAACTTGGGACTGACAGTTGAAGCGTATAATGCTTCTCAGATGCTACTACGAACACTTGTATTTATACGAATATTTACAAACGAATATTTATATTTGTATTTTTACTTGTATTGATACGAATACTTGAATTTATATTTGGCAGCTTTCGTTTGGTGTGTATCTGTGTACATGTCTGTTGGCTGGTGTTTATGGCTGCTGGTTGCCTAGTAAGACGGGCTACTCTGACTGACTCGTGCATGAAGACGCTGCATTGACTGTTGCAGAACGCTGTGTGCTCCTCTGACGCTATCCTTTCACCTAACCGCTACTACCTTAACGCTTTTCCCTCTGCTGCTCCCGCTGCTTCCTGTTCGCATGCATCTGCGCTGCCGCTCTCAGACGGCGTCCCGGGCCTCGCTGACGAAACTCCGCCCGAGGCAGGCGGCGCTGATGGGTGCGGTCACTGCGGTGCTGGTGCCCTGGGGGAGATGTTGTTGTCGCTCATGCGCCTGGATCTGCAGCTGCAGCTGGACGGGTCCAGTTCGAATCGACCGGCCGCATCGACTGATTCGACTCATGCCGCTACCGGCGCAGTGGCAACTGGTCAGCCTCGGCAGCGGAACAGGGATAGTCTGTACGCTGGCTTGCTGCTTGTGATGTACGTTGTGGCGGCGCTTTCCTACCTTCTCTACGTCTCTGGCTACTCCTTCTCATTGTGATGCCGTCGCGCTGTCCTTTCATGTTCATGTGATCTGCTGTGCAGTGTGCATGCTGCTGCTTTCCGCGAGTGTTCCTCTTTGCTGATAATATGATCGGCGTGCGTCATCCGCGTATAGAATAGAAGTACGGCTTTTTCGCCACATTCGAATGCTGCGTTCAGAGGCAGTTGTACTCGTGATATGGGCAGCGGATAGTAGTCTTTTTTTGTTAGTTGTGACTTGTGAGTGACCGGTCGCTGGTGGCAGCTTGTTTTGGCTGGGAGTGGGAATAATATTGTATTCACTTTTACTGCTACATGTACACCAGTGACCAGACTATATAAAAAAATGAAATACAGTAGTCTGAAAATGCTCTATATATATATAAAATCATATACAGTAGTCTGAAAATGCAACTACCATTAATTAAGGCTTCGAAAACTTCGTACAAACAACAAAATTGATGGGCAGTAGAAAAAGGTTTATTCTGGAAATGTCGAGCAGGAGGATGTATAGTTGAGGCAGTGACATTTAATAAGTAAAGGAAGTGGCGTTGGATGCTGCATTAGCACTAAAAGTACTCGTACAAGTGTCTATATTTCACGTTTGATTTAAGTGATCTATGTGGCGTTTTTCTAAACATTGTGGAAGCTTGTCTCTTGGTTTCTAACTTGCATCGGTCTGGTTCCAAGCGACGCATTTACACTTAAATTAATTCTTAATTCTCCAGTAGACGTAATGCAGAGAAAGTCGGTTTTCATGATGAAAATCCATAAGGAAAAATTGAGAATTTTTGACAACTTTCAAGGTAAATTGGCATTATGCACTGTATGCTGGTGCACCGACCGGTTGCGATTGCTCTGAGCACCGGAAGTCCCTGAATTTTTTTCATTTGAAGTGTTCAGTTGAGAGATTTTTAAGCATAAATTATGTTAGGCAGGATAGTGATTTCCAAGGAAATACGTCCGAAATCGTTCGTATGCGCTGAGAGTGTGTCTAGACAGTCTAGTTGCAGCGACTCTACACGGCTGTCAGAAAGTCAGAATAGTGCGGCTTTACCTTCTAGTAACATAAATGCACTTCATCTGCTGAAGCTGCAAACAAGCACAAGTTTGTACGTATAGAGTTGACCAGGGCCAGCGATGTGGCGGTGCGGCGGTGACCGGCCAGCAGCGCTCCGTGTTGATCTTTGATTAATTATGAATTGCCTAGGTGATTCTGTGCTCCCCGGCGGACATCCTGGAAGGGAAGAACGTCAGCCGCATCGTGGACTGCGTGCAGGGCGTCAGTCTGATGGAGAGCAGCGGCGGTAGTGCGGTCGGTGGGAAGCGCAGCGCCAGCGTGCAGGTGGCCTCCTCCTTCAGTCTGGTCTACTCGTCCTCCGCGCTCCCGCCGGCGGCCACGGCCGCTCCTTCGTCGGCCGTTGCAGGCAGGCGCATGGCGCCTGCCGTCGCCAGCTGTGCTGCTGCACCCAAGAGCCTGCCTGCTAACGCGGAAACGGGCCCCAGCACGACCCTGCCCGGCGCCGCTGGCCGTGCTGCAGCGGCGTCCAATGTCCACAGAAAGGTCACGGGCGCGACGCCCGCCGCCACCGGCAGTGGCAACGCGTCGGCGGCTTTTAGTGTCGTCTGAATGCGCTCAGGTCGCCGTGACTTTGAGGCTGATGTGAGTACAGCCGCAGTTGGACGAGTACCGTTTTCTTTTGTTAATTGCCGCACTGTAGTGACTGTACACGCTGAGAGCCTACTTCTGCTGTTTCGATATTACCGTAGATATGCTGCATCTGTGAATACGTAACGCGTGCCCAGCTGACAGGGAGTCGCCGAATACAGATCCTAGTTAGTGAGACAGCCATGAATATGATAGTCCGATGGTTCCTTATTTTTTATCTCTTCTTGTTGTCTTGTTAATGCGCTCTTTTTTGTTTCCTGCTGCACTTTCAAGTTGTACGTCTGAATTTTTATGCAAAGTTTAACGCTAGTGTGAGCGCTGAGCACCGTCTCAATTATGTTGTTTTTGTTACGACTTTTAACTGTGGTCCACTGCAGCTGTAATGGGCGACCATTCTTCTGTTAATAAAACTGCTTCTGTACAAAACCGATCTGTATGTACCGAGCAATGTCGTCATCATCATCTGGACGAGTGAAAAATTCTGCCGAAATCTGGCCAGTGGCTACCGTAAAAAGGGCGTACCGCCCAGTAAGAAACGTAAAATAACAGCCCGAGGTAATCTCTACCCAGTAGCCCTTGTGCAGGATGATGACGACCCTACAAGTGCTTATTATGTACGTTTGTACTGCGTACCGAACCCTGTGAACGCCATCTGGTACTGGACAATAAAACCAACTCTTGAAAGCACAAAATTAATCACAATCACGTTTCTATCGATGCGTACTGCGTACCAAGTGTAGCGAAAGTTAGCTGCCGATGCCAGGAGCAACGGGAGGCTAATAAATACTGTAATGCTATGGTACTGCAGTAACGATACCCATGCACTGTATTTATTCAGATAAAATGCTAAAATCCACTTAGACTGTTTAGCTGCCAAAGCATAAAGCAATTACATTCGATAAAATTATAAAAACCTTCTCATGGAGAAAATACGACAATGCTCCTAATATAAGAAAATAAACTCACATAATATAAGCAACATGCTAACATTTCAACATGAAACCTAACGGTAAAAAACTTACTAAATACCCTGTAGGGATTATGTAAAATCATTAGAAGGATAAAACGAATGTTAAGACGGGATGGCCAGCGTGTAAATCATTAAGACCGATAAAAGCGCGACTAGAACCGCTGCAACGCAGCGATTCCACTGGTTGCAGCGGCACGCAGACACCTGGCGAGGTACGGACGGACGGACAAACTGCGGCGTATCGGTTCGACTGCGGGTCATAAGAAAATGAACTACAGCGCGCTGGAATGCCGGCAAGAGACGGTGTAGCTGTATCTGTAGCGGCGCCTGACATCTAACTGCTGGGCTCTTCGTCCGACAGCGAGAAGAGGCAGGCCGCCGCCCACTTCTCGCGGTGGTGCTGCTGGTCGGCGAAGTCGGCGCCGACGACGTCCGGCAGCGGCTCACCCAGTGCGTCACTGCACAGCCGCATCGTCAGCACGTCCTCGTGGTCGCGGTCGCTCAGCTGCTCCAGATCCAGGCCCGCGGCGCGGCCGGACGGGGACGTCGTCGACTGCATGAGGCGCGAGAGCGGCTTGCAGGGCGGACTGCCGAAGTAGCCGTCCAGTCCGCCGCCGCCGGCGTAGTCCGCGTGGAACACGGCCGAGCGACTGGCGCGCATGTGGCCGCCGCCCACGCCGGCCAGCTCGCTGGACAGCGACGATATGCGGTGGATCTGCAAGTCACGCATGGTTATCGATGCCACCATGTCGAATGCTGTGGTCAACAAAGAACAAGAGAAAGACTGACCCCTTGCGCCGTACTGGCGTCGTCCCGCCAGCGAGCGTACTCGTCCAGCAAGTTGCCGGAGGAGGAGGGCAGACGGCGGCTGTGCGACAGGGACTGGTTGAAGGTGGACAGCTCGGCGTGCGGCCGGTGCAGCTGCGGCATCCCCAGCGCCAGGCCGTCCTGCTCGTCCTCCAGATCGTCCAGCGGCAGCGGACTGATGGCCGTCCTCATGCCCGCCCTCGACCAGCCGGCATGGGCACGGGCGGCCTCGTAAGCCCCGTAGTCACGCGGCATCCGCCCGCTGCCGTGCTCCTCCGACAGGCTGCCACCCTGCTCCAGATCGCTGTGGCTGCCTACGCGGAACCCCGTCGCGAGCTGCGGGCGCCCCCCGTGGCCGAACACGTAGTTGTACTGGCCTCCGTGGCTGCTGCCGGGCGAAGGGAACGGGACGCCGTCCATGCCGTTGCCGCCCTCCAGAGTCCGCATGGTGGCCGGCACCGAGGCCTGCAATAAAGTGACCACAACATGTACGGTCAGGAAAAACAGCAACTGTTATTACTTTGTCTTGACTGAGGGATTAGCGAGAGAGCAGGCTAATGAACAATTCACTGCCTGCCATCAACCACCTCGAGCGCACATACCTGGCGACTGATGGGCCGATACATCCGGCTGTCCAGGGGAGATGCCATATTGCTGGCGAATCCTGCCGACGACAGGTTGACCGACGCGCTGTGACTGAGCGACATGCTCAGCGCCGAGCGAGGCGGGCCCCCGCCCCCGCCCCCAGCGGCAGGAGGGGCCGGACGGGACGCGGCGCCGACGAGATGCTGCTGCGGCGGCAGTGGCGCAAAGACCCCGCTGGCCGGCCGGCGGTTCATCAGCAGGGGATTCAGCGCCGGATAGTAGACGGAATGCAGGCCATTGCCGTTGCCGGCGTCGCTCGTTGGTTCGCGTATCGACGGGAAGAGGCCGTGCTGCGCCTGCGCTGCCGTGAAACTGGTGAAACTCGGCTGGGAGTAGGACTGCGGCAAGCTGCGACTGAGCGAGAGCGCGCGATGCGCCGCCTGCTGCTGCTGTTGCTGCTGCGGATATGCGTGCTTGACGCGTCCTGCCGCAATTCCTCCATTCGCCGAGGTGTGTCCATCTGTAAAACAGATTTTCGCCTAGAGTAGTCTAGCTACCAGCGGCTGCCATTTTTCACACACCCAAGAAAACCGGAAACTGCCTGCATTTAAATTAGACCAAATTAAAATCGAATAATATTAAATTATGTTAAATTAAGTAAATAAAAGTTCAAGTGCAGCAGCAGGACGAATGAGCACAGTGACGTAGCGCGCACCTGCGCCAGCAAAGGAGCGAACGCGGCTGCTGGGCGGCATATCCTTCTTGGCGAGATTGTTGGCCATGAAGAAGAGGAAGCCGGAGACGACGTGCAGGAGGTTCTGCAGGGACACCGCCACCAGCTCCATGCTGGCACACGCGGCGGCCACTTCGCTGGCCGAGCCGGGAGAGGTCGCGGGCGGCGCCGCGTTGCCGCCGTGTCCCGCGGCGCCCGTGGTGTCCTCCAGGGTCAGACCGGCCAGCTGGTCCAGGGCCGGCCGCAGCTGCAGCAAGCCCTGCGGATCGCCGGATCGCTGGACGGCGATGATGAGCTCCTGCACGCTGCTGGCCAGGTACTGCGTGCTCTGCAGCTGCAATCGAAGACAGTGCACTTGCACAGTAGTCACCACAGCACAGACACTGAGACACACCAGAATGCAAGTGAAAGGTAGCGCTTCCGCATGCCTATGTTATACAACTGCACAAAGCTTTCCAATCGTTTACTTGAGCTTGATTGCCAATACTAATAGCCACTTCATGCTGCGAAAAGCCTGCGCGGGTAGAAAAAAATTACTGTAACATACTAACATACGATTATTACGTTACTTCTTTCACGAGTGTTATGAAGGCCCATCAGTTGGTTTTGCGCCAGTCGGTTTCCAACGACACATTTTCAGCTTAAAATGATTTCTCACAACTATTCTTAACGTTTTGATAAAAAAGGGGCAGAAAAGAAAAAAACAGCTGGCGCAAGAACAACCAAAATGGAAAAGCTTGGGAATATTCAGAAACTTGCAACACAGAAAACTGTATCACGCTGCCACACCGAGCGGCTGAGATTGCGTTAAGCGCCGGAAGTGCTTTGGATTCCCTTCGTTCAAATTTAAAGTGCAGCCAACAATCAAGTAATTTCGTAAAATCTGAATAAACTTGGATAAAAAATCACTATTTTCACAGGAATACAAGTCATCATTCAAGAGGAAAGCACTCATGTGCGTTACGGGCTAGCGACTAGACTCTAAGACTAGTGGCTCGAAGCGCCTAAAGGCTGTAAAAACTGGACGAACGCCCATTAGAATGAATTGAAATTGTTGCCGCTGACTTTTGCATTACAAATACATGATTATAATTTATTGATGTCAGGGAAGTACGACCTGTAAATCCGTAGAGCTGCGTAGATATGCGCTAAACGACAACGCAAAGCGAAAAGTGTACTCGTACAGTATACTGAGTCTGTGGTTGAGGAAGACATAGTAAAGAGAAGCACTAACCTTGTCAATGATGGACTGCATGTGGGATTTATGGAGGTGATCTGCAAGCAACAAGCATCCCTAACACCGGAGAACGGCTAGAATGATCCGCTTATGGGTCATGACTGCGCGCCGTACCGCCGTAGAGCAGCGCCGACCACTGCTCGGGAGCGATGCGCAGACCGGCCTCCTGGGCGATCTGGATGATCTGCGCGTCGTGCTCCTTGCGCAGCGCGTCGTACACGCGGAACTCCTCCTTCAGCTGCAAAGCCAGAGCAAACCACTCAGCCCCTGTCACCCGCCCCCTCCAGGCATCGTCCGCAGCCGAGTGACTGACTGCCTTACCTCCATTAGGCTGGAATCACCGTCCCGTTTGGATACCTACAGTACAGTACAATGCTAATTATGCTATTATATCTACACATATATCTGTACAGCAGTGCTCATGCATTTCGCATCCCTCGTTAGTCGTTACAAAACTAGATGGATCGATCAGCCCCTGGAAACGCTGCATCTTCACATATTTTTATGATTAACCAATACCGTGTGATCCCACTCTGCGGACTCTACCATGATCGCAGGTAAACATGAATACGCGCTAGGTAGTGCAAACCTTAAAGCACGAAGCCCGGTAAAGCAGCTGCACGACATGTCCGACGCTGGTTTTTGACGCCTGTAAAGCAAGCGGATCAGCGTAGGCTGGAAATGCTCCCATCAGAGGATGCACATAATTATACAGGACTGTGCCAGTGAGCTGTACCTGCGAGTACTGCGGCTTGAGCTTCTGCACGATGAACATGACCAAGACCTTCCGGCTCAGCGCCGAGCCCGTTTCCAGGGCCAGCAACACCAGCTTCAGCACTGCAATTATTATGGAGATTTCAATTTGCAGCAACCAGTGCAGACAGGCCCAGCGCCCCGCCCCGCCCCGGGGCCATGCTGAGGAGTGAGCACAAGGCGAGTGGCAGACACCACCCACCTTCCTCTTGCATCGCCGGTCCCAAGAACTGACATCCGCGCGCCCGCACCTAACAACAGTCAACAGCAACATTACCCTCTAAGCGGCGGAGCATTCATTCTGCTGAACAACGATGTCAAGTACAAAGTTCGCGACAAAAAGCATCGTATAGTATTTCATCGATAAATATGCACACCACGCGAAGCTACCTACCGCCGACCATAGATGCGAAGTCAACTGCTGCGTGTTCTGATGCATGACGATCAATTCCGTAACAATTCTCTCACAGATAGACCTGCAAAATCCTCAGAATATTCACTGCATCACGTCTGCAGGGTCCAAGGGCACTACCACGAGTAACTAACACACCTTGCTGCTCGCTGGCACTTTGTACGTCCTGCAAAATTACGTGCAACCATTAACGTATCCAACGTAGAATTGTGCGATAGGCTGCTGTTCAAAAGTAATGTTTGAACAGCAGGAGCAAGCGTACCTTCCGGCAGCAGCAGCTGGCACTGCATCAGCGTCAAGATCTTCCTCTGGAGGGCTTTGTTGACAACTGTTCCCAAAGGCAACCCTTTCAACTCTCATCCAACACAGAGAACAGGCACAACGCTGCAGTGCTGCACTGCATCGCTGTGCCAGCGCTGGCTTACCTGGATAAACGGGCGTTCGCAGGGGTATTGCTCCCGCGATCGCTCCCGCGGCCGCCCCGCTACTCGCTGCCCCACCCGACACCAACAGAGCCAGGGAGTCCAGCGCGCTCAGCGCCCCTTGATACAGTTCGCTAAAGCTGCTGGCACTGGGGGATTCGTGCAGGTCCGGCTCGGTGCAGGGGGAGTCCGATGCTTTCCTGTCCGCTTCGGCGCCCTCAGGAATATCGCGGCTGTAAGCGCTGCCAGGATCAGGCGGCGACACGGCTTCTGGCAAGCGCTGCTGCTGGCGCATCAGCTGTGGGGGCACGCGCAGGCCCAGCAGGTGGGCCAGCGCCACGTTGACGGGCAGTTGCGTGAGGGGGATGGCGTGCACGGTGTGGTCCAGGGGACAGGCATGGCGCCTGTCCAGGGGCAGGCGCTGCTGCTGCTGCTGGGACAGCACGCCGTTGCACGGCTGCTTCGACTTGTTATTGATATTGACATTATTATCGGCCGCAGTATCGTCTGGCAACGCGTGCGTCGGCGTACACGTCGCCGCCTTGCCCCGGGGGGAGCCCGTGTGCGGCTGCTGCGCAGTGCCGTGGCCGTGCACAGTCAGCGTCTGGCCCGAGGGGGTCCGCAGTCCGGGCACCTTGTGCAGCGTCGCAGGCTGGCTGCTGCTCGTGCAGGTAGTCAGGCAGCCGCGGCAGATGGTGTGCCCGCACACCAGACTGACGGGCAGGCGCAGGCCCTCGTCCGTCTCGCACTCCTCGAAAGCCCGCAGACACACGGCGCAGTGCAGCAGATCCCTCCACTCCATGGCCCTGTAGCGTTATTACATGTCCGCTGCAGTGTCCACAATCGGCCCTGTCTTCGGCCAACACTGCCTAATTAACCCAAGTTCCCGTGCCGTACAACGAACAATTCCAGAGACTTCAAGTTGCGGTATTATGCTGTGGCTGCTACAAGCTGTGGTGGCTTAGAACCAGATGTGATGACGCCACAGAGACCAACAAACTGTTTCTCTCTGATCTTGTTAGCAGCAGCAGCTCTACTTTTTTTCTGCTTCATTAGCGACAAACTCACCGCTCACCTAAAAGCCAAGAACGCTTCCTTCGGTGTTAGGCTCCCAAAATTTCATCTCATGTTCCACAGTTCCCGTCAACACAAGAACACCAAGGTAAGTACTGGAGATCGGATGAGAAGTCTCAGCCATGCAGACACATTCCCATCGCTCCCCCATCCAGTGCCAGACAAGTTACGAAAGTCACTCTCACTGCCGACCCTAGTATCCACTATTCAGAAAAGCAACAAAAATGAATTACAATCAATTTCTAGTTTTTACTGATCCTACAGTTCCTACTGTATGGAGCGTCCCGTGTAAATTAAAAGAGGAAATAGTAAATATTTAATACTGAGAGAATTATACAAGTACCAGGCTGTATTCAGGCTAGTGTAATACTGTGTACATGTAATCTCTCTGATTAGGGACCATTCTTAAATTACGTAACGCAAAAAGGGCGAGGACCTTTTCGAAGCCACCTAGAGCAAAGCAAAATTGCACCAAACATTCGTATCGATCATGAGGAGATAGCCGAAATTTGGACTGCAATAATACATGTGATTGCACCAAAAAGAATGTTCCGAGAAAATTTAACCTGGATTTTTAAACGAAATTTACCAGCTTATCAATTAATAATTTGGAATTAAATTCAGTAAGAAGTTTTTCTGATGAAACTAAAACTAATGTAAATTTAAAAATATGTGTTACCAGTATAAACCGGTAACGGTTGAAACGAACTACGTATTCTGATTTGAATAAAAAATTAGAAACTGTTTTGAAATTGAATATTATCTTAAATTTCGAAGAGCCAGTTTTGATACGACAGATATTTTTCGAATGTTGCTTTTTACGGGAATAGTTCTGGAACTAACAATAAAAAATATTCTAGAAGTATTTGAGAAATAATGAATAAGATTAAAAATAATTCTGGAATATCTGTGTGATGTGAGAGAAAGCCGATAATTTGTTCGATGTAAACATTGAAATGATAATGATGAGTGCATTTCCGGTTGTCCCTTTAATAATTAAATAAAGAGCACACGGCACTGAATGTGGCCTGCAGCCTGTAATGAGCGACGTTCGCTTCTTCTGTCTAATTTATTGGGAAATTAACTCGTGCTTGATAGAAAGAAACTCTGAAAATAATCTATGTAAATTTTATAAAGCATCCGTAGCTGATTATGGATTTTAAATATTTAAAAAATTTAACCGGTGAAATTCTGTGAACTCTGTCCATACTTTAGCTGCGTTCTTGCATTGTATGCTCTGCGAATTCCCGGTGATTACAGAATCATTCGCGGCTGGTAACAGTTTACAGAATTATACACGAATTTTAGGGATTTGCAGAATTTTTCGCGACTGGTTAATAATTTACAGAATTAGGTACCTGGGAATTTTTATAATTTACAGATTTATTTGCCGACTGGTTTAAAATTTCCAGAGTTATTCGCGAATTTTGATAATTCACAGCATTGTTCGCGACTGGGTAACGATTACAGAACCATTCGCAAATTTTAATAATTACGAAATTATTTCTGACTGGTTAACAATTTACAGAATTGAGTAACTGGGAATTTTTACAGAATTATTCGCAGACTAGTTGAAAATTAACAGACTTATTCGCGAATGTTTCAAATTATTATTAACATTCCATGAGTAATGTACGCCTTTTTTATGTACTTAGCTGGTACAGTACATGTTTGCTTCTTCCGTTTGAGCTTACTAATTGGGTTGTTGGCACACCCCGTATTATGACGTCGGCGGTGTTTTCTGTTTCTGAACTTTTTCATGTTAAAGCAGAGAAATGGTCATCTGTTTTTGATAGCGAGAGTCAGTCTTGACTAAAGTGTGGTGAGAATTGCAATTCTTAATAAGAACTTATGTTATGAGAGCTCTCGGGTCTTCTGTAGCGAAAACATTTGTGTGCGTACTTACCGGAAGTCACAATTAATCTGGATAATTACATCATCCAGATCGTATTCGTGCACGTAGTTGGATAGCTGGTAAAGTGTTTTATTAGTTACCCGAGGATTTAGGCATAAGAAATAGTTCGTGGTGTTTATCTGTTTATCTACTGAGTTTGGATGGTCATCTGGTACGGTAGATGTAGTGCATCTTCCATATACAGCCTGGCTACGCTAAGTTCGGACAGTTGTGTAAATAAATTAGGAAATATTTCCGTGCGTCGTTTTATTTTTAGCTTTACACTTTTCTAGTGTAACTTTCTCTTGCGAATTCAGCACTACCAAAATATTTATATTTTGGTACGTCAGTAGCGAGCTGAGCTACGATTTATGGAATAGGGTAGTGATCATTTTTGGGAGGCTTATAACTAGCTCCCTCAGAAATCCACCAGAAGAGATTTTTTTGTGGACTTTTGTGAAAAGTATTAAGTGATCCAAAAGGTATTCGTTTCGGGTTGGCATAGAAGTCTTGGGCGACTGAGACCCACGGTGACCTCGAAAGATAATTTTTCTCCCATAGACGTGTATGCTAAACAACGCCTGCCAAAGATTACGGTTGCTTAGCGGCCCAGACCTATCAACTTTGAAATGGGAGTTTCCATGGATGACACATTGACCCCACCATACGATTTTAATGTTTTGACTCATATCTTCTACATAGAGGGGAAGCTAATAGTGCCGAACAAAATGGCAGAAAAACCCGATAAAGTTGTAACAAATAAAAGTTATGGCTATAGTTTGAAGTCCTCGTAACGAGACGTATCGAGCTTATTCTGGGAACGAAAAAGCTCAGAATGACGATAAATGCTCCCTGAACGAGATCTTACTAAAAGTAGCCATTTCCGACACATCGTGGCTGTGCGGCGAATGGGCAAAAGAAAGCAGCCCTCTGACTCGACAGCATCGCATTCGCGCTGCAAAGGTCACGTAGGCTTGATCGAAATCGGTAAGCCACTGGAATATTCCTCACGGGTTTTAAATGGCCAACGTCATCTAGTGATTGCTTCTGGACTACAGCACCAACAGAATTTTTAAACAAATTTTAAATGAGCAAAAGACTACCGCGATAGATGGGTCGGGCCGCTTTTTTTAGACCGGTCTGGTTTGGATCTTCGTAGTATCCGCATCCAACCTGACGCGTTTTTTTTATCCGGGGGGTCTAAATTTTTGGACCTAGGGCATTATTTACGGGTCTAAATGTTTGGACCTAGGGCATTATTTACGGGTCTAAATGTTTGGACCTAGGGCATTATTTACGGATCTATTTTTTTGGACCTAGGTTATAATTTACTAGAGCGTGTGGGCGTGCATGTACCGTCATGGCGGAGCCACGACGGTGCATGTGCGGGGCGCATACGTGAAATAGTACAATCCCGTACTGGAAGAACATTTGTTTTTTACTAAGGTTTCTAAACTTAGTTCGTGCACAGGTGGAAACTTTAGTTGTTCTACACTAAGGTATGGGAAGCCTTAGTTGATCTACTGCCGCAAACGAGATTGTTTTTGTTAATTTGGTTATTCAGGTTTTTGTCATTAAGATGATTAGTTTTTAGTGGGTACCTGACACACCTTGTACTAAAATTCTGTTCCGTACGAAACGTAAATGGTAAAGTTATATAAAGGTAAACAAATACTGCGTCACTTTCAATAATTACCGTATAACGATCAATAATTACCGCGATAACGAAAGAATGTTACTAACTTACTAGGTATATTCGATTCTTAGGATTGTACGACTAAGTTTTGCAGTTGCATAACTTGGTTCTTTACTTAGCCTACCGTTAATTAATTTTGCGTAAATCTTGTTGGAATACCGACTGACTGACGAGTGATTGCCGAAGGAAAAATCCGGTAGCTTCATAATACGTGTGAGTTTGGAATTGCATGGCAGGTTTTTTTATTACAAAAAAATACGCCATATGGTGGCGCACAAGCATTTTAAAGGAATAATAGCAGTTCCGCAGGTATTTAAGGGGCAAGGTATCTTCTGAATGGCGGCGGCCACCACACTTTATTGAACCGTAACGGCATCGCCACACATTGATGTACAAATCCTTTATGGAGGAACTGCTGACCGGCATCATCCGACACCATGGGCTTATTAAACTGGAATTCACAGGAGAGTTGCAAATGGCGCGTTTGGTTTCCAATCGCATGGTGCTTTTGGAACCGATGTGGAATCCAACTGTAGATCGTCAGGTCAACGAGTTGGAGACGGCTTTGGCTCGACGATGCCCATGTATTATGAACAGTCCGGGACCGATTGCTACGACTTCGAGTGCTTGTTTTGTTGAAATCATCATCGTTATCCCCAACGTTGCTCGACGATGCCAATGTATAATGAACAGTCCAGGACCGATTGCTACGACTTCGAGTGCTTGTTTTTGTTGAATCATCATCCTTATCCTCGACGTAGCTCGACGATGCCGATGTACAATGGAATTAACCTGACTGGAGCCAATCGCGTGGCATTTCTGGAACCGATGGGGAATCCAACTGTAGATCGTCAGGATGTTCGGCTCTTTCCGGTGGCCATGTACAATTTGTTCCGCGATCGGTGATTTGGCTTTCTTCGGTTGCTTGCGATGCTTTCAATCACAACTGGCAACTGAAAGCACGACCAGCGATAAAAGATTTTTGCAAGGGAATAACCGACTGGCCGTTTCTACCTAGCTGCCACTGGGGTGAGTGATGTTCCTTAAAGTGCTGTTCCAGTAGTTGGTTTGCAGCATTTTCCCCACCGCTTCCGTCACGACGAATATCGCAAAAACAATAAAGAAGATGACGTAAAGAAGCGTTAATAAAATTGTTTCACATCTGCGACCCATAGGGGTCGCATTCGGAAACAAAAGCCTTGGGTCGGCCATAGCACGACAATGTGAAACGTTCATGCTTAAATACTTGCTGTTTGCAGGTCATTGCCTTAAATAACTGCAAACAGGAACATTTAAGGCGCGAAATAAATCCAACTATTCAAGGTGACAAAATGTATGGGACGTTGTCCTCTTTTCCGCGCTTTTGCGCACCCTTTAGAATGTGCATTTGCGGACCGACAATGTCTGGAAAAACCCATTTTGTGTTTTCCTTAATCAATTGCAGTGAAATACTGATTGATCAGCCGCCAACTAAAATAATTTACTGCTACGGTGAATGGCAGAATGCTTTCCATAATTTGAAGAATGTAGAGTTTGTCAAAGGTTTGGATAATTTGTTTCCGCTGATGGATAATGTTGTATCCGGCGAGCAAACGTTGATAATTATTGACGACCTGGCTTCTGATTTTTGTAAAGACGTAAAGACGACCGTTGCTCCAATTTGTTCACGCGTGGAATACATCACAACAACGTTTCAGTCATTCTTCTGCTGCAAAACTTATATAAGCAAGGAAAATCGATGCGGGACATCACCCTCAA